TCACCTGTGCTAGGGGTGAAACTAGCTTCTGGCACAAAAGTGCAGATTACTCCGTATGTACGGCGTTTCAAGCAAAATATATACTCCTACCACCATAACCACTTCAAAACACAGATGTGGCCATGGTGGTTGGAGTAACCCTTCAAATTATAAAAGTGAAGATTTGTATCGAAATTGACACTTTTATTAAATTAAGAAAAAGATTACTAGCTGAACTCTTTTATGTGTTTAGAGTGATCTGTTGTTCCACCCAGGGCCGGACTGGGAAAAAAATTAGGCCCGGGCATTTTTCAATCAGAGCGGCCCCCTAAGAAGGGGGCGGGGCCAGAGAGTGTGTGTTTTGTCATCACTAATGACAACACGCCCCCTCTCAAAGTGAGCATGTTGGTTCAATGCCCAGAGCCCTGCTGAAGAGCTCTGGCATTAGAAAAAGGCCCTGAATTTGTTCTGCGCAGCGCAAGCAAATGTAATAACATGCTTGTGCTGTGTTTGCTTTTAAATTGTCTCTGGTGTCTCCACAAGTGGGATACCAGAGGACAAATGGGCCAGGAAAGTGCATGGTGCATATGTTTGGAGCCTGCTTGTGGGATTGCGTGTGTGTAGAGTGTGGTGTGGTATTGTGTAAATAGGTCAATTTAATTTGTGTTTGTGGTGTAATATGTGTGGCTAGGGGCTGTAGAGAGTGTGTGTATAGGGGGCATAGTTTTATAGGGGATGCAGCGAGTGTGTGCATACGGGCTGAAGTGTGTGTGTATAGGTGACATAGTGTGTGTAGGGGTTGCAGAGAGGGTGTGTTTAGAGAATGTTGTATGTGTTTGCTGACAAGGAATGTAGTGTGTGTGTGTAGGAGATCTACTGTGTAAAGGACCCAGTGTGTGTGTGTGTGTGTGTGTGTGTATAGAGGATAAAGAGTGCATATAGAGTAAGGGATCTAGTGTGTATCTGGAGCGTAATGTGTGTAGTGGTGCAGTGTGAGGGGTGCTGTAGTGTGTGTGTGTGTGTGTGTGTGTGTGTGTGTGTGTGTGTGTATGTATATATATATATATTTGGACTTGTATGTGTGAGGGGCGCAGTGTGTGTATGTAAGAGGGGTGCTGTGTGTGAGGGTGTTTTTATCTGCTGTCACATTCTAGGTTTCTAATTTTCTTTGTCTGTTAACTCACTGAGGGTTATTTTATATATATATATATATATATATATATATATGTGTGCTGTATATGTGTGGGAGTGTGCTGTGTGTGTCTAGGGGGTGCTGTGTCTGGGGGGTGCAGTGTGTGTCTGGGTGCTGTGTGTGTCTGGGTGCAGTGTGTGTCTGGGTGCTGTGTGTGTCTGGGTGCAGTGTGTGTCTGTGGGTGCAGTGTGTGTCTGGGTGCGCTGTGTGTGTCTGGGGTGCTGTGTGTGTCGGGGGGGTGCTGTGTGTGTCTGGGGATGCTATGTGTGTCTGGGGGTGCTGTGTGTGTCTGGGGGTGCTGTGTGTGTCTGGGTGCAGTGTGTGTCTGTGGGTGCAGTGTGTGTCTGGGTGCGCTGTGTGTGTCTGGGTGCAGTGTGTGTCTGGGTGCGCTGTGTGTGTCTGGGTGCAGTGTGTGTCTGGGGGTGCTGTGTGTGTCTGGGTGCAGTGTGTCTGTGGGGTGGGTGCTGTGTGGCCCTGTGGGGTGCAGCAGTGTCTGGGCGCTTGTGTGTCTGCTGGGTGCAGTGTGTCTGTGGGTGCAGTGTGTGTGTCTGTGGGTGCTGTGTGTGTCTGCTGTGGGGTGCTGTGTGCGTCTGTGGGTGCTGTGTGTGTCTGGGTGCCTGTGTGTGTCTGTGGGTGCAGTGTGTGCGTCTGTGGGTGCAGTGTGTGCCCAGTGCCTGTGTGTGTCTTGGGTGCAGTGTGCCCTGTGGGTGCAGGCTCCAGGGTGCTGTGTGTGTCTGTGGGTGCTGTGTGTGTCTGGGGTGCTGCTGTGTGTGTCTGGCGCTGTGTGCGTCTGGGGTGCAGTGTGTGTCTGGGTGCTGTGTGTCTGAGGGTGCTGTGTGTGTCTGAGGGTGCTGTGTGTGTATGGGTGCTGTGTGTGTCTGAGGGTGCTGTGCGTGTCTGAGGGTGCTGTGTGTGTTTGGGTGCTGCGTGTGTCTGGGGGTACTGCGTGTGTCTGGGGGTGCTGTGTGTGTCTGGGGGTGCTGTGTGTGTCTGGGTGCAGTGTGTGTCTGGGGGTGCAGTGTGTGTCTGCGGGTGCAGTGTGTGTCTGGGGGTGCAGTGTGTGTCTGGGGGGTGCTGTGTGTGTCGGGGGGTGCTGTGTCTGGGGGGTGCTGTGTCTGGGGGGTGCTGTGTCTGGGGGGGTGCTGTGTCTGAGGGCTGTGTCTGGGGGGTGCTGGGGGGTGCTGGTGTCTGGGGGCTGTGTCTGGGGGGGTGCTGTGTCTGGGGGCTGTGTCGGGGGGGGGTGCTGTGTCTGGGGGCTGTGTCGGGGTGCTGTGTGTGTGAGTGAATGTATTTTTTTACTTAAATTTAAATATTTTTTTTACTAATAAAAAAAAAAATTATTCTCCCCCCTCCCTTCTTACCTTTATCCTGGGAGGGGGGGGGGGAGCCGTTCTGCCATGAGGAGGGGAGCCGTTCTGCCATCCTTCCCTGGTGGTCCAGTGGTGAGAGTGAACTCTAACCTGCAGGTTAGAGTTCACTCTCGCGAGATCTGAGCGTTGCCGCGGCAACGCTCAGAATCCCGCGAGAGGACCCGGCGGAGCTGCTTGTTAGAGCTCCGCCAGGTCCTCTCTCCTCCCTCCCTCACCCAGCCGGCGGCCGCATCTCCCTGTCTGTGGGCCGGTGGGGAGATCTTTGATCTCCCCACCGGCCCAGGGAGGCACACAGCAGGGCCGGCGCTCGGATAGCGCTGGCCCTGCAGGGGCCGGCCGGGGAGATCCCCTGCCGGCCTCGGCCCCACGGCCATCGCGGCCCACCGGGCATTTGCCCGGTATGCCCGATGGCCAGTCCGGGCCTGGTTCCACCTATGCTGCCAAAGAGAGAGGATGCCGCAATAGAACACACTAAGTAACCCTCTGTTACTATTTAAAAAAATACTACTTAAAAAACCCCCAAAAAAACAAAACAAAACACACTTACCTGTGATCCTGCAGGTAGATCCTAACATCAATTCCCCTGTACTGAAGGCGGGGTGACGTCTCAAACAATGAGTTAAATGACCACTATAGGCACCCAGACCACTTCAGCTTAATGAAGTGGTCTGGGTGCCAGGTCCATCTAGGGTTAACCCTCCCGGCTATAAACATAGCAGTTTGAGAGAAACTGCTATGTTTACATATGGGTTAATCCAGCCTCTAGTTGACAGCCGCTAGAGGCGCTTCTGTGTTTCTCACTGTGATTTTCACAGGGAGAAGACGCCAACATCCATAGGAAAGCATTGAGAAATGCTTTCCTATGGACTGACTGACTGACTGCACGCGCATGCGGAACTGAAACGTTGATCTTCTGTGGCAGATGCCTGAATAAAAGCTATGTTTTTTCACAATATTTTTCACAATAAGTCCTTGGAGTGCTATCATTACTTTATTTCTACTATTTGGCTGTTAAGCACCGGGCTTTTTACTATTAATCCTGGAGTGAAAGCAATTGGAACTTATATATATATATATATACACATACATACATATACATATATTTATATACATACATATATAATAATTCTACATATATATTTATGTAATAATTTTACATAATTAAGTAATTTTATTAATTACAATTAGCAGGACCAGCCTGACAACCAAGGCCAAAAGTCCAGAGAACTTAATTTGCTAGCAGTATATTTAACCCTGTAACTTTCCAAGACACCATAAAACCTGTACATGGGGTATTTTTACTGAAGATTGCTGAACAAATATTAGTGTTTCAAAACAGTAACATGTATTACAACGACGATATTGTCAGTGAAAGTGACATTTTTTGCATTTTTCACACACAAATGGCACTTACACGGACGATATAATTGTTGTGATACATTTTACTGTTTTGAAACACTAATATTTGTGTTCAGTGAAGCCTCCCGAGTATAACAGTACCCCTCATGTACAGGATTTATGGTGTTTTCAAAAGGTAGAGAGTCAAATATAAGGCTTGCGTTTCAGTTTTTTCACATTGAAATTCGCCAGATTGGTTACGTTGCCTTTGAGACCGTACGGTAGCCCAGGAATGAGAATTACCCCCATGATGGCATACCATTTGCAATAGTAGATAATCCAAGGTATTGCAAATGGGGTATGTCCAGTCTTTTTTAGTAGCCACTTAGTCACAAACCAGGTATGAATGGTTGTGTGAATGGAGTTTGATTTTCTACATCAACATATTTGTAATAGATACTTTTAATAGAATTACACTTTAACACTTTATTAGATTTAAAATAAGTTTTGGGTAATAGAAAGGGAAAGGAAACTGAGGGGAAGAGGGAAAAAGGGAGGGGGAAATAGGTAAGGAGGGAGTGAAAAAGAACAAAGATCACAGCAAATAAAATGGTCACTTTAATTTTCCTACGCTTTTGATCAATTCCCTTCAGCATAATAAATATTTAAATCACCTATTTTATCACTGAGGATCTGACACAATGATTATATACAAGAACAAAAACTGACCAGCTCTTAATTTCTAAATCTGAGTGTAAAAAAAAAACCAAGACCCAATAATAATCCACTTATAATGTCCATATCCTATGGGGGTTTATATATATATTACGGTCATTATTTTTAAGCTTACATTACCTGTTTCACCGTTACTACTGCCCTATAAATATTAATAAATAATGCACACCCATAACCCCATTCCAGAGGAAGCCATAAATCCCATTCCACCTTAACTCACACAGGAAAAGTGGGCAGGAAATTTCTATGTAGTGGCTAATCAGACAATAGACGTTCAAGACCGGTTAAAGCAGAGGATTGGTTGCATGTCAACTTCTGAGGACTTGCATACAGCATGGGAACTTTTTTATTTTTTTTGTGAGCAGGAAACTGGCTTGTAAGGAAGAATTCCTGGTACCACGGTACAGGCTGCATGCAGGATGGCCAGCAGGGGGAGCACGCGCGCCCCTTGCTTCCACACTCCAGAAGGCAAAGAGACCTCCAGGAAAGCGCTGAGTACTGCAGCTGTTGCCTCTGGCTGACTCCCCTTGTCTGCTCCGCGCTGTACTCTCTCTCCCGTACAGTGTAACTGGCCCAGACACAACACTCAGGAGGAGCAGGAGGGAAGATGGCGACGCTGGGAAACGAGTCTCAGCCATTCTCAGCCCTCCCAGCCGCCAGCCCCTCACTCCATGGCCAGTATCAGCTCCCCCACCAGCAGCACATCGCCGGCAATGGGGTGACCAACTTCAGCCTCAACCTGCCTGTCAACCGGGGGCTGGAGAGAGCCCTGGAGGAGGCTGCAAACTCTGGCATCCTCAATCTCAGCTCCAGAAAGCTGAAGGAATTTCCCAGGACCTCAGTGAGCCATGATCTATCAGACACTGTGCAAGCAGGTAATTTGGGGGATTAACCCCTGCACTCAGCCTGGTACTACAGATATTGTTGCAGTGCATCAAGTTAAATGTAGTCCCCAATCAGCAGGAGTACCAGTGCTTAGCCATCACTAGACTAGAACCTACTGCAAGACAGAACACTGGCATTTGTATGCTGCATTCAGCCTGGTCCTCCTGGTTCTATTTAACCATGTGATTGCCAGGAGGATGCAGTAAGTCAGAGCTTGTAAGAGCCCAAAGGGCTAAATCCCTTTTAAATTGTGGATATGCATGATGGTTAGCAGATAAAACAAGAGCTGTGAGCGTGTTTCTGGTTTTCTAGGTGGTTTCCTTGTTAAACTGTATCCATATTGTGAATGGTGCATTTAATTTGAAGTTGCCATGGTCTCAGGTTCCACACACTGGGCACATTGTTGTTTTATAGAGCATCATGCAAATGAATAGACTGAGATTGAAAAGGGAAGTTTTTTTTTTTGTTTCCATTTTTGGAGTGAGCCATTAGCTGGTTGTTTATCATTCAATGTGATCTGTGAGATCCCAGCACTGAATTAGTGAGTGGGTGCAGACAGCCAGCACAGTGCTGCATAGTAATGTGGCTCTAGCTGTTACTGACTACCACTCTAGTGATGCTCATCCAGATACGGGGCTGCTTATAGGGTCATTTGTTCCCATATACCTTTAACCATTTGTTGGACCAGTCTGCTTCTGTAGACTTATTGTTCCATGATGCTCAGTAATATTTCTGGCTGACTGAGAATCTTAGAGGCTGTATTCTACAAGCTGGCCAATAAGCTTAGTGTTACAATGTATCAGGCGTGTCAGCTATAACCTTTCTGGACCTGAAGTTATATTGTGACATCTCTGCAGTGGGATGATTCTATTTAGAACGATACAGACACAGTGTTCTGATCTGAATATATGTGTCTAGAAAGGTATAATGGTAGATCTGTTGTGGCAGCAAATTAGTTAATATGGTTTCTGTGTTTAACCACTACACTACCAGAAAAATCTGCATTGCAGAATACACCGACTATCTGTGCAGAGGGCACTACTACCAGGATGCAGCTATTGCTCTACTATGTATGTTGTTTGTGGGTTACCAGTGGATGAAGTACAGGGGGATGTGGTTTTATCACCACATCTTGACTTCTGTAACTTATTTGAATGTGAAACATGAATCGTAATATTCGTTTCATTATTAATCTACCAATGGTTTGACTGGTAAACCACATATTTATAAATGTACAAGTTTTGTTTTGTTTTTTGCAATGCTGTATGCACAGTGTGCCCCCATGCCAATGGTTTGTACCAGTTGTGATAATACTGTATTTGGCAGCTGTATTGAATGGGACATTCTCTAGTTTGGGCAGAGCTAGCACATTATGCATGTTCGATTCCTCAGGGATAACTGAATCAATACAGCGGATTAATATATTATATATTATGTATTATGGTTGGGCTATTTATTTCCTAAAACTGCTGATGTTTCTCACACATTAACAAATCACAACAATCAGTGATATTATTCTTGGAAAACTGCTAATTGAGTGTCTGTGCAGAAATAAAATCTGAACTGAGAGGTATAATTAGGTTCTCCTGTAAACTACATCATTTAATGTGTAACCCTTTCATCTCTAAGTGCTTCCATCCGTAAAGCACTATTGGACCATAATTCTCTGCTGTTGTATAGATAGTTGGCTGAAACAAATTGCAAAGTACTAAAATGATCATGTTCATCAGCTATTGGAGAGAAACAAAGTAAAAAGAACACCCCAAGGATCCTAAAAGTGACATCACGCTGTAGTGGTTATAGTACCTGGAGTGTCCTAGTACTTTTAGTACAAATTGACAGCATACACGGATCCCACTGATTTCCTCTCATCGCCTACCCTGCATCTGCTCTTTTTCTGCAGGAGTATCTGGATTCTAATTTCCTCATTTCTAAAACACCATAGACACAACTGGGTAACCTCTAAATCCTGGACTGGTAGGGGTGGTGTGAGGACTGGTTTGGGAACCACTACTCTACAGAGTGAAGGAGGTCCACGCAGGACCTCACTTATTATGAGGGGAGTGTAAGCTGAGCACTTTGAGTCGGGTCCAGCATTTCTTTTCTTTTCTTTGGAGACATCCAGTTTCTACTGCAGTAGAACATGGATTTGATGTAGGTGCCCAGATCATCCAGCTAAGTTTGTCTACTACTTACTGTTGTTTTAGCCCCAAGGGGCTTTGTGGTCCAGCAAAGCTATGTTTGGGTTCTTATATTCTAGATTGATGATGTAACTAGAGTTCAATCCCCATAATCCTTTGCCAGATTACTGTTCTCAAAGTATTGTGGGGAATATAGAGAATCAATAATTGAAGGATTCTAGAACCATGTGTTTTGAGGCATGAGATTTTTTTTTTTTTTTTTTTTTAATTATCAAAGCTTCATATTGGATATCATTTTACACAATGACTTTCTCTTAATGTGTGTACTTCGTATACAAATTCTACCCAAATCCCATGGTTCCTTTTGATAAATTTATGATTTATATTTTTACCAAAAGAGATACATTGACAAAACTATTTCAAGATCTGGGGATTTATTCAGTAAACTGGGAATTGTGGAGAATTGACAAAGACTTTGCAAATTGCAGGCAAACCCACCTATATGGTAAAAATAGCCGATTTAGCATTTTTTCAAATTGTGTTGTTCTGGCCTACAATTTGTAGTTCTCATGACGAACACATTATCCAGTTTTGTGAATAAATAACTGTAACACTACATCATGCAGGTTGTGTGACCTTGGATATAATGAACTTACAAACTAAGCTATCGTGGGAATGTTTGTGAACGTAGAATAGCCCCATTGTGTCATTTGTCCTGTTTCTTTATTAAACAGTTTTTAAGTGACTCTTTTGCTAATGTCACATATGCACTTCCTCCTAAGACCCAGTCTTGGGTGTGTGACTGTACAGCTTCTGTCATACCTCATTTAATCTTGTACTATAAAAATGAAAGCTACTGAGGAATGGAAGGGGGTTTCCACATAATGGATGATTTTTAACTATTAATCTCCTGTAGCATGACCAATGTATTCATGTGCAAATTGCAAATTGTCTCCTTCCTACAGAGCTCAAAGGCCTTGTTATATAAACTTTTTTTATATAAACACTAAGATTTTTTTCCACTTTTGTTATCATTTCAAAACATTGCATCGAAACATTCTCCAAATTGCTGGCATAGTTGCAACTCTTTATCTTTCTAATTCGTGTTTATTTTTTCTGGAGTTCAGGTCTTATATACAGTAAACATAATTTGCACCCAACAAGGACATTTGTTACTTATACGAAAAGTCTTTGTACTTCTCAAAACCCGTCTACCTGAAGGGTATAAAACTGACTCTTCTGCATGGCAAAAAAATAAAAATAAATTAAAACTATGTGACCAGGACCAGATTTACATCACAAGCACCTGTAGGTACAGAATTCTATAGCTCCCCCTCCACTCCCCCCTCCCTTTCCCCAAACGAATAAATGACTGTACTTGGACTTTTAAATATGATAACAGTTGTTGTATCTACACATAAAGAGTGTGGGTAGTAGCAGGATGTATTAACAGAATTTAAAAATAAATTTAAATTATTTTTCCCATAAGGCACAAAAACATTAAAAGGATATTACAACGTTTGAGGTGGCGGGGCCATGCAGAGATTGCTTTGCTGAGTCTGAGGTGGCGGGGCCATGCACAGATTGCTTTGCTGAGTCTGAGGTGGCGGGGCCATGCACAGATCGTTTTGCTGAGTCTGAGGGGGCGGGGCCATGCACAGATCGCTTTGCTGAGTCTGAGGGGGCGGGGCCATGCACAGATCGCTTTGCTGAGTCTGAGGGGGCGGGGCCATGCACAGATCGCTTTGCTGAGTCTGAGATGGCGGGGCCATGCACAGATCGCTTTGCTGAGTCTGAGGTGGCGGGGCCATGCACAGATTGCTTTGCTGAGTCTGAGGGGGAGGGGCCATGCACAGATTGCTGTGTTGTGGGGGTGGGAACATGTACAGATTGCTGTCAGAGGGTTTGGGGCCATGCACCGATCACTGTGTTTTGTGTGAGGGGGTGGGACCATGCATAAATCAGCCTCTTTAGTCTGGGTACAGTGATCCCAGGGTCTTGCAGACACAGGACAGTAATAGGGATTTTTATTTTATTTTTTTTAACAGGACAGGCACATGTATGCAGGTGTCTACTCTGAGTAATAAGAAATCTGGCCGTGTTTGTGATCATATAGATACTTAAAGGGACACTATAGTCACCAGAAACAAGCTTAATGTAGTTGTACTGGGTCCTATAGAGCATCTTTTAAGGCTTTTTAATGTAAACCCTGAATAAGCAGAGAAAATACATTGTTTCAATTTCTGGCTATTAACACCTCTAGTGGCAGTTACTGAGACGGCCATTAGAGGTGCTTTCTGTGTCAATGCTGTACAGTGTGCAGTGTTCCCCCATAGAGATGCACTGATTGATTTTTTTAAATTATTATTTTATTTATTTATTTATTTTTCCCCAATGGGAAAGCATTGGATTGGCTGAGATCATAAAGCTTCATCTCTGCCAAGGAAGTGGAGTGAGGCAGGGCCTGCTGCTGTGAGAAGTGAGTAACGTCACCTTTTAAAAGGGAGGCTTGTGGGACGGAAACCTAAACTGTGATTTTACCACCATAGGGTAAGGAATACATATTTGTGTTCCATTAACGCTTTGTTCACCAAAGTGTGAATTTCAAATTTTACGACAGTGAATAGAATATTGCCATTTCTGTGAAACTAATATTTACGTTTGTCAGAGAACACACCTCCAGTTACTATCAGACTGACTGCTATTAGAGGTGCTTCCTCATTAAAGACCTTTAAAATTCAAAGGACTTCACATTTGGCATCACGACACACAGCCATCAGTGCTTCTGATTAAAATAGTGATTGCCATGCATGCACCCTATATATCCCCATTGCTTATTGAATTGGACAAAAATCATAGGAACTGATTCTGTCACTGGAGGCAAATCAGTTGCCCTGAAGAGAATGCCTCTGTGCTGACTTGTATGGTATTTTATTGCTAATTTTCATCATTATGTTTTATTTGACTCTAAACACATTAAGGAATATAAATTATTTATGTGTGGTCTATTGATGCTTGTCAAGCTTAGTTTTAGTAGTTCATCACTACTTATATCTCCTTCAGGATAAATAATATGCCAGCACTGTCCTGATCATAAGGGGGGTTTGCCTAACCCCCATCTGAAAGAGAATATACTCGAAATGTACAATTTTTACTGGGAACTTCTACTTCTGGGGATGTTTACTTATCCCCTGTATTTAACCAATATGCATTTGTAAAGTGTGAGGACACTACTTCAGAAATAACAGGGAATCATGACGGAATATTGTCCTTCAGGGGTCAATATTGGCTCCCTGTCTGTAATGTTGTATATAAGCTCGACTTTTGTGCCTAGACTTCAAAAAAGAGGGAAAATTAAACAATGTTTCTATATTTCCCTCCTTATTTGCAATGTGTACAGTACTTTGGCTATTTCAGGACTGAACTGGACTGCGATGTTATTTGCTCAATCTTTTTTATAATTGATCATTGAAAAAAGGTAAATATAAGTTATTGGTGATTTTCTATGTTTTATTCATTTGTGGAATTTTCAAAGAAGTCAGTACGCTGCCTCCGCAAAATGACTATTTCATGAAGACAGAATCTTTATTAAACACTCATTTTGGCGTGTTGGAATTTTACTGAAATTTCAACCTAGTCAAGAGATATACTGAGACAAAGTTACACTTCCCAACCTACCCAGGCAAAAACCATTGTAGATTATCAAGCAATATGATAGAATATAAAATAAATGAACAATGTGTAAGATGCAGAAGGTTTTAATACTAGACATGTGATACATGTAAGAACATGTTTAGTGTCTTGCTTAATGCCTGTTTAATACACCTTTTTAATGTCTGTTTCTTTAAAGAGCTTGCACATTGTTTATAGTGTAAGTTTCTTTTGCAAGATTTACAAGTCTGCAAACACTAATAGCAATTTGGAGAGCTGTCAGTAAAACCCTTTGAGCGGTATTTATAAAAGTGTGAATTGTTATGAATTCAGAGTGAACTTTACATTTTTACATAGCTGACCTTGAATTTCCAGCAATTCATACATAAGTAATGTTATGGTTCTAAAACAGATTTCTAATCTTTAAGGGAAACTCTCCCTCTTTGTATTCCTAACAAGATAGACTGACAGCTGATTGGGCCCCCGGCAAAATTTGTTTCTGGGCCCTTTGAAGTCCAAAATATATGTATTAAGTAAATCCAACATTATGACTGCATGTTTGCATTTAAGCTTGTAAAATCAATGTGAATGGACTTTTTTTGCATATAACTCCAGTATGAATTCATGTATATATTTATAGAATGCCAACGTGTGCATAATCAATGAGATATCTGAGTGTTGTGAAATTGCGTGTGAATGAAGGGATGCATTCTGTCTACTGCAAGAATGTTAATGCAGTCCTGTATTTATATGTAATTTCAGATTATCATTGCATGTGTCAAAGTCAGGGTGTATGTGTATTGTGTACTGTTAGAGTGTAGAGCAGCTGTGTGTGAATGCAGGGGTTTATTTGTCTGGAATTTTGGTGTGTAAAGGCAGAAGCACATAAAAACAAAAACAAAAAAACACTCACACTCTCTCTCACACTCATTTATAGGTGTTGCTGCCCTTATCTTCCTAGAGCACTCTGCTGCCGGGATATGACGTAATTTATCCCAGTGGTCTTTAGCTCATAATGTGGCCGTAGCTGCTCTCAACCCCTCAGGCTGCGTTCACTCGGCTGGCACCTGAGTACAACGGCCAGGTAATTTGGCCAATCGGCATGGCTACAGAGAGTGACCAGTGGGAGGGGGTAGTGTGGAGAGTCTCTGTATGAATGCATGGATGTGTGAATTTGATCAGTGACTGTGTGTGTGTGACAGTAGTACTCCATTTGTTACCTTAACTCCAATGTCTCACCATCTCACTCCTCTAACTCCAGATGTTTCTTCCTCCATGCACATTACTCCAATTCCACCTTCACATACTTCTCTTCCTCATTTCACCTCAATGTGTTTCACCCTCGGTGCCCCATCACCCCAATTGTGACTTTACCCATTCACCTGTACTTCCTCTGCACCCAAAATGTATATCTGCCGAATCTCAGTTTGTAACTAAATCACTCCACAACCCTGTTTCTACCAATAGGCCCAAATGTCTGTGCCCCATCTCACCTCCATTTGTGGCCACAACCCACCTTTCGCCTCCAACTCCTGCTGCTTAAAGTAAAACCTCTCTGCCTGTTTCTCTTGGAGAAGAGGCTCACACACACACATGCTATATGGACTCTGCATGTGTGTAATAAAAACAAGGGATGTGATGTCACATCCTATCCTCTCACCCCACACAGAGCGCCTTGCTGGACCGTGCCAGTTGACTAAAGAGTCCTGGCAGGGATATGCCGCATGCTGCCTGATTTCACGCGGCCAGGAAAGCGTTGGGAGAAGGTGATCATGCGATCAGTTGCGGTCCCACGCTGTTAGGAGCCTGTGACTATCGCCAAGATATAGTATGTTTAGTTATGCCAGGTCAGATGCGGAGAACCTCTGATATCCCCACTAGACAATGGGTGTGCGCCGTGTCCTTACTGCCCCTGGCCCTGGGTCCACTACTGATGTGCCAAGTGGACGGTCCGTGGCCCCGCTACTGAATACAAAACTGTATTCACAACACCATAGTGTCCTCTGGCCCCTCTCTTGCCTCCCTCTCCCCGTCACAAATAAAGGGTTAAACATTTTTTAGTGCAGGGTCATTTCCTCATCTGCCTAAGTAAGCATGTGGGGGCACATTTCCCCATATGAAATCATTGCCTCAATGCTTTTCTATGGGGATTTTCTACTTGCTGGACGTCCTCATGCACAGCATGAGGATGTCCAGGGCTGTTCCAAGGAGTGAAACTCTGGGATAGGCCACGTGGTAATATATCAGCAAACTATTAGGTCTGTATGCAGAGCTCACTTTGACTTCTGCAAACAGCTCATCTGCCAGTCCATTGCCACTAAATATGGCCTCACCATACCGAGGGGGTCATCAGGTATGATACCTGGGTTACTTAGTGTGAGCAGGGATTTAACTTTGCTCACGTTATTATTATTGGTCTTTATACCATGCCAGCCTATTCCGCAGCGCTTTACTATAAAAACACATCAGACCTTCAGGATGTGCCATGCTTACCCCCAGTCTGTGGAGGATGGCATGGAACATCCGAACATTCATTAAGTGGTTAATCAACTCCTCTCACTGGTTGCAGTTTCTGGCATAAAACATATTTTCTGTGTTCATCATTAAGTGCATTGTCTCGATGCTTGAACAAATAGTACTGTATACTGACTGAACATGTTTTTGTGTGGTATGTTCATAAATCACTCCATCGCTGCTGAAAAAAAGAGTTTGTTGGGCTGTGAAATTCTAGCAAAGCCTTGATCTTTTTCCAAGACAAGAGGAGAACATCCTTTTTATAAGATTGTTGTAGGCGTATTCAGATTAATTCCTACATGCTGTACAAAAGAGTAGAAGACACCAAGGAGCATGGTGTAATTAATAAGACTCTTTTAAACTTAAGCTACAAAACTCCATCAAGTATAAAGAAGTAAAATAATTACTGTATTGCTTTGTAATGATTTGTCAACATAGTCTGAGATTTAGATGTGTATTACAATGTTCGCAGCTGAAATATGTGCTTAAAGGGACAATAACATGTTCTGCTTAAATGTGAAAAAGTGTTGAAGCACTTGCATTAATTTTAACTTAGCAAATAGTTCTCATTTAGACATCCCAGGAACAAAATGCAATTTTCCACTTGATAGATGATTCATTAAGTTACATGCGTGATGTCAAATGCATGGTTTTAAATGGAAAACCAAACAAACTCTTGAACTTTACTTAGATCCATCTCCTGATTTCACCATTCAAATTAGTTAATGGTCAAATATATGAAGGAAAGCATAACGAGGGACAAGTATCTGCAGTCTGGTGTTTTTCAATCATAAAGTAACAGAATTGGCTTATGTCAGGGAATGGACACAGTGCAGCACTTCTATAGAAACCTATGGACTTCCAATAATCAGCTGTCACATCTATGGCTGTCGCTAGTGAAAGAGAATGTCACAGGAGAAGTATCCGACCCTGGGAATTTGTAGCCTCACACACTATCTAATTTTGCAGTGTATATATTTCTCCAATATGCCCAAAAGTCCAAAATTAAAAAGTCTCTATGGTGGATAAATCCAGAGTGAGGAACCTGTCCATGAAGAATGGTTATAATCTTGCTAGAAGGTGTGTTCCTCAGTGTGAAATCAATTCTTGGCGTTTATATTAAATAGATAATTGCCATTATCACCATCCTTTTTACCTAGTACCAGAAGTTGTTTTTATCTTTCCAGTGAGGATATTACTCCAAAGAATCCTAGGTGGGGATTATACCACTTGAGCTGTATTCAGTGAGCAGTTAGCCTGCTCAATCAAATGTGAGTAACCACTTGTTATTTTATTATCTCACCTCTGGTTTTTATACTTTAAGCACTATTGCTGTCTCTTTTTATATTTTATATGGTTCCTATATCAAGCAAGACTACATAGACCTCACGTATCCCAAAAGTGGGGATTGTACCATTGTACGCTATCAACACTAGAGCTAAGTAGATAGCGCTATAAAACATGAGTAGGACCATAGAGATTCTTTTATAATTTATTCTACACCTAACTGGGACATACTGCACCATTAGTTGTCAACTTTATCTATTTCATATGAACGCCAAGAATTGATTTTACACTGAGGAATACACCTACTATCAAGATTGTACCATCCTCCATGGACAGGTTCCTCATTCTGGATTTATCCACCATAGAGACTTTTTCATTTTGGACATTTGGGCATATGTTCCATTTCTCCAGTTTGTCATATGTGATTGCAGTATACTATCTTTTTATTTTAGTGGCACTACCTTTCATTTATCTGTTTTTACCATTTATGTTATAGGGCCTGTGAGGGAGCCCTATTTTTAGGTGTGCTGCCACCCTTTATTTATCTATTTTTATTGGATGTTGTTTAGATAGAGCGCGCTGATCCACTTCTTTTGTATAACATACAGAAAGTGCTGCCCTGCAGTATGTCAAAGTAATATTTTGAAGGTGGTAAATCAAGAATCTTGCAGCATATACATTATCCATGATACAGGGCAGTTAACCGGAAACTATAATGTTAGAAGAACATGTTCGCAAAGCTTACAATATCATGACTGCCATGTCACCTACTACAACATTTTTAAAAGAGACAGGGATGTGTATACAAACACTTGCTTATTAACCAGAATACAAAATAATCCTGCGTAATTATTAATAGACTATCTGCAAACTGTGTGCTAGTAAATATAGTGCCTGCTGTTTTAATTCACATATAAGATTTATTGCCGTTTTTCAGCTGTTCTTGGTAGGAGCTCATAAAGCTTAAATGTATATGATATGTATTTATAATCATAATAAAATTACTGAATGTTCTGTCTATCTGCAAATCTGTTTTCTGTTGTATTTGCCTGACTTTACATACATTATTTATGTTAATGGTTAAATGCTGAGGTAACTGTTTGTTTTGTCATGTTTACATATGGATGTTTGTCTTGTATGTGCATGAGTTTTATATGCTATTAATGGATACAAGACAAAAATAGTGCTTCATAACATATGTCATTTATTAACTATTGTTGGCAGGTCATATGGCAACATATGTTTAGTACCATGCATGAAGTTGGAAATGATGGAAGATGTTTGGTAGAAAATTAGGTAATACCACAGTAAAACATAGAATAATTACATTTTATGCCAGATAGCTTGAAGGACCACTATAGGCACCCAGACCACTTCAGCTTAATGAAGTAGTCTGGGTGCCAGGTCCAGATAGGATTAACCCTTTTTTTTAATAAACATAGCAGTTTCAGTGAAACTGCTATGTTTACAAATGGGTTAATCCAGCCTCTAGTGGCTGTCTCATTGACAGCCACTAGAGGCGCTTCTGCGCCTCTCACTGTGATTTTCACAGTGAGAAGATGCCAGCGTCCATAGGAAAGCATTGGCAATGCTTTCTTATGGACTGACTGCGCACGCGGCTCTTGCCGCACATGTGCATTCAGCTGATGACGTTCGAAGGAGGAAGAGAGTCCCCAGCGCCGGGCTGAGTGAGTGTTTAACCCCCTTCCTCCCCCTTCAGCCCGGTGGGAGGGGGGCCATGAGGGTGGGGGAGGGAGAGACCTATTAATACTATAGCGCCAGGAAAACAAGTTTATTTTCCTGGTACTATAGTGGTCCTTTGATAATGGTAAAAGAAAATGACATGGTAAAGGAGGCGATATGATAAAGAAGAGAGTGAGATAACTTGAAGGAGATTGTAGAGAGTGTGATGTGTTTTTAGGTGGTTCAAGAAGATGTGATGCAATGAAGGAGGCTACAAAGGTGACATGTTTAATGTAAATGGACATCATTAGCAGTTATGGAGAGTTTGAGTAAGAGGCAACATGATGAATATGGTCAGAAATTAATGTGAAATGGATTTAAGGGAAAAAGGAGGGTATTCTATAGTGCAACGTTTAATGGGATGTAAAGTAATACAAGTCAGTTTGTTCTTCTGTTAATAACAAGAGATGCAATAAGGGGACAAGTTTAAAAAAAAAAAAAAAAGGGGGCGGGGGGGGAGTGCATGCGGGTGAAATGTAATTTGCTTTGTTGTGTTCATGCACGGTCATTTGATGTCATCAAGAAAACACTCCTAGTACACATCAGCATAGAGGAGCAGTACCAGACCCTTTCTCATACACCAAAATGAGAACTGATTCTCTCCTACAAGGAGGGAGTGAAATCTAGGCTGAACATTAGAGGAAAGTGTTGCATGTGTTGGATATATAGGGTTGGCAGTATTATCTACAATGACAGAGCTAGATTATTTATTTTACATGTGTTTACACTCCTCCTTCCTTTCTTATGGACATATGGTCCCATGCTGGAGATATTTCTAATGAAAATAGAAATTGATGTTATTTTATTAATTAAATCCTGTATCCTTCAAATTAGTTAGAGCTACCTAAAATGGCATCTTCTGAAGACACTAGTGGATATTTGATTGTAAGCTTATGAGCACAACTCAAAAAAACTCTTCTATATTGGTTCTTTAGTGATTGTCAGATATACTCTATCTCAGGTTATTTGATCTTCTTTAGGGTCTCCCAAAGTTTAGAATGGAGGTGTGGATTCATTGTGCCTAGAATTATCATACAGTATTTCTGTGTTCTGTTGTGCAGAAGCGACCTGCCGATATATGGACTTCCCTTGTGTGGGATCAGTCTGATATGTCAATGATATGTTTCCCCTGTAATGCATTAGTGTGCTAAACCTCATGTGAAACATAGGCAGAGACTATTTGAAGGGCAAGCTGTTAATTATTATTATCATCCCTTTGTAGTATTCTCATACACTCTAGTTTTGATTACTTTATTTTATGTGTTTTGCAACGTTATTTGTGGTGGTGTATAAAACCACAAAAGAAAAAAACCCCACAGGCTAGCTAGCCTTTGATATATTGCTTGATGTGTAAACTAACTATCTAAATCAAATTAATTCTGAATGAGGCAACAAAAAAAATTGAAGATGCAAGCAACTTCAAAAGATGCTTTGGAGCCTTAGAACCACTTGTTTGTTTTGGCACTGCATACTCAGTAGTTATGGACTTATTATTCACTAAGCAGATATTAGGGGTGGTTTATGGTCACAGAGTGGGCTTGTATAACTTGGCTAAATACAGCATTGTCCAGAATACAATACAGAGGGATTTTAAAAATACTTAAATGAATATTCATGTGTTTAAGAAAGGCAAAAAGTCAGCAGATCTGTTACTAGCGTCGTGTTTAATTGGTGACATTCAGTCCAAGCAGGAAAACTTAACATGTGTCTAAATCTCCAACATCCTACTCCGCAGGTAGTTAATGATTGCTCATAATAGAGCTGTTCATGGCGACCCTAAGTCAGAACACATTAGCGTTTGAGAATAGGGAGTCTCGTGATACACAGGGGAGCCAAGAACATATGTTTGTGCTGCTATATAATGCATGATGCCGATATTAATATGTTTACTACTGTAAAGAAAAAGTCTATTTAATGGACAGTTCCACTTGATTTACTTTTGAGAACCTTAAGGTTTATTAAAATGCTAGATTCTAATGGACAGAACATGAGAATGGAGAAAATTCTACATTTATTAATCCAAAACTAGAATACCTATGGAGCTTCATTTGCCCCCACATGATTTCCGAAGAAACCCAAACCATAGAGCTGTGGGAGCTTTGCCTTACGTAAACCTTGCAGTTGAGAAGTAACGAGATGTAATAGTGCAATTAGTTAGTGCTGAACTCCATACAGCTGCTTATTTAATGTTTGGCTTATAGGACTCCCTTGGGCAGGCTGAATTGAATGGGAGAATTGTAAGATTCAGAACGCAGAGCTGTATGGTTAATAATTAGGTAAACATTGCTGAGTGCACATTTCTGCCTTTTAAAACCAGCTTGCATATTAAGCTACAAGTTTTCGGCTTTTTTTTTTTTTCTTTTATTCCTTGTTATCCCAAGGCATAATTAAGACTGCCAGAAGCTATGTATGGTTAGATCAGACTGCAACATATTTAATATTTTAAAAGAAAACAATATGACCAAAAATATAAGCAAGAAAAAATAAAAGATACAGACAGATCAGTCTCTCTCCAGACAAAGTATCTAATCCTGTTTATGGTCTGTTCTTGTCCCATTGATTCCTATCCTCTTTATGGGTAGGAGAGATGGATCAGTCCAAATTCTGAGTGCATAGCTAATCCTAATCAGGAAGACCAGTCGCTGTCTGTCGGAGTGAAGATAATGCGTTTTGATAGGTTAGAGGGCGTGGACAGGGTCCTTCCATGCACTGGAACTACTTAAAAAAGCTAACATTAAAGGGACACTTTATTTCATTAAAGTTATCTAGGTGCAGTGTTTACATTGCAGGCTTAACTCAATCTCTAGTGTCTGTCTTCCAGATAGCCACTAGAGGAGCTTCTTCCATAGCAGAGTTTTACTCCACAAAATGACGTGGGATGTCCTCATGCTTTCCATGAGATCGAATGGCATCTTCAAATTCCCATTCGGAAATCATTGATTCAATGCTTTCCTATGGGGAAGCTTTAATGTGCATGTGGCAAGTACCACACATGCCTATTAGGGCCTACCATCACCGTGATATCGTGGGAGGAGGAGACCTAGCCAAAGACATACCTGAAGAGAAGTGGGAAAAAAAGGATTTTAAACCCCTTTCATCACTGGATGGTTTGGGGGTATCTAAGTTAGAGACAGGGACACTAGTGTCAGGAACAAAGGTTTGAATTTCTAATGCTACAGTGTTACATTATTCTGTTTGCCATATTGTTTTAAATGGATTTATGATTCTTCTGGACTAACATTGCTACTTCAGTCTACAAAACCGTTTCATGGAAATACATTTTCGGTGACAAAGCCACTTTAAGAGCAGATTTTGTATTTTATGGAAGAGGTTTTTAGTGAAAACCCAAGGATTATTGGTGATTAAATGAGCATCATGCAGTAACCATTCATTATGCTTACGCGGCTGTTTGTGTAATTGAATCACTGAACAATGACTGCACAGGTGCATGTTCTTATTTTTTTGTTTATTGGCACTTTAATTACATTTTGTGTTGTTGACATGCTGTGAATGATTCACCAAAGATGTTTGTGTAGAAGCAGCAGGAAGGTTTATTCTAGGGGAATTATTTGTTTGCAGAAAGAGTAGATTAGAGGAAGCAGTGAAGTGGCTCCAATTTGTCTTCTCGTTTGCCATTGGTGGTTGGTACCCTTAAAGGCTTAGAAGACCTGATGAAAGGGAAGCGATCATAACAAGAAGTATATTTGTAGTGTTTTTAGCTTAGTTTTGCTTTATCTTTAAGTATTCAATTGTACAAAGTAGTTTAGTGTACCTACAAAACCAAACACTATTCGGGTAATTCATAAAACACTGGAATTTATCCTGATGGACAAACTCATGTGAGAATGTCTAAATTCCAGAGTGGCAATTCTTATATTTACTAAAGCCAAATCTGGTCGGGATTCAATGAGACCGAACTAACTAATCTGTAGCAATTGACTAGGTGCATTAGAGGTCTGGTTTTAAATGAGTGTTTTTAGATGTGAAGCTTACATACAAATTATGAGATTTAGAATACTCTTTAAAGCACCAATTTTGAAGAAAGAAAAAAGTGCACCTGAATGCATCAAGCTTTATTCATGTTCGCAAATCCTACTATGCTTAGTAGATATGCCGGGTTATAATAGAGGTCTTAACCTCCCTTATAGTAATAAAGGGGTCATTTTAACTCATAGGATTTTTGTTTTTGAATTCTCTTAATGTGGCTGTTGGCTAAGATGTGCTGGCCAGTTGCCAGATGGTTAACCCTTTCAGTGCCGGGTAGGGATAGACTGATTATAAGAGCCAATATTCAGCACTTTACTGATAATTGGTATTAGCCTTGTAATGTATCTATATTACTGATAACTCACTCCCCTTTCCCAGTCACCACACACTGTCTTCTGTATCCGGAAACTCTGGCTGCGAGTTTTTGAAGTGCCACATCGTGACCTCATGTCACCCCTTTCTGTGACTCCCCGCATGCGGAGCTCCGCTAAAGGCAGGGAGGTGAGACAGTGAATAATCTACTGTAATGTACTGGGCTGGCTGCCTGATAGTGATGGGATTATGATTGCTGTCAGCAAATTTATTTAAATTTTCCAGCAGTCTTCCTAGTTGTATTCCCATTACACATTTGCGTGCCAGTACGTTTATAAATCATGGGAGCTGAAAAGTGGGTGGGCCATTGAAGCGAACCACGTCACTGGCTCCACCCAAAGTGGGCGGACCTTATAGAAATGGAGTGTCCACAAGTAAATTTGACAGGGCAGTCTGGTGTGCATGCACTCCAGGTTACCTGCCAATCAAGTAGAAGCCCACCAATGGCGGACCATGCAGTGAGCATTGTTTCAGTGCTCTGCATGGTCCTAATGCCCTGAGTATAGCACAAGCATGTCTAATTCTTTTTGTTGGGGACAATTCCCTGGTGTTACTAAAAGCAGGACCAGGGACCAAAATTGGGACAGGACACAGTATTCAGGACATTTGGTAGGCCTACATTAGGTTTACGGTGTAAGTTAGTGGAGGGTTCAGTCGGTATAAGTGGGATTGGCCTTGGACTAAAACCCCTGGATCTGTCTATAGAAGATTATAATTTAAGCGCTTTGTAACTTTTCACATTTTATACAGATAAAACATTAAAATATAGGGTCTGGTTTGTATCTAAACAGCCTCTTTATTTATTTTTATTTTTCCTTTTTTCCATGTGATATTTTTTTAAAAATAATCTATATGAAGCATAAAAAAATATGGGATTAGTCGTTTTTACCTAGACCAGCCCTTTGAGCTTTAAATGTCAGGCAACCGCAAGATGCTTTTTTACATCCTGGAAAAAGATCAGTTATGGTTAGATAATGAATGATGTGACAGTGATGCAGTAGAGACATACATACAATTTAACAGTGGCTGTGATAATAAGTGATGTTATTTTGTATTGTTGTGACTTAAATGTATTGTTTCACATGTATTAAAATAACAGACCTGTAGATCTTACATTATTACTGCAGGCAGTTAATTATAAACGTATAGGGGGAAACGTTTTGTCCGTAAAAAATGAGGCAAAATGACAGAAGTGGAGCAATAGATATCAGTGGGGCGATCCTGTCTGCTTTTTCCTAAAGGCACACGTCACTGCCCAAATGAAATTAATAAAAATCACTGTTAGGCAAAGATAGCACGGATGCATTTAACTAGACATTTTCATTGAGAGTATATCTAACAGCCTGAAAAAGCTGCAGATCTCATCTGGAGCCTCTGCAAGACACCCCAGTCCCCCCAAAGGTGTGCTGAGAAAAGGCCTGCTATATTATAAGTCCCAAACCCGCTATTTAAAAAGTTTGAGCGGATTAAGTACATCAATCTTTTTGCTAGAAATGTAACCATTACATAAATTCCACAAATTACTAACGGAAAAAAGGTTAAAGGATATGGGTTTTTCGGTTAGGGACTAGGAATGCTTCCAGGCATTTGATGTGCTCCTTGAATCTAATTATCCAAATACACCGATCCAAGAGCAATTTCACCCCTAATTTTAAGGAGCTTACTTGTAAATCCATACAATAGATTGACGCTAGCTCTCTACAACTTAGACCTTGTGTTAACCTTACCCCTAAGGAATGGAAAGCATTGCTAGAACTTCCCAAAAAATTGGAATGTCATTATTAAGCCCGCTGATAAGGGGAGCAATATTTGGTGATGAACAGAACACACTACATTATAGATGGCTAAAAATATCCTTCGAGACAATCTCAGATATCCTTTATTAAGGAATAGGGCTTTTGATAAGAAAGTGATTTTGTCAGGAATCTTACCTGATGTGGAGTTCGGTATGCAGAGATATACACTCACCCTTGCAAATAAACACAGACCAGGGTGACCAGGCAAGAAGCCACCTGGCCTGTGAGTCTGTGCACGGGGGATATACTCAAAGTCGCTGTACAGGTAAGGACAAGCAAAAGCGTAGTCAGGGGAAGCCTGAGGTCAGAGAAAATGATGAGAAGAGCCAAGGTCAGGAGCCAGGAACGAACTGGAGAACACACGATCTGGATACTCAGAAACCGGAACCAAAAACGTGAATCAGAGTCAATGAATTGACACTGCTCTCAGGGAGAGGCAGTGCCTTATGCCTGGCTAATTAGTAATAAGCTACAGGTGGACCAAGATTGACAGGAGCAGGCACAGGTAAAGTCCAGCCCCCAGTGCTGGAGACATGGCAAGGATAAGCCTCAGGCTCAAACAAAAATTGAAGTAGCTCAGAAGCAGGAACATAAGCTTAGAACTACAAAGTTCGCAGGTTTAAATCCCCTGTTGGGCACTTCTGGGACGACCTTGTCTGGCCGTCTGGATGTCACGTTGAGAATCGTGACCGATTTATAGTGATTCATATGCTTTCATCTTGGATAAGTCCCACCGGATCTTCACATTTTACTGCCTCCCTAAAGTTCATAAACAATATGCCAACCTAAAGGGAAGGTCGATTGTATCAGGGACTAAAAACCTTACACAGAGATGCAGTATATGTGGATAGGGTTTTAAGAATTTGGTCAGCAAGCTTATTTATTTTTTAAAGGATACTAAAGAAATGATGTGTCTACTTGTTACTATCAAAGTTCCCACAGGCACTCTATGCAGCCTTGATATTGAGGCACCGTACTCAATACCCTTTAATTTAGGGTTGGTCACATTCGACAATTACTTGAGAGTAGGGGGGCACCACATTATGAACATACTGAGTTTGTTGTTGAATTATTATATTTTATACTCACACACTATTTTTTTTATTTTTATATTTCATAACCTCTTTTATCATCCGGTGCGGGGCACTGCGAGGTGATATTTTGTACCAAACCTATACCAACCTATACCTTGGTTGGTGGGAAAAATTTGAGTTCTTCACAGACTAATATTACCATTTCACACAGTTCATATTTTTGTGGAAAAGCTACATTGATGATGTATTGATAATTGAATGAATTGAATGGCACCAACGAGCTATTTAATGTTTTGTGGTGTGTCATAATGATAATAACCTTAATCCAAAGTTCTCTGTGGAAATTGGGAACCCATCCCTGAATTTTCTTGACTGTACATTATCCATTGATGAATCTGGGAAAATACAGACTTCCTCATTTAGGAAACCCACTGCAACAAACAGTTTATTAAGATGGTACAGTTACCATCCAACAACTGGATGCCAGCTTAATTACTGGGGTTATAGTACTGAGGGCTATTATGGCCCCATATTTAGTAATATTCTCTGAGGTTCAGCCTTAACTGTAGTTGTTTATAGTTTGCTATGGAGGAGGAAGTGTAATTGTTAAGAACAATTATTTAGATGCACTTGGACGTCCTATAATGAGCCGTACATTTAGGAAGCCCTAGCTGTATAGGTACAGACTCTGGCAGGGCAAGGCGTTTAAGGTTGGAAAAATCTAAGAACTAGGTATATGAACTGACCTTACTTCAGTGTTCTTAGAGCTATATATTTCCATTACTCTGTTGTCAATGTGTGTCAAATTGTCTGAATCCTTTGGGTAAGTCCCTAGCTTGCACCTTATTGTGAAGGGTCTGAGAAAGCCATTTAGATAATGTTATAGCAATAATGTTATTCCAGTTAACTTTGGAAGCCAGTGTGCATAACTCAGTGATGTATTCCAACTCTGACCTAGATCCTTGCTTGATCCTCCACAGTCTTTAGCGTCATTTTAACCTAACCAGGACTTTCGAGGGCTCTTTTGAAATCAGCAATACATTTCTGGTAGTTGTTTGCTATTGGCTTATAACTTTCCTAAGAAATTATTTTTCAACAACCAGGGTAGGCGGGAATGAGGCATTTCTTGATAAACCCCACCTTCACTCTGTCAGAGAGCTATGGTTTTAGGAGGGAAAACGTGAGGTTTTGTGACATTTCCTCAGATTAAATTCTTTCTCCAAAATCCCACTTTGTTTCTGCAAACCCTGATGACTCCAATCCTCTCCATGCACTGTATCTTACCCTATTATTAATGACTTTCTTGGGCTAAAATGGAATATTGGTATTACATGCTCTAGTCTACTTGCCAATGAGAGTAGTCTACATTGGTGGCTGGACAGGCCCAGGAGATAAAAGGTTCCATACAGGGTTCCAAATATCTGGCAGAGAGGCAAGCATCTATGTCTTTTTCTCCTCTATCTGGCCCTTAGCTTTATTTGCATTAATTATTATTATTATGTTATTTATATAGCGCCAACAAATTCCGCAGCACTTTAGATTGGGTGGACGAACAAACATGTAGTTGTAACCAGACAAGTTGGACACACAAGAACAGAGGGGTTGCACAATGAGCTTACATGCTAGAGGGAGTGGGGTAAAGTGGTAAGTATAGTATTAGACTAATGACCATTGCAAGAGAGGAATCAGTCGGGAGCTATTAGCAGTTTAATTGATACGCTTTTATGAAGAAGTGGGTTTTTAAATGATTTTTTGGTGTGGAGACTGGGTGAGCATATAATGGAGGAGGGAAGTGAGTTCCCTAGGAACGGTGCAGCCTTGAGAAGTCTTGAAGGCGAGTATCAGAGGTGGGAGTACGGACAGAAGATAGACGTAAGTCTGCAGCAGAGCGTAAGGGCCTAGATGGGACATACTTGTGTATTAGGGAGGATAAATAGGTGGGAGCAGCATTGTGTAGAGATTTGAAAGCAAGAACCAGAATTTTAAATTGAGCCATATATCTTACAGGAAGCCAATGTAGGGACTGACAGGAGGGTGAGGCGTGGGAGGTGCAGGCGGACAGGATGAGCCTTGCTGCCGCATTCATTATGGACTGTAACGACGCAAGTTGGGAGCACGTAAGACCACTGAGAAGCAAATTACAGTAGTCAAGGCAAGAAAGGACAGTGGAATGGACCAGCATCTTAGTCGCATCTGGTGTTAAGTAGGGTCGGATGCGCGCAATGTTTTTGAGATGGAAGCAGCAGGATTTGGCGATTGACTAAATCTTTGAGTATCTTCTCTAATAAATTTTGCTTTTAAATTTGAAGTAGTGTTAGACTTAGTCATGATATGTTATTTTTACATAATCTTTATAATCTATTTTTAGAATACTCTTCAAAACCGTATTAAGCTCCGAACAAATCTGTCAAAAAATCTTTACATTAAATGTTAACGGGAGGATCTTTAAGTTGTGTCCGTTGGGTTTACACAGATGGCATTTTTGGATTTCTTGTACTCTGATCACATGCAGATTGAGACATGTGGCACAGGGACAAGTTCATCTAATTATAGCTTTGTCAAAAATAAACACAGCATTTATATTGAGGTTTAGCTTCTATTAAAAAAAAGGCATAAACAAAGTATTGGGGAAATATGATTAGAAAGATAAGATTTAAAAAAAGAAAAAAAAAAATCTGCTTCAAATGCACTTTAAAGGACTTTTGATCGATGGTGCACATATTTTATCGCTTGTTTGATCCAGACTGTGTTCTCTTTTTTTTCCAGCTGGAATCTCAATAATTTACACTGTTAACTTCTGCTCTCATCCATAGTTAGCGGACTCCCATTGACATTCTTTCCCTAAGAAACATGCCCACACTTCATTCCAGAATGCTGGACATGGCTACTGGTCTCTTTCTCTGTCTGCTCATTGTACAGTCTCTGCTGGTCATATTTTGAATGTCCTCTATCTCTTATTTAATATTAGAAGGCTTGCACAGTTTGAGTTATATTTCTATATGAACTAACCAAATTGTGTTTAAGAATACATTTGTCTACTTCTGACTTTTGTATTTATCCAAATTCCCATTATAAGTAATCCATACTTTTTCATGTACAATGTAACTGATACCTTATCGATGTGTACATATTGGACAATACAAATACAGTCCATTATCTCTGTGCAGATGGGACTACTTTATTTTATGGTGGATGTTAATTTATTAGCCATCTGGTGACTGCATTAATCCATTAGTTATGTTTGTTTCTTCTCTTTCTTCTTATAATACTTTCTCCTGCATAGAGTGTTTTTTGTTTTGTTTTTTATCACTACCGCTGGAACTTACAAATCTAGATCAGATCATTCATATAGTTTTACTTTGTGTTTTAGCATATGGTCTTTGAATTTTAACTCTTAATTAACTGACCACCACCCAAAGAAAAAAGGCTTACAAAAATTTGGATTATCCGGGTTATTCACTAAAGTGTGAAGTGGCAGTAATTCAAAGTACCCGTATATACTCGAGTATAAGTCGAGTTTTTCTGCACTTTTTTTGTGCTGAAAAACCCCCACTCGACTTATACTCGAGTCAATGTCTGTATTATGGCAAATTACATTGCCATAATACAGACAAGGACCGCTGGGCTCATTACAAGCCCGGCGGTCCTGTTGGGGGCTGGCAGCGAGCTGTAACTTACTTTTCCTGCAGCTCCTGTCAGCTCCCTTCACCTGCGTTCCGGTCAGCTCCACTGCACTCAGACCACGAGACTTACAGTGGAGGAGAAGGGAGCTGACAGGAGCTGCAGGAAAGGTAAGTTACAGCTTGCTGCCAGCCCCCCTCCTACACAGCCCATGCCACTGGACCACCAGGGAATGAGAGCCCCCTTCCCTGGCCAGCTAACAAGCAGGGAGGGGGGACGAAAATAAATAAATACAAATTTAAATAATATTAAAATAAAAATATTAGTAATATAAAAAAATAATAATAAAAAAAAACTGCCCACCCCCCACCAAGGCTCTGCATCACATACACACACACACACACACACACACACACTGCATTCATATATACACACTGCATTCATTATATACACACCCTGTAAATAAATATTCAATTAATATAATTTTGGGGGGATCTAATTTTATTTAGAAATTTACCAGTAGTACCACCCTAGTCTTATACTCGAGTCAATACGTTTTCCCAGTTTTTTGGGGTAAAATTAGGGGTCTCGACTTATATTCGGGTTGATTTATACTCGAGTATATTTAAAATTTTAAGTCCTAATAGCTTAAATGGAAAAAAACTGTTTCCAATCTATTTTATTTGCCTTCATTTTGGTGATTAACTCTGTAAATATTGAAAACAAGATGGTAAATGAGTAATTTTTTACTGTGGACCAAAAATAAAATGAATCTGAAATCAAATAAAATTACTTCCACTACTAGTGATAAAAACCCTGAAATTTGCCTTTAGGCCAACAATTTTCTCCATTAGAAAATGGTGGTTATTTTCTCCATTAGAAAATGGGCAGGTTTACATTTTCTTTTTTAAATAGCTTTACAATCTCTCTATAACCAATGCATAATAGTTATCTCTACTTCAAATTTCACAATGTTGACTGAACATAAAATTATTTATTGAAGGTATTTCCCTTAGAGTTATAATGTTCCTGATCTATACTGAAATTACAAATCTTTGAATGACACCTTAACCTTTCATATGCTCTGACTTGTCCAAATATGTCCACCATGGAGCTCGACAGAGATCAAATAAGAATTTAATGGAACTTCCAACAGAAGGGTCAAACTAAAAAGAAAAAGCGAAAACATGAAAGGCCACCTTGAGGGCTGAGCTCCGTAGTGGAAGGTCTGCCACCATGTTGTCTATACATAGTCGGGCCAGTTAGCTTCTTTCAAATTAGAGGTCAACTTTCATATTGGCTTAGGAGGCAGAAACATTGTTGTGCCCATGATATTGTGGGCCCATGTTCTCACCATGTCTGCAGTGAAGGACTCTGCTTTCAAATAAGTATTGTCTGGCAAGTATAATATGCAGTGCACGGGGCCTGTTGTGTCTAGGAGCCTATCCTGGGTGCATTTTGAGGTCTCTCTCTTAAAGGGTCATGGCCCATGTGTGCCACAGGTCAGCATTAAGAGTGTCTCAGGCATTTATCTGGAAGGACTGGTCTTGGGTAGTCAAAGCATAATTAGTTTCACACCTCCCTCTCTTCCTGAGCCATAAGTGCACAAATCTCTCCAGATGGTCATGTGGTGTCCATTCAGCTAAACAGTGGTGTCAAATATTTCTTAGGTCAAACATACAGTAGCTCTCACTATCCAGAATGTCTTCTTTGTCATCCAGTTGAGTCGACAGACTCCCTTGTAACTCTTGTACCTGGGGCTAACCCCCACAAAGGGAGACTCTCATTTATCATCCTCCAGCCATGCCATCACCCTTCCAATGTCTTTTCACTGGATGGGGCATCTCTTTTTGGGAGTAGTCTGAGTCACCATAGTCTGCTGAGTAATGAGCAGCTATTTTAGAAGTGGTCAGTGGTTTAACCGGTTCTGGTAGCTGGAAAAACACGTTTGAGAGTGATTTTTCCACAGTGGCCATAACTGCTGAATTTATTATGGATATTTATATTAGTGGAATGGGACTGAGCCTCTTGCATGTTGAAAATTTAAAAGGGTCCCAATGTGTAAAAATTCTGTACGTAACAAGGCAGACTGAAAACTAGGACAGAGACGGGAAACCAGACTCAATTGAGGCCTCAATATAATAGTGAAAAAATATCCACTCTTAACAGGAGATAATGCTGCAATATGTAGAAAGGCAGACATTGGAATTCACACAGCAAGGTCTTACCTTAGCTTATTGACCGATGTATATGGATATAAACACCCAGTCTCACTGTGCAGCAGACAAGTATCTGTAGTTATAGATAAACCCAGTAGTATATACAAGTTAGGTCTAATAACACACAGGAGAACATATGTTTGTGTGGTACATAGAGCCAGTAGTTGTACCAGACCAAACTATTGTCCAGAACAAGGACAGACCGAGAAAAAGAGCAGCGGCAGTCTGGAATTATGGGTACATAAACAGTAACTACAGTAAAATAGATATAAGGTATAGTGTAGTACAAATAACTGATAAGTCTCCCCCATAGTAGTGTAGAGCAATACGTTGACCTGTGTCCTATTGGAGGAGCAAAGAAAGAGAAGTTTGTTTTTTCTGATTGGTTGATTGTTACTGTAGTTTTTTTGTTTGCTGCTTTTTTTGAGTCAATAAAGGAAGATAAACAAAATATGATGCATACATGTATGTACTTACAGACTAGCCCCCAAAAAATCACTTCATATATCAGACTGCCTAGCTATAGAGCATAATGTGATTTCTCCTAAAACATTGGTGTCTTTCTTTCCTCCAAAGTTTTGTGGAGGAGCTACAACTCAAACAACCTAATTTGAATTTGTGTACCTCTAGGAAAGTGGTTATTAACCAGTCGTAGAAGCTCCTAGACTTGTGCACAACTAAAAAATTTGGTTGAACATTCAGGCAAAAATCAGATAAAGTCAGGGCCGGCGCTACCATAAGGCGGCCCAGGCAATGTCAGACACTGAGCTCCCCTCCAACCAGCTACTTCTTAAAGCATGGCCGAGTGCAGCCCAGAGCTTTCCGCCAGCCGAGCCCAGCCTCCTACTGCCCCCTTTTCCCAGCCTTTTACCATAGTGTCTGCCTCAGGCTGTGTGGAGGGGTTGGGGATATAAATTACATCATATCCCTGCTCCCTGTGTACCACACAGCGTGGCTGGTGCCCATTGATGGGGCTGGGCTGCAAGACAGGACTCCACAGAGCTGGACAGCATGCACCCCAGGGACCAGATTGAACAGATGTAAGTATGTAATTGTGACTGTGTGTGTATGTATGTATGTCTCTGCATGCATGTATGTATTTCTCTGTATGTATGTTTCTGTATGCCTGTATGTGTGTCCATGTATGCATGTTTCTGTATGCCTGTATGTTTCTGTATGTATGTGTCTTTATGACGGTATGCGTGCAGGGGCCCATTTGCCTTGGGCGGCACTATCTGGGGGGCGGCAAAAAAGGCCACCCCCCAATTGCCCTGGCAAATGCCTTGCCAGCCTCTTGTCCTGGGGGGCCCAGGAGCTGGCCACCTCAGGGCCCCCCGAGACTGGCAGTGGCAGCACTTTCAGGGCAGGCGGCAAGGGAGCACTGATCCTCCTGTTCAGCTCTCTCGGGCGCACCGCAGTGATGCCGGAGCCGGAATATCACGCCACTTCAGCCCCGGCATCACTATGCGGCACGCCCAGTAGCAGAACTGGAGGATCAGTGCTCCCTCGCCGACTTCAGTGAACGACCAATTGCCCCCAGGAAAGAGAGAATCCACCCCAGCACTCCCAAAGGTAGGGAGGCTCGGGGGATTGAATAAAAAAAAGAATGTGTGTGTCTGATAGTGAATGTGTGTCTTATAGTGAATGTGTTTAGTATGTGTGTGTCTGTTAGTGAATGTGTTAGTATATGTGTGTCTGTTAGTGAATGTGTTAGTATGTGTGAATATGTTAGTAAGTGTGTATCTGTTAGTGAGTGTGTGTCTGTCTTTCAATGAGTGTTACTATGTGTGTGTCTGTTAGTGAGTGTTAGTATATGTGTGTTAGTGAGTGTGTATGCATGTCTGTTAGTGAGTGTTAGTATATGTGTGTGTTGGTGTGTGTGTGTGTGTATCTGTTAGTGAGTGTTAGTATATGTGTGTTAGTGAGTGTATATGCATGTCTGTTAGTATATGTGTATGTTAGTGAGTGTGTATGCATGTCTGTTAGTGTGTATGTGTATTTAGAGGGCGGGGCGGGGGTGCCTGAGTTTTGTCATGCCTAGTTCAGCACAGAACTAGGATACACCACTGTATGCATGTATGTTTCTGTATGTCTATATATGCCTGTATGTCTCTGAATGCATGTATGTAACTGTATGCCTTTATGTCTCTGTATGTACGTATGTATGTATGCCTGTACGTCTCTGTATGTATGTTTCTATATGCCTGTATGTATGTGTCTGCATGCCTGTACGTACGTATGCATGTATGTATGTATGTATGTGGTATCATGCTTGATAAAGACCTGGGTACAGGTCAAAATATTGCAGATCCATTAAAACTGCTTTGAACATATCACAGTGAGTGCCTGAGATATTTTTTCTTAAATGTATGTATGTGTCTGTATGACGTTATGTCTCTGCCTGAATGTGTCTGTGTGTCTCTGCCTTTGTGTATGCATGTCTGACTATGTCTCTGTGTCTGCCTGTCTCTGTATAATTATTTCTGTGTTTGTATGACTGTGTGCCTGAAAAACGACAACTGTGTGCCTGTGGCTTGGGAGGAAAGACACCCAAAGGGACCTGGAGGGGAGGGACACACAAAACGGACTGAGGGGGAAAAAGAGCCACACAGAGGAACTGAGGTGGAGAAGGAGACAAAATAAGGGGCTGGGGTAAGAAAGAGACACAGAAAGGGGCTGGGGTAAGAAAGAGACACAGAAAGGGGCTGGGGTAAGAAAGAGACACAGAAAGGCGCTGGGGTAAGAAAGAGACACAGAAAGGGACTGGGGTAAGAAAGAGACACAGAAAGGGGCAGGGGTAAGAAAGAGACACAGAAAGGGACTGGGGTAAGAAAGAAACACAGAAAGGGGCAGGGGTAAGAAAGAGACACAGAAAGGGGCAGGGGTAAGAAAGAGACACAGAAAGGGGCTGGGGGAAGTAAGATGCATGCAAAGGGTATTGTAAAACACACTATAGGGGGAATAATATACAATAGAGCACAAAAGGGGAAGAAATTCAAGGTTACAACAAGACACACAGGTGAAGATGCATTTTTGTGTTTGTTTTGAAGGGATGTGGGGGGCAGCAAAGTGCATCTTCACCTGTGTAGCTAAAAATCCTTGCACTGGCCCTGGATAAAGTGCAATTTGTTTGAATCCAAACACACAAGTCTAGAAGCCAGTCTTCTAAGAAGACTCTTCTAAGAGTTACACTTCATTTCCCTTTACATTCCCTAACAAAGACCAACATGGCCAATTTAAATGATAAAAAATAGTCTAGAGAATTCAAGAAAACGTATTAGAGCTTCCAACCACCTGATCAGTTTACTTTCAAGGCAAATGGGTTACAATCATTTGGTTTAAAATAATTAATTCTTGCTTCCTTGATAATTGTGTCTTGTTTCAATGAATTGAGATGCATAGTAACTCCTGTATGTATGTGTTGTGAGTTACTGTATTTTTAGTTTATCATAATTATTCTTTTTTTTTTTTTTTAAATGTCTGCAAGACAAGTTTCATGGGAATATTTCCTCTTGATTAACGTATGTAAGATAAAAATCTGGAAACACTGGCTGGAGGTGAAAAATGCCAGTTTTTCGCATTTTGAACACAGACATTCTACTTGTCTTTGGAGAAGTGCAGAGTTTATTTTAGGCTATGGTCTGATGCATTCTAAATCCAGCTTCTGTGGAATGTGAGCACATCTTCTGATGCTGCATTTCTACCAGAGAGTAAAATAATAGCACCATCAATTGGCATTTATGTCACTTCAACAGGCATTCCAGTTATGCAGTCAAGTCGATTTTTGTGGTTGCTGTGTTCACAATTCATGTTTGTGGCCATGTGTTCTGTAACATACATTATTATGATTATACAGGGTGGGCCAATATTCAGAGTAGGGTTTGACGTGTCAATAACTTTTTTATTAATGATCCAATTTCAATGATATTACATACAATTTATTTATTGATAAAATATTTTTTTTAAATTGCGTTACAATAGGATACAGTCTTACAAAAAATATAATATGCAAACAATATATATATATATATATATATATATATACATACACACATATATATATATATTTGAAAGAACTGAATGCGATCAATGTGCTATTTGAATTTGTTCTGATACGCCGTTATTTATTTTGTAATTTACGTAATTTAGGTACAGTTCTAAAGATCATTGTACCAGTTTTGTCAGTGTTTAGGGAGAGTTTGTTATCCGCTATCCACTTTTCTACCTCTGTGAATTGGTTTTGGAGCACAGTCTCAAGCTGCGGTAGATTGGGTTTACTAGCGTAGATTAGTGTCGTCTGCATACATGTGTACAGTAGAGGATTTGCAGACATAGGCAGATCATTTATAAATAATGTGAATAGCAGGGGGCTGAGTATGGAGCCTTGGGGAGCACCACACATGACTGGAAGAGGGAGGGAGGCACTATCAGAAATAGTCGCATATTGCAATCGGTCTGATACCTATGATCGAAACCAGGTTAGCGGACGATGACTAATGCCTGAGTTTTTACGTTTTTGCAAAAGAATGCCATGGTCTACTGTGTCAAAGGCCTTGGCAAAATCAAGGAAAATAGCTCCAATTAAGTCTTCTTGTTCCATGCCAATTTGGATGTCATTGCAAACTTTTTAAAAGGGCATCGAAGTTCAGTGATTTGGACAAAAGACTGATTGATCAGTGGTTAGATAGTTTGATTGTTGATAATATTCACATAGTTGTGTGAGGACGCATTTTTCCAAGATTTTTGACAATACTGGGAGCAGTAATATCTGGCGATAGTTAGATACCAAAGTATTTTCACCACTTTTATGGATAGATACTACTTATGCAGTCTTCCAAAGTTTGGTTATGTATCCTGACACCAGGGATTCATTGATTAGGGTATTGTCAGGTTTAGCAATTGCCGTCACACTGATCTTCAGCAACATTGCTGGGATCTGATCTGGTCCACACTGGTTTTTAATTTTTAAATTACTAAGATGTCCCACACTAACAGGGACAATGAATACTAAACTTATGGTAATTTGTTTGACTAGATACTGTTGACATCTTTGAAATGAGCTCCTTTTCCTAGCTCGCAAAGTCAGGCTCTTTCGATTGCATTGTTCATAACATTAGTTAATGTGTGAGGTTCTAGCGCTCTAATTTCTGCACTGATTTTCTTTTGAGCTGCTCAACTGTGTGCGGTTTTATCACGTACAGCCGCTCCTTCAGATATCCCCACAGGAAGTAACGGGGACCTGAAATTAACCTGGGGATTTCTTAAAATTATCCAATGGCTGAACAGTGGTCTCTATTTAAAAAAAAAATAATTCCACTATTTTCACTTGTTGTTACTTTGTGAAATTACCCACGATGCATCTCCCAAGACTCTGTTATATTTACCTGCAACAAAAAAGACATTTAACTATTAACAGATAACTTATTTACTTGTCAAATCCTACTCTGAATTTTGGCCCACCCTATATATAATGCAGAGGAGGTGCTAGTTGTAAAATAAACAAACTGTGAATCTATGAAAACACAGGTGAGAGTTGTGAGAAAGTTGACTGTGATTGAGGCACTGGTAATGTGAATGCTTATGTGTGTGGTATAACTAAGAGGGATTAATCATAAGAAGATGGGAAAACATGAGATGGTTGTGAATGTAAAATTGCTAAGTGTCGAATATAATAATGAAACATTGTGTGTGTGTGTGTTAAGAAAATACATGCCATCTTAAAATAAGGGTGGTGATAAAGTGTAATGATGATAAAAACACGTTGACAAATGTATCTTAAGAAAATGAAGTTGTGTGAGGGGCTATTAAAATGGAAGTAAAATACAGCTGGCAAGAAGTTGTAAAGAGAAGCATAAAAGGTAGTTTTGAGAAGTAATAAAGTCAAGAGAGAGAATAAATATATAATATAAGTAAGTTCTATAAAAATAGACCGCAACAAATGAAGGGACGCAATGCAATGCAGAAGTCTGGCAGAGAGAATATTTAATATCCGACAGTAGGATCGCTCCTCTAGGGGTTATAGAGTTGAATGTTTGCATCCAATTCATTTCTGGATTTTATGTTTATTCATAGGACATATTTCCTTGATATACTTCACATTTTCTCTCTCTATGGTTACCTAAATATAAACAGTGTAAATATATGAATAATAGTGCAAAGACCAAGACTGACTCTTGGCAGATTATGTAGACAGATGGGTTGTTTAAAAAAAAAAAAAAAGTATAATCTGTCCATGGGTATACAAAAATCTTCAGTTTAAATGAGGCTGCAAAATCACAGTTCATTTTCAGCAGCATTGACTGATAAAATGTAGGTTATGTAAAAAGAGCTGTTCTGCGTCAATACTAAATGGTTTATTCACTAAACTCAGAATTGTACAGAATTGAAACTAAATTGCAAAATTATCCAATTTAGCCAAAGCCCAGGTATACATCTAGCAAGAATGATTGACAGGAAGCCAACATGGACACGCCCAGTTGCAGGATTAGGAAGTGTGGATTTCAATTTGTAATTTAATTTTTTTTTCACACTTCACAAAAACATTTTTGGGAAATATAGGGGTAATTAACCATAATATAAACATTCAGCACTGATTTTATACAGTTTGTTAGTGCATTTCAAATTTTGCCTTATAACTATTCAATTAAGAACTCCTATTGTGTGTTTGTTTAACTAGTATGTGTATTCATTTTTCTCTTTCCTATGTTACGGCCAGACTTCATTTTTATTGTTTTGAAAACATTGGGTTGTGTTGTATAATTATCAATATTTCTGTTTTGTAGAAGTATTACATGTTTTTCTTTTACCTGCCAAGTGTCTAGGAATCGGAGTATAAATGTCCCTGTCCTTGTATCCATAGCCAAGCTATTACTTTGTGCTTCTACATTGGACTTTCCTGTGGTTGCACCATTCCTAGCCGGCACAAAAGGTTCCACCCCCTCTTTCCTCTACACCCAGCACTTCTTCCTGTGTTGCTGCCCTAATGTTTTATTCATCCTGTCAAAGGCAGCCTTGACAAGCAGTCACATAAATCATTTAAAGATTGTTCTCCTTTAAAGGGGCTACCATAAAGATATGTATAAACCAATGGACACTCTCTCCATACTGGGGCTGGTGTTTTCCTGCATGACTCTTTCTGCGGCAGGAAATGCTTGGTGTTCTATTAATAAGAAATCTCAATTCATAAAATCATGTAGTAAATGGAAAGGATTTCTGGACAATCAGATTGTCTTTAGGCATGTTTCAATCTCTGCTATATTGTTCGTTGTATGTTCCAAACTTGTCCTCGTGTTAATTGTTAACAAACTGACCAGAAGGTCACATCACTGTAAATCAGCAAATAATCATTGCAGATGCAGAAAGGTTGGACTTGTTGGAAATGTAATTATGCATTGAACTTTCCCAAATTAAATGTAAACTTTTTTTATATTCTTTGCTAGACTGAAATAATAGCGAAAAACTATGTGACATGATCCTAGTCTTCTACTTCCCCTTTATGTCTGCAAAATATTCTCCAGGGAATACACAAAACCAAATGAAATTACTCTCCTAATTATATCGGAGTCCATGCTATGAAGCATCTGTTCATTCTGCAGACACTGATTACTGTATTGCTGACACCTATAAAAACTCAGACTCTCCTCTAATATCTAAGTGTGCGTGTATTAATACATTCTTCCAAACCATCATATTTCTAATTCTATCTTCAAACAAAAAAACAAACATATTAAATTATTATTCTGATTTCAAATACTGCAGTTACTTTAGAACAAGGGGATGTGATCTCAAGTTGAAGGGTAGACGCAGGTTCAGATGCAATGTGTGTAAGTACGTCTTCACAGAAAGAGTGGTTAATCCGTGGAATAGACATCCAATGGAGGTGGCAAAGACCAAGACTGTCAGGGAATTAATGAATGTTAGTATCTGCCTAAGGCTATCCTACAAACTAACTAATTTTGATATTGATATATTATTTGACTTGATGATTTGCAACTGTGTTGTGGTAAGGAAATTGCTGAGTAATGAGTTCCCACTCTGTGATCTTGGCTTATAAGAAAAACACCAGTCCATGGTGCCTTAGTAAAAATGACACACTCTAAAACCATACTGCATCATTAGTTGTCTAACCGCTCACACCAGTGAAACACCCATTGCCATTATGGTTATAGGCATCGCTGAATAGTCTAGGGTTGTATATAGGGGCAATGTCTAGTAAGACAGCACAAATTATGACTGAGTGATTCCATGTAAGAGATTACATTACTAATTCCCAACCAGTTGTTTAAATGTAAATTTAGGAAACTCTGTTCTAGTTCATCAGTTTACAGAATAAGTAAACTTCTCCACCATAGTCAGACTACACCATAAACATAGACCTTTTATTAAATTATTGTATCTTAAATAGCTAAGAAACTATAAATCCAAGCATTAATCCTGTTAAGCAACATTGGTAGCATCAGCACAATGATAAAGGGTTTGAATCAATAGTTTTAAGCATAGCAGCTGTGATTGCTACATGTGGGTCGTTCAAGAGTCCACCTGTTCTCTGCAGTTTAACCTCCGGCAAGTTAACATCACCTAACAGACTGCACATTCTGTCCAGGGAAGGGACTTTCCCTTAAAGCTACTTTGCCTCCTTCTGAGGACTTTGCTTATTTTGCAATGACCCTTGATGGTGACATCGCTGCTTGGTGTGTGTGGTGGCCTGTAGGTTCAGGAGAAGGTTAGTCTTGTAACATAAAGCTGTCTCTCTCAGCTACTGCCTTGTCAATCCAGGGGATTCTGTTAATCTGCCAGAAGCCCAAGTCAGTTCCACACTCTTGTGCATGTTTAAGAGTACAACACTGATATCTATGAAGGAACCTGCAAAATCATTGGAGCCTCCATAGAGAATACCTTTTTCTTCACAGCAACCAGTGATGGCTGAGAGGATTGATAAAGCTTGATAACCGTTCCAATTCTTGTCAAGTGGTGGGAAAATACATAAGACAAAGTAGTCCTTATTTTGTCTTATATCTTTTGACTGCGTTAGAATTTTTTGGGGGGAGGGGAAGGGAAGTGGGAGGGGGGTAGGGGGTTGAAACTGCACCTGAGATAGTGTCTGCAGGTACACACAAAATATGCATATTTTTTACCCAATACATCTCTATAGCAACGTTGAAACTACAGACCTGAAAGCGATCACCCTGTTTAAGAAAGCTTCAATGGGGCATTGGCTGCTGTGAGCGCTGATCTCAGTGGGATGACTCTTCAAATGACCGCTTATAAAAAGCATTAAAAAAAAAAAAAAACACATGGCAAAATGCATTAAATCCTGGTCAGATGCAAGGGACAGGCCATTGGATCTGACCCTGATTCAATGCATTTTGCTATGTGTTGTTGTTTGTTTGTTTTGTTTTTAATTTTTATAAGCTGTCATTTGACGTTTTCCTATACCTGCTATGCTACTTTAGAATAAAAACAGTAGCGTTAAAATATTACTATGAAGAAACAAAATAATTAACAGGTAACATTTATCACGGTCTCTCAGTAATTCTTATCTCATCACTTTCATTTTCAATACCTGAACTTTGAATTGTTCATTACACACTGTGATCTAGAGTTTTCATATGGAAAAATGAGAGTAATAATAGTCCGTCCCAGTCCCTCTGGATTTGTAAGCCTCGGTTCAATATACCCCAAAGAATACCAGAGTACAGAGGGGGGATTTAGTGTAATAAAGTTTTGTGATCGATAATGATTAAAAGTGGCAATTATTATTACACATTATCTATAAGAAAAAAAGAACATTTAATATTTGACTTAACTTATTAATATTAGAGTGTATTCAAACAAAGTGCTGAGATAAGAATAACCAGAGACTGGATTAAATTGTGGGTTAAGTTGCTACATTGTTATCTGTTATTTTTTTTTACCATAGTAACATTTTATTGCTACTGCTTTAATTGTTAAATAGCATAGGAGATATGGGAAAATATCTGTAGCGCTGGTTGGTTATTGGTATTACTGGTGGGATTACTATTTTATTAATTCAGCAGCTGAGTTTAAAAAAAAAAATGTATATTTTTTTAATTCCATAATTTTTCATTATTGTGCTTCTGTATTAGAGTGTCACTTCAGTCATTTGAACTAAGCCAATCTTGGACAATGAAATGAGTGCTTGCAGCAAAGATGTTTTCTTTTGTAGCCAACTGTAACGGAGCTCCTTGTACTCCGACCGAGTACCCTCCGTTGACGGATGCTCCTAGCGCTTCCTGAGGACTCCAAGCAGTGCAGCAGACTCCACAACCGCTGTATCTTGACTGGAGTCTCGCCGTCTTCCTTCCACCCTGGATCAGCTTCTGTCCTCCAGGACTGTGTGGGAAAGAACTCTTCCTTCAACCCTGTATGAACCTCCAGCATCCAGGACTGTGTGGTGAAGACCCCTCCTCCAAGGAGAGCGCGTCAGGAACAAGCTCTTAAAAGAGCTAAGTGATTCAAGCTCAGGGGAGCATGCAGAGCATAGCAATCCCCAGTGTGATTATAACAGCTCCCTCCAATAACAAGACAAGGCTACGTTTAGAGAAATCAAGAAGAACTGTCTAAATCTTTATTTCCCTGGGGACCAGCCCACAGGGTCACAACATTAACATTGCTGTGAAAACTCAATAAAATCACAAACAGTCAAACCATAGCAGGCAACACACAGTGACTTATCACAACACAATGGCACATTTTTAAAGGGGTGGGGGAGACAATATTTAACAGAAAATATCTCACGTGTCTGCAGAATTGGCAATATGCAAATCTACCCGAATATGCAAATGAACCAGTCTTGCTATTCACGTAGTGCATATTGCTGTTGCTACCAACAGAGGGCACTAGACAAGCTCCGTAGCCAAACCCACCTAGTTGGTAGAAAACTTCAGCAGTACAGGAGAGCAGGCGATACATTACACAGTACACACACACACACTATAAACAATTACATTACACACACCCTGCACCTATAATGGGTACAGGGTGACTAAAACATAAGAGAAATAAAGCAACCTACATAAATAGTCTGTCTGAAGGTAGAATAGGGGCATTAAATCCAAATACATCAAAGAGTCATAGTCACAGGGGAGGAGGCTGGCAAGCAGGCCTCTCCAGGACCAAGTGGCGAAGGGCACTTCGTCACACCAAAACAGCAACAGCTTGTTTTTAAGTATTGTGGATTTTTTGCATGATGGATGCTCTGGGCAATTGTTTCCTCTAGAGTTTTGTTCCACTGAGCTAACCAAACCAGGAAATAACATGACCCGTTGTCTGATTGACAGCCAGATGGGTGTAACAAGGTTCATTTATAAAAGTGCCAATTTCTTTCGAAAATCTGCACTTTTTGGTAAAAATAAATATATATATATATATATATATATATATATTTTTTTTTTTTTTTTTTTTAAATAAGACATTCTAAACACACAAAGCCTTTAAAGGCATACTATAGTGTAAGGAGTACAGACTTTTAATCCTAACACTATAACACCCTCTGTTTCTCCCCTTCTTCATGCTCTCGACCAATAAATGGTTAAAAACCCTTTATTTACCTACCCATCTCAGTGCTGATGTCCCTCGGCACTGGGTCGGCGCTCTGCCTCCTAAGACATCCAATGGTGCTTTGTAAGTCTGAAGTGTCCCTTTGAGTTAAACTAATACTTGCATAATGTTCTCTTTTATTTATTCAATTAAATGTAACATTTAACCTGTGACGTAAAAAAATAAACAAAGGTGACATTTGCTATAAATCTAATTCTAGAGTTTATTCACTAAATTCCAAATGGCAGTAAAATTAAAACAGAATGAAAAAATGTAGGCTAAAACAGCTGAGCTGTAAATTAAGTAAAGCTGGAGAATGTTTCTAGATCAGCTATTTTGGCCTACACCTTTCCATTTCTGATTTTCACTTTGCTAAGTTTGGTGAATAAACCCCCTAAGCACTGACATTGCTCGATCGAAAATTGTAAATACATACGTAGAGTACATTTTAATAATTTTTATTCCTGCATGTTATGAGGTAATGGTTAAGAGCTGTGTAATTGGCAAATGTGAAAAGAGAAGATTTATCTTCATTCATCTCCTGAGAGGTCTTTCCAGTACTGCCATAAACCGATTACAAGCATCGTTTCCCCCCTTACAAATATCTCATAGAAAATCCGAGAGGGTCACATCTTAGAGTATGCTGTAAATTAGTTTTTATAAGACTCCAGGGCTTTCAATTGCCAAATATGGATAAAGACTCTTAGCAGCAGCACTCTGCGTTCACTGAGCATATATGACTGAGCCCCTGCGGGTTATCTAATTATGTTGGGAACCTGCACATCTGAGATCAGACCATATCAGATTACTGCATTCTCCCCCTTGAGTGGATGCCCAATTTTTGTCATATCATTTTTATTGAGTAGCAATGGTAAAATACATTAGTTGATGGTAGTAATAAAAATGTTAGCGTAGTGTGGCCCAACAATGAACGTGCATCAAATCAACAACTCAGGCAGGAGTAGTTTAAATAAGAGAGAAAAGAAATGAAATAAGACTAAAAACAGGAGTGGGGGAGAGTATTCAGTATGGAAAGATGATAATTTACACAGCCAGTCCTGTGAAGACAAAAAGCCCATATTGGAATATATATATATATATATATATATACTTTAAAAAAAAATAAAAGTATTGTCCTCCAGCCGTAATTACATTGGGACCCGCACATTCTGCAGCAAAGGCCATTTGGAGAGGGAGAACCTTATGCTGTTAATGTTGTGGCTATAAGTAAGCTTGTGCATTCTAGTTTCCTCTGGCATTCTTGTGCATTAAAGGGACTCTCCAGTGCCAGGAAAACATATCTGGTTTCCTGGCACTGCAGTTTCCTGCAGGTCCCCTCTCCCTCCCACCCCCATCCCATGTTGCTGAAGGGGTTAAAACCCCTTCAGTGAATTACCTGAATCCAGCGCCGATGTCCCTTGGCGCTGGGTCAGGCTCCGCCCATGCCCCTTCCCACTAATACGCATGCGTGGCAATGGCCAATTAGACCTTCCCATAGGAAAGCATTATTCAATGATTTCCTGTGGGGATTCCGGTGACGCTGGAGGTTCTCGTGCATAGCGTGAGGACGTCCAGCGTCGTTTAAAACACTTTTCGTGTTTTAAGAAACTGGAACTCCCTCTAGTGGCTGTCTGATAGACAGCCACAAGAGGAGGACTTAACCCTGCAAGGTAATTATTGCCGTTTATGAAAAATGCAATTATTAAACTTGCAGGGTTAAGGGTGATGTGAGTTGGCACCCAGACCACTCCAATTAGGCAGGAGTGGTCTGGGTGCCTGGAGTGTCCCTTTAAAGAAACATCTTAAGCAGCATAACCGCTACAGCTTCTAGCAGTAGTTGCAGTCTCTCCGAGCATAAGAGAAGAGACCGGAAGGACTGTCCAGTAGATCCCAGTTAGAAGTCAAACCATTCAAAATCTGTTTAATAACTTTCATTGAGCTGGTTCCAGGGCTTTGTGCTTGGAGTGTTACTTTAAGTTGTGAAACTTGTGAGCATCATCTGATAATGACGAAAAGAAGTTGTAAAGAATCAAAATAAGTTGTGTTTTTTGTGTGTGTTATTTGTGCTGCTGTTTTTTATTTATTTAATTTAATTTTTTTAAATATTCTGGAAGTATAGACATAGTATAAACAGTACATGATTTACACACAATCAGTATGGTAAGCAGTACACAAACAAATTGCAAACTAAATATGTAGGCATGTAATCATATGTCTTTATTACAAGGTACACATAAAATAGGCTATTCAGGCAATGGAACCATATAATGAAGAAAAATAGATGAAATTGGAAGGTGACAAAGACATAATTGGAAATCACTAAAAGTTTTGGAAACATAAAAAGTTTATTCACTGTACATTTATCACAGATGCATGTGAGAGAATGGATTCAAAGTAAATGCAATGCAGTGGAAAGAAGCAATTGAAGTGGACATGATGATGAAAGTATGAAAAGGAATTATATCAGATTAAATCCAAGATACATTGTAAAACTGTGACTCCATATTAACCTATTGATGCTGACAAACTTGTAAATTGTACAAGAAAGATCTTATGTGAGTGTCAGAATACTGAGAATTCACCGATATCCCTAAGTAAACTTTCTTGTACAATTTTACTGATCTTGACTACTAATGCCTCGTTTCCGCTGAACGGATCGGTACGGTACGCAATTTTGAGTGTTTCCATTATGAAAGTGGCCCATACAACCGAACTGTACCGCACCATTCCTGGTCCTCCTTCAGATGTAGGGCCATAGGAAATGGTACGGTTAGGGCGGTGCTACTAGCGTCACACTATACAATACATTGATTGGCGGACAGGAAAACGTCAATGCTCACGACAAATGACACGCTAGGCATATTTTCTAAACCCTGCATGGTCCCTGAAGGTCTGACTTGCAGTGGAAACACTCACCTGAATAGGCTGGACCATTCTAGACCTTCCAAACTGTACCGACCCAAACCGTTCCGCTCAGTGGAAACGAGGCATAAGAGTCTATTAGATGGGATTCCTTTAGGCACAAAAAAAAATCTTAATACACAACTACATATGGCATGATCTAAACATGATATATTGAAGATATTTATGAAAAATAGTGAGGGAGCTAATCATAGAAAATTCATAATAAATATGAATATTTTTGGGTTACAGAGATAAAATAAGAAAATAGTTGAATTATGAAAGCATTTGTACCTATAAAGTAGCTGCAAAATATTTAAAACTAGATTAGCTGCTGTTAAAATTCTTTAGTCTCACAAGTCATTGATTTAGCAAATATGACCAAGTAGTTGATAATATCCTGTTTTATAAAACAAGTTTAGAAACAAAAGTTATGATAACTATTTTACCATACTTAATAGAGGAACATTAAACTTAATTAATGAGTTATTGTGATGCTTGGCCTGTATTTTTGCATGTTAAGTGGAAAAAGTTTTTTGTTTTTATTGTTGCTATTTTTGTATTGACATTGCAAGTTAATAGCAGTGTTATTTCCTTTACTTGCTCTATTTAATGACTTACCAGGGGCATGTATTTTTAAATAGCCAGACCTACTGCTGGTAAAACAGCAGAGTATAAGTGTTCAAACAGCGTTAATTTCTTTATATTCCGTAACTTGATCTCAGTGTACACTATAGACTTGGAACACTTTGGCAAGGTCTGTTGTCCGAGACAATGTAAACTCTTTGCTCTCAAACCATAAAAAAACAAAGCTAAAATAAAAGCCACCATGTCCTGCTTCAAATGCAATGGCATACAAAAAGTCAATATCAAATGCTGGTTATGCTATGAATACGATTATGCAAGATGGAGGCTGTGGGGTTTTTTGCAACCATAATTTACAGTTGTATTTTATTGCAGTTGCAAGAGCAAATGATGAATTTTCTTTTGACCTTTTTTTGTGTAGCTGGAAAAAGTTGATGGAAGATAACCCAGCAAGACTTTGACAAGTAGTAAGAAATATTTGATTTTACAGGTTTTCTATTTGGATGTACCATTCCCTTAATATTTATGAAAGGGAAGGAATAGTTAGGGTATATATTATAGGTGGGGTGTAGTTAGATTCTTGGGGGCCCCTGTCCAACATGGGAGAAGGAATTATCTACTATTTAAGATGCCCCTGTCTCGGCATCCTGTTGTCTTATTTAGTGGAGGGGATGGGTAGACACCCTTTGGCCCCTGTTTTGATCATGACAAGGGGACTGGGTTGGGTTATTGGGATATGCACTGGCGGCACCCTTATTCCTTACCCTCAAACCCAGTGGTCCTTTAAGTTAAAGTTGTTTTGGTGACTATCGTGTACTTTTAAACTTCAGTTTCTTAATCATGATCTTCTCCCACTTTGGCTGATTACAGCATTTTTGTGGATCTATTCACTGGAAACCATAATATCCTGCAATGGAAACAAACTATTGATGATGCAGTTGTTGTGTGAGAGCAGCAGGCAATTCACAAATGTCTGCCATTAACTGATCACATTGGGAATAGGAATAACTAAAACACTGTTGAAAATATAAATCGTAAAGAGGAGAGAGAAAATTTTGTAATTAATAGACTTCACAAGCATATCTCGAGCAGATGTTTTCCATCAGCAAAGAGTAACCTTTTCTAGAAGCCTCATTAGCTAAAAAGGGTTGCATAATTTTGTTTGTTTTCTTTTGGTCTAAAGAGAATAAAAAGTAATGTCCAGTGAGCAGTTAGAACAACCTTATAAGCTATATGCCTACTCCTTACTCAAATGTGCTACAATGAAGTGGCTATACAGCATGTGCCTACATGGTATAGATCAGGGCTGTCCAATCTGAGCACAGCATTAAAGGACCACTATAGTACTACATACTCGTTTTCCTGGCACTATAGTGCCCTGAGGGTGCCCCCACCCTCAGGGAACCCCTCCCGCCCGGCTCTGGGGAGAGGAAAGGGTTAAAACTTACCTTTTTCCAGCGCTGGGCGGGGAGCTCTCCGCCTCCAATCCTCTCCTCCCTTTCGGCTGAATGTGCACGCGCGGCAAGAGCTGCGCGCGCATTCAGCCGGTCTCATAGGAAAGCATTTACAATGCTTTCCTTTGGACGCTTGCGTGTTCTCACTGATTTTCACAGTGAGAATCACGCAAGCGCCTCTAGCGGCTGTCAATGAGACAGCCACTAGAGGATTTGAGGGCTGGATTAACCCATTTATAAACATAGCAGTTTCTCTGAAACTATGTTTATAAAAAAGAAAAGGGTTAATCCTAGAGGGACCTGGCACCCTCATTAAGCTGAAGTGGTCTGGGTGCCTAGAGTGGTCCTTTAAAAAACTCCTGATACACACTGCACTCTTCAAACACTGCATCTCTCATACACACTGTATCCACTTTAGACTCTAAAGGGGATGCAGTGCATATAGGGGTGGTGTGTGTGTGTGTGTTTCCATGCAGTATGTGAAAGGGGTGCAGTGTGTGTTAGTATGTGTGTGGAAGGGGTGCAATGAGCGTGTGTGGTGGTGGTGGGGGGGCAGTATGTGACTGTTAGATGGTATAGACCAGGGGTCCTCAAACTCCGGCCCCCCAGATGTTGCTGAACTACAACTCCAATGATTCTTTGAATAACATAGATAGCCAGAGAATAATGGGAGTTGTAGTTCAGCAACATCTGGGGGGCCCTGGTATAACGACTGAATATTGTGTGGGGAGCTTAAGAGCCAATATGCATTTTTTTTTTTTGTATTACTTTAACAAAAAAAACAAACAAAAAAAAAACAGCAGAACTTTATGTCACCCCCACCCCTCCCTTATTCTTACCTTTTTTTCAGGGAGGGAGGACACGGCAGGCCCTGGTGGTTAAGCCATGAGTGCAATATGACTCCATGCCAGGTTTGCTTCCTGTAGAGTTCTTAGTGGATGTTTACCTTGTTAGAACACCCTCACACATGTGTGCACAATCTGACCAGATCTCTAATTAATAGCTCTGCGAGTTTAAAAGCATGACATGAAACATGATTCAGCTTTCAGTCTGTATTTATTGCAAAACATCTGTGTCAGCGTTTCATCTGATTACCTGCTTCGGCTACCAGGTCTGATCCTATTAGTTTTGCATTGTCTGAAGTCCACACACAAACAGGGTTATTAACTAAAGTGAGAATTTAAAGTGATCTTTTCAAATTTAAGGCCAAAGTAGCCGACCTCGAAACATAGCTTGTTAAGAGAATTTTTCAAGTTCAGCTGTTTTGATTTTAAATTTAAACTTCACTTTGAATTCTCACTTTTGTAGATAGCCCTGAAGGAGTGCTTCATGGCAGTGTGTGAAATCTTTATTGTCAGACCGAAATCCACTATAGACTCAAAATTGTGTTCTAGTCTTGAATATTTACTTGAAATCATGTTAGTGACATAAGGCTGCATGGCAGTTTTTTTTCATAAAGCATCCAACAAGATGGTGTATGTCCAGGAAAAAATGGGAGCTTCAGAAATGATCTTACTTCACCGGTGTCCTGGTGTTTCAGAGACAGTCCACAGATATTTTTTTTTGCCAGTCTTCACCAGGTTTTTCTGTTTTTAATAATTTCTATATGCCGTATTTCAGCTGTGTCACAGACTCTTCTTATGATGATTAATACATTAGCTTAATGAATGCCAGTTTTGTGATAGTGGTCAATTGCTTATAAATTAAAAGAACTCTTCCAGCACTATAACCACAGCTCACTGTAGTGGTTATAGTTTCAGGTGTGTCCTAGTAAGTTGTCAAATCATTTTTAGTATAGTTTGACTTCTTATCCTGGAGCCCATAACTGCAGCCCTTGCTTCTGCTACAGGAGAGTACTAGATACAGTGCAGGCTCCCAGGAATCCCAAGTATGTTGTCAAACCATACCAAATAGTTTGACTAGTTACCCTGGAACAGCGCCAGTGGGCTGTAGTGCTTATGGTGCCAAGAGTGCCTTCAATAGAGTCTGGCAACATATGCCCAACTTCTGTCAAACCATATCTGAGTTAGTGGGGGCCTTTTGGCTTGTAAAGAAGGGATATTCTTCAAAACCTGTGTGACTTTGGACAGCAATGGTAGGCTAAAAGCACTGGGGCAAGTAACATCAGTCTTCATCTTCATACAAATTTAGAAGGCTTATTCAGCGTACCCCTTTAGTCGGGAATGATGACCTCACAAGTGACAATAACTATAGGAATAATTTTTATATTTCCTAAAATATATATATATATAATATATATGTTTTTTTTTTTACATCCTGCTATGATGTATTAATAGTGATTTTTTTTCTTCTCCATAATGTCCTTTGTTTAGTGTTACTATGACAACCTGCTACAATTGTGTTCTGGAAGTGTCCCTGAGGCATAACCCTGGTATGTTGGAATAAATACAGCATTTCAATGTAATCATAATACTGGCATTTTCAGTTGTACTGAGCATTATGTTGTGGATGTACCTGCTGAACACAGTAGATTATTCAAGTATAGTAAATATCTTGGTTGGACAAGACTATCCAGTAATGGTCAATAAAACAAACAAACAAACTGTTGTTTCAGGGCTTGACTGGAACCACAAATAGGACTGGACATAGAAATAAAAGGCAATATATTGAATTGAATGTGAATAAGTTAATGAGAACACTTGGGATACTAAAAACATTGAGGATATATATCTGCCCCACTATTCTAAAATTCTGCTACATGTCTATCTGTCATTGAAAATGCAACATTTTTACTAGTCTGTTTCAAGTGTTGCTGTTTACATGCAGAAGTTGAATAATTGGAAATTTTGTAGAGAATACGTTTTTAAGTTCCAGGCTTGGAGCAATGTTGCAGCCCAAGCACTAAGGGTATTTGCTGTCTTGTCCAATACACACTGGCTTGATAAAGACCTCACTGCAGGTCGAAGCGTTGCTATTTATGTTTAGATTCTCCAAATAAACTTGCTACCTTTTTGTATCTTGAGTGCCTGGATCACATTGCTCTTTCCAATACACACTGGCAGTCACATAAAGAAATTGAGCACAACGCCTACAGAAAGAGCAGAGAACAGACACAATAACAGTTGAAATACTGTTTAAAGACTGCTATATAATTTATTCTATGAACACCATGCTGTCCTCCTTGTAATTTCAATTAGAAAAAATAAATGACTTAAATCGTGCCAACATATTTATGGGAATTTAGCAAGAATCAATGTATGAAGGCATTTTTATTTACTATGTTTTTTTTTTTTTGCTTTTTATTATTTGTAAACCCATATGTTGTTATAAATTCCCTGTCTTATTTTTTTCATTTATTTTTTGTATATTTTCCATTCATTACTGTATAGTTTCCTATTGTTTGATGTAATCCTAGATATGTTGTGCAATTTACAATGGAGGGAACTTTTTAATTAGCCCAAACATCAATCAATACAGATTAGATTGTACATTTACAGTGTTCTTCCTGTTTTGAATGTATTCTAAACAGTGAACAGTAAGGAGTGTAGGAATAAAATAATGAAACAAGAGGATATTCTACTGAATAAGGAAACACACTGGGGTTGTTTATATCAATGTAAAACATAACAATGAAAGGGGCACATACATCAGAGTAAAATAAGCTTCCGTCAGAATTTTGTAAATCGCTACATTGTGCTTTAAAAGTGCCATTGTATCATGTGAGCTGTATTTGGCAATATACTTTTTTTTTTTTAATGTAATTATTACTATTTTGCAATTAAAACCACTTTAATGAAAAGTTGACCTTTGGTTAGGTATAGGTTTAATTTGTACATTGCAAAGTTGTAGCAAATCTGAAGCTTGAATAATATATAATAAAATAAGAGGAAATGCCATTTCAATTTAAAAAAAGATAGAGCATCCTTGCATGCGTCAGGTGGATATCATGGAACAGTGAACTTGACAACACAGAAGTGTGCGTTAGGTAAATAATGTTTTGCTTGCTTCCATTGTGTTGTTCACTCTAGTAAACATTGAAATTGTGTTTCTTTGGGTGACTGAACAAGGAGGTATCACTTCTGTGATAGTGGCAGGTCAATTCTAATGGAACCCCAGTGACAAAATGCAAACATTTAATTATGCATTTGTTTTCATCGGGCCATATTTAAAACAGCTTGCAAAAGCCGCAGATCTCTTGTCTTACAGCCTTTGCAAGCCCTCCTTTTCTAACCTCACCCTGACTTTTTGTGATTGTCCAATTACAGACTTCGCAAGGCAGCTCAATCAGAAATTCCTACAATGCAGGTACTCTGGAGAATTGCTGCCTCTTGAGTTTAGTTCCGTTGAGCTAAACAGACATTAAGTAATGTCTGGTGGGGGTTTAACAAGGTTACTTTACAAAAGTGACAACTATGGAAATCTGCAATTCTTGTAAAATGCGAAAAAGGGACACCCTCTTCACACATAAAGTACTTCCACAACCTAAAGTGCTTTAGGTGTTTGGAGTGTCTATTCAGCTGAAGACAGATTTTTTTTTTTTTTATATAAGCCCTAGAATGGCAACTGTGATACTTCCTCAATCCCTAGAGGAAGTTGTCTTAGTGGTCAATGTAAATACCTGTGACCAGTATGTGAGCATGATACTTTCTTATCAATACTTTTACACAGTGAATAAGAACGGGAGAAAATAGGTCACACGTAATTTCTACATAGGTTTAATTTAGAGTTCCTTTAGAGTTATCACTGCTCCAGTTCTATATAGTGTTTTCAGCACTGGTCACTGTCACAAATGCACCCTACTCCAAGAGTGTGCGTGACTTAGTGTTGGTGGTGAAAGGTTTAAAGTTCACTATTTGTCTGCACTAGACTGGAAATAATGATAAAAATCCCCCTTGGCACCACCCACACTTACCTATAGTAATATCAATACAACTTTTTTAACGCTGCCAATCCAAGACAATTTATAAATAGGGTGCCTTGGTCCCCCAGGTAAATCAGAATAAAAACCGACCAAATGCAACTTAGCAGATAACCTATGCAATTGCAAAACACTCATTAGTCTATTTAGGTTATGTGAATCTTTACTAGACACAGGCAGAACTTAATAAAGGAATATTTATTATGAGCAAAAATAATCACAGTGCATATAAAAATAGATGACAAACCAATTATTTACACCAACAGATAAAAACAAAAAGGATGGGGGGTGGAGCTTATCAACTGACCTGAATAGTCTCCATTTTTCACAGCTCTCCCAAACTTGCTCAAAATCCACCAAATATCCCCAAACTCAAGGTCCATCCGACTACAACAAGTCTCTAACGGAGCTCTACTGTCTCAACCGCACCAATAGATGCCTTTCTTTCTGGCCTCGAAACCAACCAACGTAATTGGAGATCCGGGGCCTGTATCACCAGAAACCACCAAGCCTGGAAGCAATCCTGTGTGGCATCACCGAAACAAGAAAGGGAGCGGGGTCCTTCCTGATTACCCCCGATATGCACTCCTACATGCCGGCCTTGAGGTGTCGATTACAGAAACCCAACATGGTGGCAGAGGGCAGAGACATGGGGTTCATGTTACAAAGGCCTGTCCAGCCCAAATCAACCCTCACGGGAGCACCGCCCGTTACGACCCAGACTCCCACACCCAAGCAACAAGGGCTGGAGCTACTACCAGAACGGTTCTTATCGTCTATCCGAGGTTGATAAACTGCTAGCTGTGGACACAGCCCTCATCAGAGCCGATTTACAGGCAATAACAGAGCGCGTAAGTAAATGTGCAAATTCTTCTCTCCAAGCTCCAGTTGCAGGCCCAACAAGAGGCAATGTAGAACCAGATGAATGCAATGGAGGACGCCCAACGCCGTATGCACATAAAAATCCGGGGAGCCCCGCAACAATTCCTACAAAGGAACTGCCACATTTTGTCAGGCGCCTCCTCGCCTCTATACTACCTCCTGGTGTGGCTAAGAAACTGACCATTGATGGCAAATACCGTATACCCGGTTCCTGCACCGTACCACCTAACTTACCAAGGGAGGTTCTACTCTGATGCTGACTCTCCAAGACAAGAGTCAAATAATGGCAGCACTCAAAGGCAAAATGCATTTTGAAAACACACACTTAACTTTCTTTCAAGACCTCTCAAGGGCCACCCTCTTCCTGCGCAAATCTTTCGGCCAGATCACTAACCAACTGAGAACCGCCGGCATAGCCTACAAATGGGGGGTGTCTGGGTCCCTAGTGGCCACACATTGCGGGAAGATACACACTCTTACATCTACAGCTAAGGTCACCGTCTTTCTGGCAACCTTGGGACTGACACCCATGCACACAGGCGCGAATGAAGAGCACAACATGGAGTCATGGGACCTTGATGCTATTGCGCCCTTCGTCCCGAGGGCTGGCAGCTCCCAGGCCCGGGAACCATGACTGGTGGAGGAGTCAGACCTGTCCAACTCATAAGCACATGCCGGATGTCCGGATGCAACTCCAGCACTTCTCCTGACAGATGCACTGTATTATTGTTATATGTTCTGTTATATTTTACTTTCTCTCTGTTAAACCGGAGTTGCTTTATACTGTAATATGACGTTTTGGGATCAAAACTAGTTTAGATCCATCACTATCCCAGCTGGGTCTTGCCACCTAAGAGCACCACAGCAATAATGGGAGACCTCAGTTAGATAATAAGATTGACACACAGCGACACCTCTCCCCTCTACTGCTACCCCCTTGGTTAGGGGTAACTACACACTCCTGATGAGTTACAGGCATTTAATGCACACAGCTGAGTGCAATAACCTTACTTGCACACTCAAGATAGCCTTCCCTCTTGACCCAGTAAAAAAGTAAAAGTTCAAAGTAAAACTTGTGCCTAGGAGGTACAAGGCAAGGAAAGATGGTGATTCATTTAAAATTAGATTTTGACCCCAAGCAAGTAAAATAGGCAATTACACATCATTGGATATATACTCTTTGGGTTCATCTCAAGTTTCCAAACCTGTATGGAGATAAGGCGTACCTATAGAAACAAGTGACTACCCCGTAGTGTTCCAGACCAACCTCAATCCAAATAGAAACTTTTGGTTCTATCTCCTTCGTTGTACTTGCCACAGAAATTAAAATTGCATCTATGAATTTACCATTTTTACACTCAGTAGATAGGTCACACTTCTTGCTTGTGACCTAATATAGCGGACATCACAATTCCTTCAAACAGCATAAGTTGCATAGATCATGTTTAAGCTTGATTAGTAGATTATGCTTGTACCATTCTAAATATAATAAAAATGAGGCTTAATTATTCATCTGTGGGTAAGTATTAATGTTTCTTTTGAATATGATACTGGAACACAAGGATTAATGGCCATTAACATATCAAAGGACGCCCTATCTAAGAGGGAATCTAGACATATGACAAATTAGAGAGTTGGTTCACGTTGAAGGAGACTCAACATTTCACACTTTGTAGATAGTAGATCAAAAGGGCAATTCATGTTGTAAAACATCTGACCTCTATCACATTCCTATTTCATTTACATTAACCTCTTCTGACATCTGTCCTCTATAATCAAATTGGCCCTTCCATCTCTAGCAAGTAGCCAATTCATAAATGCACTACACAAATTACATTAAATGGCAATATTCTATAGTGCAACAATGAATTATGCACCCTTGGCGCGACAGTCACTGCTTATAAAATTGCAGAGTTGGAGACTAAAGTAACCAAAGTAATAAACAATAAATTAAAAAAACTATATAAATTCCCCCCAGATTGGCTGTTTTAATTAAAAAGATAGAATGAATATATCTATATCTCTTTTTAAAATATAAAACCATGTCAACTGTCCCAAACTCCCAATACGGTAAATAAATCCCACTGTGTTGGGATTACAGTGAAAGAGGTTAATTTACATTTAACACAACTCCCTTTATATTTATCCCAAAATAAAGACTGGTTTGTTTAAATGTGTGAGTCAGCAAAGCTTCCAGTTACATTATCTAGCAGAATACATGTGTACAAACATGCTGGTTTCTTTCCTGAAAAATTCAGGATCTCTGCTATCATGGCAACCTGTTTTAACCGGGTTTAATTCCTTTGCTGATGGTAGGTTTGTTATGTCGGAGAATATCTAGTTTGACTCTTTTTTTAATTTTTTGCATCACCTTGGGGGACTGTAGATGACAGAAATTTCTTTGCTAGGTCAAACAAATATAGATTATCTCAGCAGATGAAAACCAGTTGGTTCACGTATTCTGTTGGTCGCAATATCTCAGATTTAAACTAATTCTGTTTTTAGGATAGTTTTCATATTGTCGCCTAGTTTCTATTATAAAAGATAAGCATGTCTATGATTATTGGATAACAGTTTTCCTATAGATGTCAACAGGAAAAACAGTTACAAGAGATAAAGGGATAACACACCATAACCACTTCATTTTATAAAAATGGTTGTGATGCCATGTTACCATTCCTGATGTCTACATATTATCTTTGAAAACGGCAAAACAGGGCTTAAAGTGTAGTGTGTACCTCCACTCATTACTTCTAACAGGTCTAGACTGTTTCAGTTATAGTTTGTTTATTTTTTTCCTGCTGTTTTGTTCCTTGGTGTGCAGATCACTGGTGAATTGTCCACATCGAGTAAAGTGTGACACATGCTCACTGACCAAACTGCATTATGGACATTCGGCCTATGGCAGAGTGCTTCAACACTGCTCTGTGCATGTTTAGTCCTGAGTGAGTCTGGCCAGTGCAGTGGCTAGTCTTCTTGACCTGCATCCAATCAAGGTTGACATGACACTTATAAGGATGAGGCATGCAAGTCACTCTTGCTCATGGGAAGCACTGCCTGCATGTCCCTCAATGTCTCAGCAGGCTATGTGATAGCTGGGAAGTGTAATCATTTGATAGGGCTGGTTTACATGGCTATGAGTTTCTCTTTAAAGCCCTGATTTGTCAATTTGGCAAATAATTAAAGTAAGACTTCAGGCTCTGGCACCATAACCACTTTATTAAGATGGAGTGGTTAGGGTGCCTTAAGTATTCCTTTAAGTTTATCTTGTATTTATATTCAGCTCTGTGTTTGTTTTATAAATTTAATAAATGACAAATATAAAGGGATACATTCATTGGAAGTAGGGAAGTTTGAATATTCTATATACTTCCGCATATTTGCACATTTCTATAAATTCTAATCTTTATTATTTGAATAATAAAGATGTTATATATGATAATATGCTAAATGTATTTGTCCAAAGGTCCTAGATTTGATCAGCTAGATCCAATTCATTAATATGTACGGGACACGTCATGTTCTCAACATGCCTATTACGGTCAGGGCTTGGGCGTGCAGATCTTAGGATGCAGAGGGGCTACTCTACGTACGGGCAGTCCCATAGGATTAGGGACACCAAACAATAGTGCAGGAAATAACTAAGAGAAGTTAATCCAATAGTGGCAAATCAGGTCTAATTCTAAGGGACATACCAGACAACAAAAGGTTACAGTTTTAACATAACAAGCACTATTATTCTCACTTTGTTTCTTGTTGTTGTTTTTTTTTTTTTTTTCTTCCGATTTTGTTTGAGATCTCCCATATTTTCCCCGTAATTTTCCCTTTTTAATCTTTATTGATTCTGTTGATTATACAGTTTCAAGAAAAAGTATGTGAACCCTTTGGAATGATATGGATTTCTGCACAAATTGGTCATAAAATGTGATCTGATCATCATCTAAGTCACAACAATAGACAATCACAGTCTGCTTAAACTAATAACACACAAAGAATGAAATGTTGCCATATTTTTATTGAACACACCATGTAAACATTCACAGTGCAGGTGGAAAAAGTATGTGAACCCCTAGACTAATGACATCTCCAAGAGCTAATTGGAGTAAGATGTCAGCCAACTGGAGTCCAATCAATGAGATGAGATTGGAGGTGTTGGTTTCAGCTGCCCTGCCCTATAAAAGACACACACCAGTTCTGGGTTTGCTTTTCACAAGAAGCATTGCCTGATGTGAATGATGCCTCGCACAAAAGAGCTCTCAGAAGACCTACGATTAAGAATTGTTGACTTGCATAAAGCTGGAAAGCGTTATAAAAGTATCTCCAACTCCATAATGGAACTCGACAGGGATGTCCGCTCTCCCCCTTACTTTTTGCTCTATCTCTAGAGCCCCTTCTGCAGGCGCTTTGAACTCATCCGGGGATCCATGGGGTGTGGGTGGGGGGTAAGAAATGCTTAGTAGCTGCCTACGCCGATGATGTACTTTTAACGCTCACAAGGCCAGGTGAATCTATGATGGCGTTGTGGGACGTGCTAGCGACATACAGAAAAATCTCCGGCTTTAAAGCGAACATGGAAAAATCAAGCGCACTCCCCATTAGAATGTCCCAGGAAGATATAGACCAAATACATAGGGAGCATCATATTAAGATGGAAAGGCGTTCTGTTAAACATCTGGGAATTCAATTAACTGCAGATCCGGACGACCTCTATGCTTGCAACTATACTCCGTTATGGCAAGCATTAATGAGGGATATAGACAGATGGATCGACAAGCCAATCTCCTGGATAGGGCGGATCCATTCTGTCAAAATGAACGTCCTGCCCAGGGCTTTGTTTTTCTTCCAGGCGCTTCCGATCCCTTTGATGAGGGCACAGCTAGCCCTGCTCCAGCGGGCAATTGGGAACTTTGTATGGCAACATAAGAGACACCGAATATCAAGATATGTTCTGTATAGGCCACGGACGAGAGGAGGACTTGGCTTCCCGGATCTGTACCACTACTATTTAGCAGCGCAATTAGCCCAGGTGGCGCTCTGGCACTCCCCCCCGGACGAGCGAAGATGGGTGGACATCGAGTCGGTTATGATGGGGACAGATGTGCCCCAGTTTGTGATGTGGGTGCCCAAGGAATTTAGGCCTCCGATTGGGGTCACCTGTCCGGCGGTGCTGAACTCCCTGCGGGTGTGGGAATCGTGTAAAGGAAAATATGGGCTGGCGTCTTCTCCCTCCCCTCTTACGCCAATATTACAAAATCAGGAGTTTCCCCCTGGAATGGCGGCTAGGAATTTTAGGAATTTAGAGTACGCGGGCCTGCAGAGACTTTGCCACCTCTACCGGGGCCCGGACATGGTAACATTTGACGACTTGCGACAGGACAGACACCTAACACCAGCGGATTTCTTCCGCTTTTTGCAGATTAGAGACTATGCTAGGCAACCACATATCAAGTCAATAGCACAGGGACCACTGACTTTCTTTGAATCTATGTGCGAGACAGGGAGCATACCGAGGGGCCTCATAGTGCGGCTCTACACGCACCTTTGCTCTATGGCACCTTTGCTCTTATATTACCCAATGGGAGAGGGACCTAGGGGAGGAACTCGAGGGGGTGGAGTGGCAGGAGATATGGGAGGCTAGCAGAACAACGTCAGTATATGTAGCATTGCAAGAACAATCCTTCAAAACATTGTTTCGATGGTACGTGACCCCGATGCACAAGATGCACAAAACCACTACAGATGACTGTTGGCGCAGGTGTGGGAATAAGGGAATGTATCTGCATATGTGGTGGGAATGTCCGAAGCTTAAGGGGTTTTGCTTAAAGGACCTTCTGATCCAGGTTTTCTCTAGAGCTCCGACCTTAGACCCTTGGGTTTATCTCCTCAACAGGTCCATTGATGGATGGACGAAACGGGAGCAGACACTACTCCATAAGCTCACCTTAGCAGCCAGGAGAGTGATAGCATACACCTGGTTACAAACAGAGGCGCCACAGATGGCAAGTGTATACGCACGTATCAAGGAGGTGAGACTAATGGATGACTTAACGGCCAGACTGAGAGGATCCACGGGGTCATTCAGTAAGGTCTGGGAGCCATGGGATGGGAGTCCGCTGGGGGCTTAGAAGGGGCGGGACAGCCTCGAGGGAGGGGGGGAGGACGTGGGCCTGGGGATCCGGCCCGGTCCTTGGCTCCCCCCTCTCACCCGCTGTCTCCTCCGTGGAACCTTGTTGCCCCGACTTACTTCCTTACTTACTTATTTCCTAATCCACTTACTTTCTGTCCTTCTTCTTTCCTTCCTCTACTCTACACTTGTCTCTTCACTTTGTCTGGAGTCCGTCGCCCTGACCCTCACTCGGAGGGTGGGGTACCGGACTTAGTATGGTACCGCCTACAGCACATTTCGATAAGGAGCAGAAGCGTCCCATATTCCTGCGGGATGCAAAATAGAGGGATAGGGTACTGGGGCCAGGGATGTGGAGCTAACCCTGGTTTACCACATAGCATCCACGTGCACACGTATTCAGCTGTGACGGGAATGTCTCTGACCCGTCATCCAGACAAGAAAGTATTTGGTTTCTACATTCTTGTTTTTGATATTGTAACAGTCATAAAGTTGCTAAGCTCATGATCTTTATTGATATTATGTACACCAAATGTGCTGTTTTGACTGCCATATCAGAGTCTGTGATGGTACGCCTGTCTTTAATGTTATGGCGATGCAAACGGATGTATTCATGTGCGCACAAATAAAATAAAGAATTTAAAAAAATAAATAAAAGTATCTCTAAAAGCCTTGCTGTTCATCAGTCCACTGTAAGACAAATTGTCTATAAATGGAGAAAGTTCAGCACTGCTGCTACTCTCGTTAGGAGTGGCCGCCCTGTAAAGATGACTGCAAGAGCACAGCGCAGACTGCTCAATGAGGTGAAGAAGAATCCTAGAGTGTCAGCTAAAGACTTACAAACGTCACTGGCAAATTCTAACATCCCTGTTAGCGAATCTACAATACGTAAAACACTAAACAAGAATGGATTTCATGGGAGGATACCACAGAGGAAGCCACTGCTGTCCAATCAAAACATTGCTGCACGTTTACAGTTTGCACAAGAGCACCTGGATGTTCCACAGCAGTACTGGCAAAATATTCTGTGGACAGATGAAACCAGAGTTGAGTTGTTTGGAAGAAACACACAACACTATGTGTGGCGAAAAAAAGGCACAGCACACCAACATCAAAACTGTAAAATATGGTGGTGGGGGCATCATGGTTTAGGGCTGCTTTGCTGCGTCAGGGCCTGGATGGTTTGCTATCATCGAAGGAAAAATGAATTCCCAAGTTTATCAAGACATTTTGCAGGAGAACTTGAGGCCATCTGTCTACCAGCTGAAGCTCAACAGAAGATGGGTGTTGCAACAGGACAATGACCCAAAGCATAGAAGTAAATCAACAACAGAATGGCTTAAACAGAAGAAAATACGCCTTCTGAAGTGGCCCAGTCAGAGTCCTGACCTCAACCCAATTGAGATGCTGTGGCATGACCTCAAGAAAGCGATTCACACCAGACATCCTAAGAATATTGCTGAACTGAAACAATTCTGTAAAGAGGAATGGTCAAGAATTACTCCGTTGTGCACGTCTGATCTGCAACTACAGGAAATGTTTGGTTGAAGTTGTTGCTGCCAAATGAGGTTCAACCAGTTATTAAATCCAAGGGTTCACATACTTTTTCCACCTGCACTGTGAATGTTTACATGGTGTGTTCAATAAAAACATGGCAACATTTCATTCTTTGTGTGTTATTAATTTAAGCAGACTGTGATTGTCTATTGTTGTGACTTAGATGATGATCAGATCACATTTTATGACAAAATTGTGCTGCAATCCATATCATTCCAAAGGGTTCACATACTTTTTCTTGCAACTGTAAGCCTCGTGGGGTGTCAAAGTGAGCATAGTTTAAAGCTAGTTTAAAAATAGAACTAGTACTGAACATGTATTGATAGAACAGCATGCTGGGCTGGCAACGCAATTGCTAGATTGTTCTGTAAGTGCAGTTCCATTCTTAGTTCAGCCGTGGGAAACAGATTTTGTGGGAGGTATGCAACTTTATTTTTATCACGCTTTCAGAATGGCCGTTCTCATAGTATATATTGATCTTATTAGAACAGAATGGTACAGTTGGTTCTAGAGTGATGTGGATTACCCCACCTTTCATTTCTGAACATAGTTTACATATCGGGGCTACAACTTTGACCAAAGCAAATGGTCTGGAAGTAATGCCGGATTGCCATGCCTTAATGCAAGGGGGGCTATGAAAAAAAAGCAAATATATAATATACCATGGAAGTTATTCCACAGAGGTAGCTTTGCATAATTAGTTTTGTTGTTTTATTTGGCAGAATATGATGGTAACAGGTGTTGCTTTTCATGCACAATCCCACTGCATGGACATTCATATGTCTATCATTAGAAAGAAAGTGAGTTGTCCACCCGCTGTTCTGTTAATATAAAGATAATGTAATGCTGCATTATTCCTATGACTAGTTAGGCCTGCATGCGTGTGCAGTGGATGTTCTCCAGTAAATTGCAGATCCTGTACATATTTTGTTACTACCGGCATACCTGCCAATTTTCCCTACCAACTTCCTGGGACAGGGGTGGTTAGGAAGCAGGCTGCACAGAGCATCAAGGAGATTGCCCACCCCCCTAAAGATGGTGGCTTGGCTTGACTGACAGACTGCCTTCACAAGCAGAGCATACATAGTGCTATTGGGGTGTTCTGTGCATCGTCTTAGTTCCAAGTCCCCTCCTGCATTTTGAAATGTGCCGGCATATTTCAAAATGCAGAATATTTTGCTGAAACTATGCCCCAAAAATCAGTGTTTTGGTTGGTTTGATTGCTGAAATCGCAATGTATGATGCATCATATAGTCCTACAATTTAGTATTAGTTCCTCAGCATAAACGAGCAGGGGAAAATCTGATTTTGAACTACTGCATGTGTTTTAATGCTACAAAAATAATCTTTTAGTATAAACTTCAGCAACACTTTTATTCTTAAAAAGTTAAAGAAAGGAGCATTTGTCTGTGATCCTATATCCTGTAATTCAGTTGCCCCCATTGATGACCTTTGTGTGTGAGTACTTTCTTGAACCCCTTCACATCACACATTGATGCCACTTGCAAATATCTCCACACCTTATGTACTCCTCATAGTCTAGTAGCCTTATTAAAATATAGCAATGAGCCAGTGCAGGTCTGGATAGCAAATTAGATGCACAAACCCACACTGTTCAGGACTGCAAAAACGCCCTGCGTAATTCCTACCTGCCACCTCACTTTTGCAGTACTGTTCCATGAGATATATGTCCAGCTATTTTTAATCATCAAAAGAATAGTGATGTGACACTTTGCACCACAACCCATGTATGCATATGGCCAGAGGGAAAATTAGTAATGCAGCCCACCTAGGTATTGTGGCCTCCCTTAGTAGTCCTCTACTGCAGTTTACATGGTAATATTATGTGTATTTTCTCATGTCAATGGGAGAATTGTCTACAGTACAACGCATCAAGGTACAGAGGATTTCCCATTCTTGACTTAACTAACACAAAACTGTAAATAATCTCTAGTTACTGCAAATAATTGAATGCCAATTTGACACACATCACCATTTCACAATTCTTAAAATATGTGTTTCTGACATTTTAATCACCAGAGGGGAAAACATGCTGCTGGATTGTGAGTAGGATAATTAAGCAGATTCGCTACTATTTGCAAAATACTTATATTGGTCACACAGCTATGAAAATGTATTTAAAACATATAAACATTTTATTTTTATTTATCTTGGGAAATATTTCTGGCCTTATAACCAGATAAAGGATCCTAATCGAAAAGGGCGCTTATAACAGCAACTTTAGCATAATGGGACCTATTTAATGAAAAGGGAGCTCTTGTGAATTAAATGTGCCTGTACCTCTTAACTTGGAGGGAACTTGATGCTTAGAGCAAGTGTTCTTTATAAAAAGTGACATGCAGCATATGGTCCAATGTGGATATAGTCATTGAACCCCAGACAACCTACCCTTCATGCACAGAGTGCTATTCACTTGTGTTCAGACCGTCAAACACTTGCACGTGCACAGTCATATTAAGGTGGTAGAAATAACCATTTTTTAAATCAAAAGTTCCCTGTGCACTGCATCAGTTCTGCATAGGTGGTTTCTGAGATCGCTATGAACTTTTAGTTAGTTTAGTTTTAACTTTTTAGTTTTGTTTTGGTGACTGGAATTTTCTTCTCTAAATAGTTTTATCTTGTATGCAATTTTTTAGATCTTTTAATTGATCTTCTACTGCATTCTAGAAACGTGGGTTCCCAAGAAATAACCCAATACGGAGGATTGTGGAATTTTGGTAGAGGGGCAAAAAAAGTAACCGATTATAATAAAAATGTAACTCTGGTTTGATATATTTTTCCTATTTCTGTTCTTTAGGCTAATTTTACAATTGTGTTTTCATCATATCAAACCAATTTGACATTTTACCCTCCCCTGTTTTTTATCTCACTCAAAGTTTTATATTGTGTTACTTTGTATAATTGAATAAGTTTATTTTTTGTAATTTTTTGTAATTTTTTTTATTGTTTCAAAAACATATTTGAAGAGGTTATGTATATGGATCAATGGCAGAAAAAATGTCAAAGGTGGGCATACAAAGGTGTTGGTGAAAGATCAGGGGCTTACACATGAAACTCCTTCATCTTCCTATACATGTTCCCCACTTACATCACATATATAAACAATATGCTATCTTTAACATGTCAGTACAAAGAGGGAGTACAAAAAAATACAATGGATAGGGTTGGCTCAACATGTATGTGAGGGATCCCCTCAACCCCTACAACAAAATCACACACCAAAAAATATGTAAGTGGAGCTCTGATATACCTGAGGAGATGGGTACAGATGATGCAACAATATACACAAAGAAGCAAAACAAAAGAATAGTGCAGATGGTATAGGCAATATAAGGAAAGTGTAGATGAGAAATTTCCAACTAAAAAGGAGAGAGCCAGTAGGTCATCTGGCTCTAGTGTGTAGCACCTTTGGATCCTTAAGGGAGATCTACAACCCTCTTCTGTGTCTTTGAAACCTCAACAGTTGTCAGCAGGGAAAGGCAGGATACATGAGGTTGTAAGTAAATAAGTACCTTTAACATGTGTCTCCATGGTTAATTGACCATGTGAAACTTGTCAATGAGAGAGACAAACAGGAACAGACGAGGAGAAAGGAAGGCAACAGTTAAGAGACAGAATGAACACAAGATTAAAGGGCTGGACAGAAAGATAGAATCCAGATATTTTGTAGCTCACATCGGTGACAGAGAAAAACTATGACAAAGAGGGAGAAATGACATACTACTCGGTCATCTACTTCAAGATATCATAATAAAGACACATGTGGAACAGCTTTATGTGGAGATGACATATGCAGATTTAATCCTCCACGCGATGTACCTTATGGTTTTGGCACAGTTGCTTTTAGATTCTTAGGTAGAATAATTTCCGTGCAGCCAATTAGAAAGGAAATACATTTTTTCTCAGATTAATCACTGTGAAATCAGTATTAAAAACTCTGCTGCAGGTGTTTATTGGATATTTTTGAATCATCATGCCATATGAGCTATATTTAGCTTGGACATTCCCCTCCATTACATAAGTGTTTACAGCCCACTGCTGAACTACAGAATACTTACATATTTTCCCTCTTACAGGCCTCCCAACCATCCTGATTTCGGCAGGACAGTCGTGACTTTGCGTCTTGATCCATCCTTGTTACTTAGTTCCACGGTGTCCTGCTATTGGGGATACCAGGGAACTGTCCACAACAAGTATAGATGAACTTGTGCTATCTTTAGTGTTCCCTGCAGGGTCTGCCCTGCGTGTGCTGGCCTTAGATGATTGGCAGGCAGTCTGGCGTTCATTCATGCCAAGCTGACCTGTCAGTAATTTAGATGGACACAACTTCTTCCCGAGAAGGTCCTCTCCTTTTGGCCAAAGCCAGTGATTTTATCTGTGAGAACTGTAGCGGAGAGCTGGTCTTTCACAGGTTAACTCCACTAAAAGATCCCAGTGAGGCTCAGGAACAAGTAATAAAAATACCATAGAGTAATAATCACAGCAAGCAAGGTAATCCACGAATATCCCAATACGGATCCCAATGACTGGACGACACACAGCATCAGGAGCAGAGCTGACTTTTAATCCACACAACCTTCTTATAAAGCATTCTCCCATGGGAGGGATTCACCATAATTAGGACAGTAACCAATAAAGTCACAGTTACCTCCCACACATCTCCTCCCCTCAGTGTGACACATAATCCCATTAAACATGCTGTAGTTTTCCCAGAGTTCTGGATGTACCCCAAAACAAGCAGTTAGAGTAATACTCTGGGTACCCCCTGGTAGCCCTGATCTGGGTGACTAACATATCCAAAATTCACACAGATCGGACCAAGGGTTCGGGAGTTAGGTGGAGGGTGTAATTTGACCGACCGCACACGAGGTGGTATCCGAAAAATGCTCCATGTGTTTTGGCCTTGCGGTCGGTCTCTGTTCACATAGAAATACCTGCCATCCACAGCTAATCTTCCATTCGCATCAATTCCCTTGTTCGGGACATTGATTTTACCTAACAAAGGGCTGACTAGTCCCTCCGTTCGTGAGTTATGGAACTCTGGAGGTCTCAGTGGTGTTCGGTTGTTTGAGTGTCCGATTTGAGTTCCAGACACTCGACGACCAAACACCGCCGAGATTTTCATGCGTAAGATGGCCGCCGCACGTGGTTCGTATGCCGAACGGCGACCACACAGGCACATACAATGTATCAATTAAGCTGCGGTTTGCAGAGGGTGAACGCTTAATGAGGCGTACACTTCTCCCTGGGGTGGTCTGATGATTCGGTAGTTTCATTCGTATGAAACTACCGAACAATCATATGAAAACTACATACACTTTACAGACATACAGGAAAACAATTACACGAATACATTTTCAATACGAATTCCTAAGGACAGCCTTAATACAATCCGCTACAAGAAGCATTGGATTCAGTACTTCTCCAAGAGAAGTACTTGTTTTTTGGATTGAGACAATTGCCAAATATACACTAACATGGTTATTTACTAAAGTGAGACTTCAAAGTAAATTTCAAATTTTAGGTCAAAATGGCCGAATTGGACAAATTCAGCTGTGCTGTCAGTTCACCTACTTAAATTTGGAATTCCCTTTCAACGCTCACTTAAAGATACACTCTAGATCCCTAAAGCTTACAGAATTGATTTTTTTTTCCATTTTACAAAAAGTACAGATTTCATTAGAAATTGGCCTGTTTATAAATTAACACCTCCTTTCTATCAGAAAAACAAACAGTTTTCCTGGCACTGCAGGTCCCCTCTCTCTCCCACCTCCCATCCCAGGTTGCTGAGGGGGATAAATCCCCTTCAGTGACTTACCTGTATCCAGCGCCGATGTCCCTCGGCGCTGGGTCAGGCTCTGCCAACTCTCCTCCCCTGCCGACATCAGCCACGCGCACACGGCAACGGCCGAGCGTGCGCATTACACAGCCCCATAGGAAAGCATTATTGAATGCTTTCCTATGAGGATTCCGGCGACGCTGGATGTCCTCATGAATAGTGTGAGGACGTCCAGCATCTCTTAAAACACTAAAAGTGTTTTAAGAACACGGAAGTCCCTCTAGTGGCTGTCCTATAGACAGCCACTAGAGGAGGACTTAACCCTGTTAAGCAATTAGTGCAGTTTATGAAAACTGCACTAATTACACTTGCAGGGATAAGGGTAGTGGGAGTTGGCACCCAGACCACTCCAATGGGCAGAAATGGTCTGGGTGCCTGGAGTGTCCCTTTAAACTCAAGAGGCAGCAATTGCCCAGAGCCCCTGCCTTGCAAAGATGTCTTATTGCAAGTCCTCCCATTCTTCCCCAGCCCAGGCTTTCTGTGACTATACAATTACAGACTTCCTAATGCAGACCGAGACAGCTGCAGACAAGAGATCTGCAGCTATTGCAAGCATTTCTTAGTTATACAATCAATTAAAAAAATGCATAATGCATACATGTTTTCATTGGGGGTATATTTAATATACAGCAATTGTTATTCATTTTTGTATTTGGGCAATGGAAACTGGGACGTGTGTGGGCTGTGATATTCAATAGCATTATCTTACTCGAAGAATTTAATATAAAATACAACACATATATACAGGTTTATTTTTTTTATTTTTTTGTCTTGTTAAATAAATCATGACACGGTGCTATATTTAATGTGTTCATCTGAGGTTGTATGTAACTAACTTTAAGACTTTGCTAGGAACAGATGATTATTATTATGTTCTGATATATGAAACCATAAAATTCAAAGAGGGTTTTCCCCTCCTCCCCCATATGACTGTACGTGTATCTGATGTTTCCAATAATATATCTGTAAATCATTGAGGTATCTGTCAATGTATTTTGGTTATAAAATCCTTTAGTGAAGGTTTGTGGTTATTAGTAGGTTATGAGGCCACATAGTGATTTTCAGAAAATAAAATAGGTTTATTTTTCAGCCAGCATGAAAATAAATGAACTTGATTTCTTTTGGCGTCCACTACAGTGCTTTTATGCTTGTGTGTCTGTAAGTTTATGCTTTGCAGAGAAATGTAATCCCCTAAAAAATGGCAATCCTTGATTTTGAAATAGTTTCTGTTTGGTTGGCACAAGCTGAACTGTCCTGAGAAAAACAGTGAATAAATCAGGAGACGGGTGCTGCAAAGTATGGCAGTACTAGGCTAATGACTGTGCCAGCTCGTTTGATGAGAAATACTGCAGAGAGTACTATGCAAGGTTATAGCATTGACAGCAGAGGCATCATTTAATAGAAGATTTTAGTCATGAAGTTTAATATGATGTGTCTGGCCTTGGCATTGCAATGTAGTGTATTTATGTTTTCACTGTTATTTTGTATCTGTAATCTGTAATTTTTAGTTGTATGTCTAGAGTAGAAGAAAATAGGTGACCAACAGATGAATATGTAAAAATGTCATATGGGAAGACATTCATTTTTTTTCTTTAAAGGGCAATTCTAAGCAGTAGTTGTTATGGTACTCTAAGCACCAATACTACTACATGTTGGCGTACACCTCTAGTGGTTGTCAGACAGAAAGCCAGTAGAAGCATTTCCTTGTAAAAGGATCACTCTACAGATTGTGTGCTTTATATGTCTGGAGTCTGTTACATGATTGGTGTTTTATGAAAGTCACAGACGGTTTTTTTCCCAGCTACTGTTGGCATCACAGCACGGGAGTAGGTCTGCCCTTCTCCTTCCTCAACGATCTGTACTACAGCTAATTGAGAAGCATAGGGGAAAAACAGTGATTGCATGCTTCTCAAATGCTTCTCAAAAAGAAGGCTCTGGTTCAAATATTTAAATAGACAAACTAATAAAAACCCAACTCCAACAGGTGTTGGATATGCAAAGATTACCACTAAAGTTAGTCATTCATTTGAGATTACAATAATAGATACCATAAAAATTATTATTATTATTATTATTTTACGTGAAAACAAAACCAGTGAGAAAAAAAACAAGTGACCAGTGAGTGTAAATTAAAATCGAAGGATCCACAAAAACATTAGCGGGTTTCTAAATTTGAATTTACAAACCCATATACCTTATTCACATTATATTTCTATTGATACATACTTAAAGTGATATATTGTATATGGAGAAAAGAATAATCTTATATTAACTGAGACACAATAACTCCTGAATGAGTCAAATGGATACTGCTATGTGATTTCTGATAAAACAAGGGGGATCTTAGAAGTGACTAGAAAATGCAGCATATTCCAAACCCCTTTAAGAAAACATGAAAGTCCTCACTGGTTGGAAAACTAACTATTAGATTGTAAATCGGTTTAACCACAATATAAAAATAAGGTATATGGGTTTGTAAATTCAAATTTAGAAACTCCCTAATGTTTTTGTGGATCAATTCATATTAATTTACAACGGATCACTTTTTGTTTTTTCTCACTGGTTTTGTTTTCACGAAAATTATGTGTAATTGTTGGCGTCTCTTTTTAATTATTAAAGACTTCAAATTCATTTTAATGGTATCGCTATTGTAATCTCAAATGAGTGACTAACTCTAGTGGTAATCTTTGGATATCTAACTCCTGCTGGAGTTAGATTCCTATTAGTTTGTATATTTAAGGGTTAGGCCCTTTATCACCTACTCTAGTCCAATTTTGGCAACAGGGTAATTTGAGTATTTCAGTCTGTCAGTCAATGAGAGAGGGTTTGCAAGGGCTGCAGAATGCAGGTGTGGAGCTTTTTTGCATGCTGCTTTTATTTTTACATACACCCAAAGATAACTGGTAGAAAACACACGTGCAACTAAACTGATAAAAAAAATTTTTTTTTTTTTAAATAATTCAATGTCTTGTCCTTTAAGACCTCCAGAAATGGAAAGCCTTCAAATTCGGCATGATGATGCACAACATGATGATTCAAGCATGTTGGACACCTCTCATTGAAAAGCAATGGATTCACTGCTTCTCTATGAGAAGTACCAGATTATCCTAGCACAAAGATCGCCATGCAGTGCTTATGTATGACAAGTATTGAAGTATTGATTCAATGCATCTCTATGAGGAGATGCTGATTGGCCAGGACTGTATGTGCTGGCTCTTACCCTGATCTGCCTCCTTAAAAAGCAGAGCCAATCCAATGCTTTCCTATTAGAAAGCATTGTGATTGGCTTTGATCAACAGTTCTGATGATGTTAGCCAAACAGGCAGATCAGGGGCTGAGCCAGCAGCAGCAGACTGGAATAAATGTAAGATTTACCATATTTAGAGGGGCAAGGTGGGTCAGGGGGGCTAGATGGTGTTTTTAACACTATAGGGTCAGGAATGCTTGTCTGTGTTCCTGACCCTATAGTGTTCCTTTAAATATTAATTTTAGTTTGCTAGGAATGTCCAGGTATGAGGGATATATCTTCTACACAAATTTATTGGTAATAAATATGTAACTATAAATAAGTGGTTCTAGCTGTAAAATTTGCTTCAACTTGAGAATTATTGTATAAGCTTTTGAAATTATTTAATATTAAAGTGTTTATGTGTGTGTGTGTGTGTGTGTGTGTGTGTGTGTGTGTGTGTGTGTGTGTGTGTGTGTATATATATATATATATATATATATATATATATATATATATAAATATAAATTTTTTGCATGTTTTTAAAATTTTAACGGAAAATGATTTAATTTTTTAACAAAAATATAAAATTATTTGAAATGCTTATACAAAAATATTCAGTTGTGGCCATTGTCTTTTAAGCAATGGTCACCAGGTATAACTGCGACACCATAAATCAGAATTCACATTAACGGCAGTCCCCCCCCAAAAAAAGGTTACTTTTATATTTCATATAACATCTGTAAAGGCACCACCTCTTTTGGTATAAGACTACGGAGTTTAAAACCTATTGTTTCACTCTGACATCAATTATACTAACTCATGATATAGATTATAGTGTTTTATGCTTTATAAGTCTGTCCCAAACACTGTATGGGTGTATGTATCGTGTAAAACATGTAAAAACAAAAGCCCTAAATTACAGTGCTTGTTAAAAGCATGTCTGGTTTATGTAATTCAACTACAGAGGCCTATGTGCGTTAAAGGCTTTAAACTAAGAAATTCTTATACAGTGAAGTAGTCATTACCCTTCTACATTTTAAATCCCAAATAAAAAATCCATCCCCTCCTTTATATAACCCACATTAATGCCATGCATAATGTTAGGGAAATAAGATTTATGATTCTGTTACCAAATGCAGACAAGATGCAATATATTATGAACATGGCGATTAGTGACTTATACAGCAGAACCTCTCATATAGAAGGGACAGGGCCTAATCGTCAAACTGGTTAGACATAAAGCACTGAAGAGAAATCTTCCATACAAACATTAAGCTTTCTGCATTACCAAATACACTATAATAGGCCATGGCTGATTTGGTCTTACTCTTAGATTGCCACAGACCTATGTGGTACTGGGTGTGCTCAAGTGTATTATTATTTTAGATATGTGCATAATAAGAATTTTCAGTTCTTATGAAATTCAATAAAAATGTAAGTTTGGTTGTATTGCTGGAGAATGGAAAACACATCTGTAGTGGTTTCAAACTGCTAAAAAATAAAAAAACTGAACTACTGGACCAATCATCACGTAGTCCTAGGGAATGTTTGACCATCCTATCATTTGTCAATTTCAATTGCAAAATTAGACCAATCTAAGACACCCTGTCACCTTTTCATAATTTACAGATGTTGGAAAACCGAATGTGAAACCGTGAACTAGCATTGTTTTGTTGGTTGTTTTAATTCAGGTTGTGTTTAAAGAGAGTTAGTAGCTGGTGATAGAATGATAGAGAGAGAAGACTTAGAAGAGATTAGTGAGAATTCATTTTATCGGTAGCTCAGTTTTTAATTTTTTAGCAGTTTAAAACCACTACAGATGTGTTTTCCATTCTCCAGCAATTCAACCAAACTTCAATTTTCATTGAACTTCATATGAATTGAAAATTCTTATTATGCACATATAGAAATATACGTATTGCCGAGCCTTAGAGGGGTTGGACTTAACATGTATATATAGACTGGTCAAATACAAGGCAAGGTCAGGGATACAAAATGAGATGGGTATGTGAAGACAGGTCAATAGATCAAGGATACCAGAAATAAGAATATTCGACAACAAGCCGAGGTCAGAATAGCCAAACAGAAATACAAGTTAAACGTACACTCTGATTACCAGTAAATGGAAACCACGACAGGGCACTGATAAAAACCTAATGTGGGTTTAAATAGCTGATGGATGGCAGTGATTGGCCACAAATGACCATGATGTATGTTTACGTCAATTATGTCAGGAGTGGAGGTGGAGCTATAAACACAGTCCGTTGTGAGGTGGCCAGCATCTGTTAGAATGCCACGCTGACAAGGAACCCCATGGGAGGCGGAATGGATTAGCATCCGTTGTAAGGTAGGAGGTCCACTAAGGTTGTGGACATGCAGATCGGCTGCAGTCACATGATAGGGCGGTTACAAAAGGTATAATTGAATTTTAGGTGAGTTGGCCTTTATTAAGGGATTGGTTGGCCTGGCTTGCTTTCCGCAGAATTATTGTGTACTCTAGATAACTAGAATCTAGGTGAGCAAAATATGTGGTGGTTAGATGTAAAAATGCACTTTTAACACTACTTAACATTTAATAGTTATCTTACAATGAGCCTTTGGACACCATTCATACATTTTTTGCCAAACTGTTTTCAGGCAGTTTGACAAAAAAACAGGCTCTCCTGATATATAAATCTTTTCTTCTGTGACTTTGTGTACATAGTTCACGGACTCATATTCTGCCCAAAGATAACCAGCCTGAGACCGCATTGATCGGCTGTGAGAGCCATAGGGGTTATGGCTCTTTAAGTGTCCTTCAAACCCAAATTCCTAAACTATAGACAGGGACTTTTGATATTGACATTAAGGTCAATAGAAGAAGGTCTTCTGTGTCTGGTTATCTAGGTTCACACTATGATTCTACTTTACCTGTTCATCGTAACTAGGATTAGTATTTGACTATTTTACTTTGCCACTTAATAGCCCACTGTACATCCATTGAAACCACCATATTTTGTCTTGGCAATCCCAATGCAAATCAAGCTTCAACCATGAATGTTCTCACGGGTAAATAATTTTCTACAATGATCTTAAGTGAGCGGTCTGACTGCCTGGTTTTGGTGTCGCACCAGCATGTTTGCCAGTGTGATGGACTCAGAATTTAAGCCAGTCACCCAGATGGGGATCACATTGAACGGCATATTGAAATGTGTTTAAAGAGCTCATGATGCAGATCTTCAGGCTACGTTTCCTTCTAATAAAGGAAACAAATAAAATAAACATCTAAATAAATATTAAACAAAATATATTACACTGCTGTAGAGTGAAAAATCTGCATGCTCTTAAGTATTCATGCAAGCTAACAGCATTTATTGTGCCAAAATAAACATTGGTTTTCCTTTTTAGATCCTGTCTATAGAAATAATAAAACACAAGGCTTTTGCTTGTCTATTATAAGATTTCCTTACAAACAGCCCATCTTTGCTTAGCATATTTGGTTTGTTCAAAGCATTTCTATTTATCCGGCATGTGACACCTTTTTATTCTAACTCCTCACTAGTCTCTCACGCAAGTCTAATTCATTACCTTCAGTTAGTGTCGAGCTGGGCAGAGAATTGCTTCCTACCAGATTGCATCTTTTAAGGGACACTATAGTCACGAGAACAACTCCATCTTAATGCAGTGGTTCTAGTGTCTATAGCCTGTCCCTGCAGGCTTTTTAATGTAAACACTGCCTTTTTACTACTGCCTAGAAACACCTCTAGTGGCAGTCACTCAGACACCAATAGAGGTGCTTCCTGGGTTCAGGATTTCCATACTCTGCATGTAGACGCAGAATGCTCCCCATAGAGTAGCATTTATTAACTGCATCTCTATGAGGAGATGCTGATTGGTGCAGAGCTGTGTTTTGCCGCACATGCACAATAACCTCCCAATGCTTTCCTGTGGGAGATCATCAAGTTTAGCGGAATGTGGACAGGGTCAGCCACAACGAGACCCATGCAGAGCAGGAAAAAAGGTAACTATGTTTGTGTTCCTGATGCTGTAGTGTTCCATTAAAGGGATTCTCTATGCATCATACAGACTCAAGTCACATGGTTTGATCATATGACCAACAAGTTTCTAACATTCTGCCAAATTACCCAACAGAGCAGCTATAGCTCCAGTTGTTGGGGGGACTGGGGTAAACAGGCCACCCAACCACTCCAATTTCAGTGAGACAGTCCAAGTTTTGGGGTCTTGCCATCCTGAAGTAGTTCTTCGGTGTCCAACATCTAGGGACACCAGGAAAACTGTTCCCAGGTAGCACAGTGAAAGCACCTCATTACTGGTGCTTGTACTGTGAATGGGCAAGAAGACCCTGCAGAGAATGCTACAGCTGCACTCTCTGCTTGGTCCTGTGGGTTGATGGCCTGCCAGACAGGTCCCTTCAGTAGGCATGCCCACCTATTATGGGTTTCACCAGTGATTTAAGCGGTGTGCACCTTTAGGCCCATAAACTGTCCCGGTCTCGTACCTCCCAATATTGAGATGTGATGGGCGTGCACGAAGATACAACCACTATGGCGGGATGTGGGGGACCTGTTGACTGACCTACTGGATAGACTTAGATCCCTGAGCCTTTCTTCTGGCCAGATCTGTGGACGGCATGTCGAACAGAAACAACAAACTAATGAGCAAAGTCGCCCTGACGACCAGAAGGGCCATAGCGGCAAAATAGTTGGAACCTGCCGTCCCCGACATGACAGAAGTGACACAACTCATCAAAGATAATTATTTAATGGAAAAGCTATCGGCAATAGTTCACAACATTACCAAATCATTCGAGAGGGTGTGGTCACCCTGGGAAGCGATGGTAGGGTAACCACCACAGGCAGGGCTCGGGTGCAGTACTCTCGCCTGGGGTTGTTGGGGCAGGGGATCAGGGAAGAGCAAGTGATCCCACTCCTCTTTACAATAAGCCAACCTCTACAAACTTTCCAGAGACAGTTGATACATCTTTCCTTTTTTCTTTTCTATTAGTTTGTTCAGTTCGATACATTGTTATTATTTAAAGAAAGTCATGGCGGCATGTACTGGGCTGCATAAACAGGGACATGATATTGCATTTGTACAATATTACTGCTCAGTGGAACAGTTTTAGGGCATAATAAACCAGCTCTGTCTTTGGTATACCTTGAAAGTGACTATTATGTATGTAACAAACCACACAGAACTTCTGCATAAGTTTCCAATCAAATGCTTAATCCTGTAATGCTTGCCAATGAAAAAAAGTGTTTAAAAAAAAAATAAAATAAAAAATTAGTGTGTATAAAGGTATCATCATCCATTTTTTTTGGTAGTCTCTAAAATTGTAGATTTCTGGAAATATTTTTTCAAGAAAAGCTTTCTAATAAACCTATGGATATCAGTATATGTATTAAAATGTTTATTAGTACTAGAGGGAGCAAATGTTATGCCTTTGTTTAAAACTTCCATTTCTTTATTTATCTGTTAAAATTTTGTTTGACAAATTAAAAATTCCTATAGATGGAGTTTCCCTCTTTTTTTTCCTCACAGTCCAGCATTTGTCCTGCTCTAGTTCCCCTTCTTTCCTACCTCAAGCCCTTTTTGGTAATTGGGGTTGGGGGGCAGTGAGGGGGGGAGATTTAGTTCTTTAAAAATATATACTTTTAAATCATCTCCTGATGTATTATCTGATAGCAGCCTACATCTACTACCATGTTTAGGAGTATTGTGGTTATTATATTTAGAATTTAGAATTCTGTGATTTCTTCTGAACGGGAAATCTAGATTCCACTGGAGTGTGTTTTGGTGATAGTGTTTTTGTACCATTCACTTATATATTTGTGTATTGCAACCACTTTTTAAATCTTGCGGGGGTGGTCCTAAACTGTGACTAGGATACTATCGCATTAGGGATGCAAATACAGTTTTGCTCAAAAGTTTGCATACCCTGGCAGAAATTGTGAAATGTTGGCATTGATTTTGAAAATATTATTGATCCTGCAAATTTTTTTTATTTTATTAAAGGATAGTGATCATATGAAGCCACTTATTATCACATAGCTGTTTGGCTCCTTTTTAAATCATAATGATAACAGAAATCACCCAAATTCTCCTGCTCTAATGTTTACATATCCTTGATTGTTTGGCCTTGTTACAGACACACAAGGTGACACACACAAGTTAAAATAACAATTAAAGCTAATTTCCCACACCTGTGGCTTTTTAAATTGCAATTAATGTTGGTGTATAAATAATCAATGAGTTTGTTCGCTCTCACGTGGATGCACTGAGCAGGGTAGATCCTGAGCCATGGGTAGTAGAAAGAACTGTTAAAAGACCTGCGTAACAAGGTAATGGAACTTTATAAATATGGAAAATGATATAAAAAGATATCCAAAGCATTGGAAATGCCTGGTAATACTGTTCAATCACTAATTAAGAAGTGGAAAATTTGGGGATCTCTTGATGCCAAGCCAAGGTCAGGTAGTCCTAGAAAGATTTCAGCCACAACTGCCAGAAGAATTGTTCGGGATACAAAGAAAAACCCACAGGTAATCTCAGGAGAAATACAGGCTGCTCTGGAAATAGATCATGTGGTTGTTTCAAGGAGCACAATACGACAATACTTGAATAAAAATGAGCTGCATGGTCAGATTACCAGAAAGAAGCCTTTACTGCACCAATGCCACAAAAAAGCCCGGTTACGATATGCTCAACAACATCTTGACAGGCCTCACTGCTTCCGGCACACTGTAATTTGGAGTGACAAGACCAAATACACAGTATTAAGAACTAAGGGTATGCAGACATTTTTAACAGGGGTCATTTCATTTTATCTTTGTTGCCATGTTTTGTTTTATGAATGTGCCATTCTGTTATAACCTACAGTTAAGAGATGATACTTTCTGCCAGTCTAGTTCAGGGGCTGCTATTCGGATTTTTACCTACTTACACTATTTTTCAATATTTCATCCCAGCAAATACTGCAGAAATCTTACTAGGGTAACTAAAAAACAAATTGATAGAATTAGTAACACTTTTACAATTCTATCTTTATATAACAATGACATATGACAGTGTTTCTTTAACCCCTTAAGGACACATGACATGTGTGACATGTCATGATTCCCTTTTATTCCAGAAGTTTGGTCCTTAAGGGGTTAAGGGAGATAAAAAATAAAAAAATCAATTGCAGATTGCTGATAACAGCTGTTCTATCCGCTTGTATTAATATTGCCTGTTAAGTTTTCTCCATGGTTTTCATGATGAGATAACTTAATTTAGTGAAGTGCTTGTTGTCACATTGGTTATGTAGCTCCTCTCAGTAATGAATCACAGCTTTATGCCACCAGTTCCCATAATTACTCTTATGTTTAAATCTTGGGTCAAGTAGAAGTTTGATCTAAAGTATTAAACAGGACAATATAAAATATTGTCTTAAATTTATATCATGACGCATAAAGGGTTTTGTGCCAATGTACTTAAGGATTGTAAATGAAGAACCACTACACTGAAAGCATTTTAATGAAAGGACAATAGAATATATATGTATGAATCCAGGTCTCAAGACTAAAGGGGATCCGAAGTTCGGTGCCATCTTGATGAAAATTTGTATTTATATACTTTTTGTCCTATGTGGACATGGGTAAATTGATAATAGTTCCTGCTTCTCAATGCCCACTGTTTCGCTTTTAAAGGGAAACTATAGTGCTAGACAAAACAAACTTGATTTTTCGGCAATGGCCACGCTAGCATTAGGATTTCCCCATAGGAAAACACTATGGGGTTTTGGGTGATGCTGGACATCCCCATGCATAATATGAGGATGCCAAGCATCAGTTAGGCGAAATAAACATAGGGTTCTGCATACAATAGTGTTGGAACCAGGGCCGTCTTTAACTTGGGGCAAATGGGGCCCCGGGCACTCCTTGGGGGCTCCAGAGCAGCTGCCCCGTGGGCCCCGCTACCCTCCACGTTTAATTTATATCCCCATGGCCAGCCACTGCAACTGGGCGCCCCACATTAAGGAGGCCCACCGGGTGGCCCATGCACTAAGGGACACCCGGTGGGCATTTGTAAGCAGGGGCCCGGTTGCACGCGGTGGCCCTTCAACAGCGCGAACGAATGCCTTGACGGCCACAAGTCACTTCCTCCCACTAAGGAGTAGAGGAGCCGTGCAAGAGAAATGGAGGAGGCAAATGTGTGTCAGGTCGTGTACCTGTTTGTATATGTATTGGTGTGTGTATCTGCGTCAATCTGTGTGTCTGCGTCTGCATGTGTCTCAGTGTGTGTGTTCGGGTATCACAGTGTGTGTGTGGCAGGGTCTGTGTGTATGTGCATACAGCTCAATATTTAAAATGCCAACACTACACAAAAATATTCCAGTGCATTGAAACGTCATCACTACATACAAACACACTTTTGTATTTTACACCGTAATTAGATATCAATAAACCCCTGCATTCGGAAACCAACACTACACATAAATGCATACTTACATTCAAAATGCCAGCAACACATTCAAACACACCCCTACATTCACACAAACATACTCCATACAAAAACATGCTTACATTCAAACACTGCTCAATGCTAAACTCAACCCTGCAAGCATGGAAAAATGGTAGATCCCCAGCTGTCAAAGTATTGTTAGAGTTGCACGACAGATAGGAATCTACCTTTTGGCCACTCTTGCGGTAGGGGGGCCCAAAACAATTCTCGCATTAGGGCCCTTTCTACTTTAGTTCTTCCACTGCATTGGGGTGGATAGTGTGATTGCATGCCAGTGAGTGGGAGGGGGCAGGTTCCAGGGGGCCCAAGAAAATAGTTGCCCAGGGTCCAGTCAATATTAAAAGATGTCCCTCAGCCCTGGTTGGAACATACTGGATTAAAATAAAGACACAGCACGTTTTAAAATAAATGGTTAGCATTAATAAGCAATAGCACACTCTAGCACAATGCATTGTGGACTATGTTTCCCATGATGCTCAGCTGAGCTCTACAGACTGGACAAGTGTTATTTGAAAACAATTGGTTTGATTTAAATTTTTTTTTTTAAATGATTTAATATTTTTGGAGACACTTGTGAAATGGCTTCATGTTTTGAAAAATATTTTTATATTTTTGATATATTGACATATTTATAGATAGGCTATGTTTTTTTGATATTTTTCTTCCCAAATGTAATTTCTACCGAATTTTTAAAATATTAAAAAACATTTTTTTCTAAAGTATAGCCAAATATAAAAAATATATCAAAAATATTAAGCCGAGGCAATTGTCGGCAAATGAAATGCAAACTTTATTCACTAGACCATGTAAAATGTATTTCTTTGAGTCTCTCTACAAATAACCATTCTCCCATGTTTGTATGAAACTGATACATGCCATCCTTTTTTTTTTTTTTTTAAATGTCTTTTTTTAATTCTTTTTTTGTCGTGTGGAAGTAGTACATAAGCACAGAGTCTGCCACAACAGCTGAGATAGGTCATAATGAGTGATACATTTGTATGGCAGAGTAATAAAGATGATTATACAGCACTTTTTTTTGTTCTGTGAACAGAATGTGATCAGGCATGTTGGAGATTGAGTAATTTTTTAGTTAAACTAGACATGTCAATGCTCATAAGGAAAGCCAAGCTTAGAATTGTGGTTCTGGGTCTAGTTGCTGAGCTAAGATGTTATGGCTATGGGTAAGTAGTGTTGGGAACTCAGGACCAGGTTCCTAATAAAACAATGATTCTCAGAACTTTGGTCAGGGGCCGTTGCTGAAGGGAAATGTCTGCATTTAGATGGCATGATAACCGTGTGTGAGTGCTAGGAGGTATATTTGGTAAATCTGCCCTTAGGGGGATCCCGGTTTGCCAGGTGGGAGCATTTAGGAGGCTCTATTAATCGGGCTTTAACTTAAGCAGAACTAAAATGTAAATGAAAAACAACGCATAAACAAACAGTCTTATCATTGGCATCTGAAGAGACCAGTTAACCGTAATCACAGTGCAGAACATGTAGAGTCGCTTTTTCCCTCTGCAGTCAGGTTGACAGGTGGTTCGTTGATTCGGACCTCGGGATGAAGGGAGTGATGCTGTCGGGGTCCCAGGTTCTGTTAGAGGCTTGTGTGTCCGCAGTTGTCAGTCCCAGAATTGCAAGGAAGGACGGGGCTTCAGCAAGTGAGGGTGTGGGAAGTCCCATGGTGGTTAGCTAGTAGTGATCCCAGTGCTTCCCATCCATAGCTCATGCTGGAAGCACATACTTGTTGAATCTTGGGATGACATGCAGCATAGTAGGACATCACAAGCTGCTTGTGAGTGGGTTCTTGAGGGACCTGAGACCCGGTATATTCCATCAATGACCATTTTTCTAGCCACTGCTGGGGGTAATATAGTTGCCTTCTCGTGTAATGTGGCAGCTCTCCTGTCAGGACACTTGTTGGGATGTCGCGGATTTTAATGTTGTTGCGTCGGTGACTGTTCTCAAGGGCATTCAGGTGCAGGGTGAGAGTGTGGTGTGATTTTTGGAGCTGTTGTACAGAGTCCTGTACAGTGGATAGGTTGGTGGTGACCTCTGTCATGTCAACTTCTGTAGAACGTACCTGGTCATTAGTGCTTTGTAAATCAGCTCTGACCCTGCGAGTTCCTTCACCAGCATTTTGTGGAAATCATGCAGTAATATTTGCAAGTCAAGTTTGGTCACGGGGTGTGATCCGGGGGTGCTGGTGGTATGTGGCATAGGTAGTGTCTCTCCAGCTGGTCAGCGTGGGCCAGCAGAGCGGTAGCTGTCTGGCTTTCCGTCGGGCCCAGTTTGGGCCGCACAGGCCGTTAATGCACAAGCTGGGTGGAGATCCAGTGGCTGTGACAGGTGCATGGCCTTTGTAAACCCCGACGAGGAGCGCCTCAAAGTCGGGCAGTGCTTGTGTGGAGTAGCGTGGGATTGCGTTTCCGTTTAGGCGGCGTTTTCAAAAAGAAGGGCATCTATCGATGCAGTGTGAGTCCCTTAGTCTGGGTAGGGGTCTGGGGTGTTGGGATCTGGAGCCTGAGCTGCCTGAAATGGCTTCAGCTCGGTAGTTGGCCCTGCCTCCCATGCCTTTTTAATAGCCCACAATATAAATTATAAATACTTGCACTCATGCTAAATTTACACATGCACCTACAAATATTACACACTCAGAAACACGTGTTGGCACGAGTTTAAATTATAAAATTCAGAAGCACGGGAGCAGGGCCTGCTCGTCATGGCTGACAGCTGTGTTTAGTGTGAGCTCCTCACACAATTCGAGTAATCATTAACTTTTTAAAGCAGAGTAACATCTCAAGGACAGCTAACCTGACTCTGACAGTTGGGGAGCTTTCTGGCACCGGGTTAAATCATGTACATTGCTGCCACAACCCCTTACACCTCCTAAAAATCAGGTGCCCGCAGCAGCTGACCCCACAGCTTCTCACCTCCAAACCAGAGACCAGTATGGCGCAAAGCCCCCACTCGGCAGCACCTTCTGCTACACAGATGCTCCACTGCCGTCCATGCACCCAGGCAGACAACCGGACTCTGGAGAGCCCATGGGCCCACGATCCTGATAGATCAGTGGAGATAAGGCAAGGGCTCCCATTGAGGCCTCAGCCCGAAAATCTGCAGTACTTTGGCATCGTGGACCTCCATGCTGTCAGCTGCTGAATATACAAAGTCTGTACAGAAGCAGACTGGGCTTTCTAATAAGACCTGGCACGGGGACTGCCTCTGTATGTTGGATGATCCCTGAGTAATGCCGGTGTTCTGTCAATGTCACATCTCTAGGGCCTGGCTTTAATTTGTTTCATCTTCGTTGTTTTACCTTCATTTTAGTCTTAGTTTTTGTTGTGCTACATACAACCTGACCGTTAACACTCCAGCCAGCCATGCTGTATAGTGCCATGAAGGTAACGCTCAATTACTTATTTTTTTATAGCCAAGGTATCAACGACAGAGCAACCTTGATTCCTACCTGGTGGTCCTCTCCAAGATTTTTTCCCTTCCTTAGTCCTAGCATGATGTCATACTATATTGATTTGCCTAAACAAAATGTCCATTACGTAGCTTGATTTCATTGCTGCTTATACTTACATGTCTACTGACATATTTTGCATGTCCATGTTTATTTTACAAAACTTTGTGCACTTTTAATTCATGTCATGATGAAATGTGCTTTCCATTGCATGCATTAGCTATTGTGACATTACAGGCGAGTTGTAAACTTTTTGCACTGCAAAAATAAAGATTTATAAAAAAAATAAAAAAAAAAATTCAGAAGCACACTGAAAATCTAAAGGTGGCCCTGGTTACACGTTCATGTCCACAGGAACATTGTGTATTAGTTTTGTATGTCTTTTTTAAATTTTTTTATTTATTTTTATTTTTATATCCCCTCCAAGATTAATTTAGCTAGTTCATTTTGTCATATAAATCCTCCATTCCCCTTGTTAAAGGTAGCACTGGGACATTGAAGGTTTCAATATCATCAAATCTCCGCAGCCCTTTTGTAGTGGCCAAATTGCTATTAACCATTTTAGCCATACTGTATTGATTCGGGCCCTCTGCCAATGCATATGAAATATTAAATGTACAGTCAGGTCATTTTAATACAAGCGTTATAAGGATAAACCACTAATACTTTTTACTTTACGTCGCACGGATCAGTCTGTATTTTACTTGCTACAAAGGTCCTTCCTTTTAGGCGAGCATATTAATGTCCTTGAATCCTGAAATACACATAACAAGACATCTAAGGAAACTTTAGTGCTAGTGACCACAGCAGTAAACTCCCTCAGGAAACTGTTCAAAAAAGCTCAGCATTGTAAGCATTTCTATTAATTTGGAAACAACTCCCTTGGATTCCTGCTGTGATAAAAGTTTTTAACCCTTCCTGCTGTGTCAGGAATCCTGGGGAACAACTCCTTTTTATTTGTTTATTTTGAGTCCTCTCCTGTACATGAGATTATGGGAGAGAAAGGAAGCCTCCCAAGCACGTGTTTGCTTGTTTAACCCTTTACCTGCTGATTATGTTTGTATATATATTTCTAAATTCCAAAGAAGCAAGTAAACTGTTCATTTGGCCACAGATTAGTAACTATTGGTTAGAGACAGTTTGATTGTCATTCAGTGTTAAAGAAAAAATATTCAGGTGTGACTGTTTTTTTTAAATGTTTTTTTTTTTTAAATTTAATTCATTGAAAATAATTTTTTAAAAAATGTAAAGGTATTTTTTGCCCCTTAAATGGACACTGTAGTCACCTAAACAACTTTAGCTCAATGAAGCAGTTTTAGTGTATAGATCATGCCTCTCAGGTTTCACAGCTCAATTCACTGTCATTTGGGAGTTAAATCACTTTGTTTCTGTTTATGCAGCCCTTGTCACACCTCCACTGGCTCTGATTGGCTCTGATTAGCCTGCATGGAAACAAACTGGTTTCACTTTCAATCAGATGTAATTTACCTTAAACAATTGTTTAAGGTAAATCACATCTTGACAGAATATCCTTACATTTCATCATTCTTATTCATGGTGGGGTTGGGCTTTTTGTGATTGGAAAAACTACACAGACCCCAAAGAGAGTCCTCTAATCTGGGAAGACACTTCCTGGGAAGCGCCTGTCTGCCTGTATCTCTTTCTCTGTGAATTAAACTTTAAATCACATACAAGAGGCTCTTGCAAGGTCTAGCAAGCTATTAACATAGCAGGGGATAAGAAAATATAAATTAAACAGAACTTGCAATAAAGGAAGGATAAATAGGACTCTTTACAGGAAGTGTTAATGAAGGCTGTGCAAGTGACATGCAGGGAGGTGTGACTAGGGTTCATAAATAAAGTGATTTAACTCCTAAAAAAAGCAGAGAATTGAACAGTGAGACTGCTTCATTAAGCTAAAGTTATTTTGGTGACTATAGTGTCCATTTAAAGCTGGAGCACTGTGCAGACAGGCCTCTCCCAGGAAGTGTCTTCCCAGATTAGAGGACTCTCTTTGGGGTCTGTGTAGTTTTTCCAATCACAAAAAGCCCAACCCCACCATGAATATGAATGATGAAATGTAAGGATATTCTGTCAAGATAGAATTGTCCTTCAAGGGACACTATAGGCACCCAGACCACTTCATCTGGATGCAGTGTCCCTGTTCCCTTAACCCTGCAATGTAGAAGCTGCAATGTTTACTTTTCTAGGTTAACACTACCTCTAGTGGCAATCTATTATGCATGGACATTAGTTTCCACGATCAGCTGACACTGGTGGAGGAGGAGTCTGACCCAGCACCGAGCGACATCAGTGCTGGAATCAGGTATGTGTTTAAGGGGTTATTTAACCTGCTATATTGCTCAGGGAGGGGAAAGGAGGAGGAGTTAGGGAACGTGGGAACAGAGGGTTCCTATTTTGCTAGGAGTACATCTTTATACATCTTTGTGCGCCTAACACTATAGTCCTCCTTTAATCGCTGTTGTCATTTCAGATTTTTTTTATTGGCTGTTGCCTACATAAAGGTTAGGTATGTGTTATGGTATATTTATTTATTTTCTTATTATCATTGGCATTTACGCAGCACCAACTTATTCTGCAGCGCTAAGACGATTATAAAATGTTACAGGAACAATAGGTTGGTAAGGACCTTGCTCAAATAAGCTTACATCTAAATGGCAGAGAATTGTACTGTGAGATTTTAAGGTTATCTATACATAAAAACTACTTTATAAAGTTACAGTGTTGATGCCTATAGTATCTCTTTAAGTATGTAAACCAAATGAGAGATTAGGATCCAGTTTATTTATAGGAATTGAATGTGGCCAATTAGTTAGACTTTACAATAGTCCTTATTTGAGGATTAGTTAGTTTAATCAATTTAGGCTTTCTTACATCCCAAGTGTCCCTATTAAGGAATGACACTCCTTACTTCGATCCCAAATCCTTTTCTCCATATTTTTTATCCTCATGTCCCTATTTTCTTCGGAGCTCCATATTGTTGGTGTTTTTGAGTCTAATAATTCACAGCAATGTGTCATAAAACTAGAAGTGTGTTTAGAAATCAGTCTGTGTAAAAAAGATACATTGTTCTTGTTATAAGTTACATTTTAGTCGCATAAATTGTTATTCATAAGTCACCTAAAACATCTCCGAACAGCCTGGCGGGCCCTGACCACACACACCTCACTCTCACCCCTAAAATTAAAGTGTTCCTCTTTGTACATTTGAAATGTTGGGAGGTATGGCTTGATTTCAAATACAACTGAATCAGTTTTGCCAGTATTTAAAGAAATCTTATTTTTAGGAATCAGTCATTCAATCTCTGAGAAATCATCCTGTAACACTACCCCAAGTTGTGATACGTTGTATTTACTTGTATAGATTAAGGTGTCATCTGCATACATGTGCTCAGTTGATGTTTTGCATATGGTACAAAGGTCAGTAATAAATATGGAGAATAGAAGGGGCAAGAATTAAACCTTGGTGGACACCACATTTATTTATGAGTGAGTGGGAGATACTGCTTGCGCTGTACTCAAATTAAGCCCTGTCACATAAGCAAGAGTAAAACCAGTTTGTCAGCACATTTCAAAATTATTATTTTTTTTTTAAACTTGTTTTCCTGGCACTATAGGGTCTTTAGGTCTCCACCACCCTCAGGGTCCCACTCCCGCTGTGCTGAAGGGCTTAAACGCTTACCTTTCTCCAGCGCCGGGCTCCCTCGGCGCTGGGGAACTCTCCTCCCTCTGCCGACCTCAGCGCTGAATGCGCATGCACGGCAAGAGCCGCGCGCACATTCAAACAGCTCATATGAAAGCATTTCTCAATGCTTTCCTATGGATGTCCAGGATCTTATAACTGTGATTTTCACAGCGAGAAGCGCCTCTAGCGGCTGTCAGTGAGACAGCCACTAGAGACTGGATTAACCCTAGTGTAAACATAGCCGTTTCTCTGAAACGGCTATGTTTACAGCTGCAGGGTTAACACAAGATTGACCTGGCACCCAGACCACTTCATTGGGCTGAAGTGGCCTGGGTGCTTATAGTAGTCCTTTAACAAAGTGGCTCAGGTGTACGTGGTTTGTTAATGTACACCCACTCCTTCAGGTTTCCCCACAGGAAGTAATCAGAAGCTGAAAGGTCAGGAGAACATGGTGGCCAATTATTCTGGGATTATGATGCCACATGTGCCAGCACTGTAAGGAAACGTGCACAATGTCCACCTGGAAGGAATGCTCGAACATGCGTTTGGTTGTAGGTCACTTTAAAAGGCGTTTTATGGCTGTTTGCCTGCAGTAAGTGTGTTCTATACACTTCTCTCTTGGCACCAGTTTGCTGTTATTAAAGAAAAATGTTAAACAAACAAATCAAGTCACTAACATTATGGCATTGATCACACTGTCTTTAATGATTAGCTGCACATTAATGATGCCAGTGAGATAAAACTCATACCTTTCCTTTTTTTCTTTTCTTCCCAACAACAATTTTCGCATTATGCTCAAAAAAGATGGCCCTACACCTCAAGAAGATTTAGTGACACATTTTTTTCTCCTTATCAAATTCAACAGCCAAAAACACTTGAGAAAGCTCTTAAACATACCGTATTTTCTGAAATTAACAAAGTCCCAAAAATGATCAAACTTAACAATGATCATTCACAAACAGTAACCACATTTTTGTAATTAGATTTTTGTCATTTAGAATTGTTATAGTCCCCTCATTTGTCCCAGGATGCACGTCATTGGCTTGCCTGTCAATAACCTTTAGCATGTGATATAAATGCAAAGTCTGCAAATTGCCATTTTGTTTATTAGATTTGTCATGTCAGCATATTAATCTCGTGTTTGTGTGATAACCATGAGAAGAGTTAATCCCTGTCTAAAATGTGTAACTACAATGCTGGCCAAAATTCAGTGTATGGTTTGATGAGCCAATAACCTTTTTTTTAATTTATTTATTTTTTATTAATGAACCAATTTCAATGATGCATACAAGGAATGCTTAATATATGGAGATTTGTTTGCCTAGGTACTGAAGGTGACATCTTTTAAATGAACTCCAATGGCCGCCTCGCAAATTCAGGCTCTTTCTATTGTATTGTTCATAAGATTATTTACTGTGAGGTTCTAGTGATGAAATGTCTTCATGGATATTCTTCTTGAGCTGCTAAAGTGTACATAGTTTGTTAATGTACACCCACTCCACAGGAAGTAATCAGAAGCTAAAAGGTCAGGTGAACATGGTGGCCAATTATTCTGGGATTTTCATGAAATTATCTACTCGCTGAACAGTTGTTTCAAGTGGTCAATTGTAGCCCTGGCTCTATGGGCAGCAGGCCTATCCTGTTGAAACCACATTTCAGGACAATTTTCTCTTTGCGTTAAAATGGACCTGCCATTTTGAAAATAAAATTCCACAATTTTTGCTTGTTTTTCCTTTGTGAAATTACCCATAATGAATCTCCCAAGGCTCGGTTATAATATGTACCTGTAACAAAATTTTTTTTAACTACTAACAAATAAGTTATTTACCTGTCAAGTCCTACTCTTAATTTTGTCAGACCCTGTATTTCCAGCCTTTGCAAAATTACTGATAGAAGACGGTTAAACATTTTTCAGTTGTAAATGTGTTGATACTAAACACACAATTCTGGTGGAAGTTCACAAAGAATTATGAAATTTAAAAAAGCACGGGTTTGTGATGGAGGTCTATGGGTTTTATACTCGTCTTTCAAAGCTAGTTACGTTTTCTTTACATTTTAAAACATATGTCTTCAAGTCTGGGTATTTTCCTCGCTCAATGTGTCATAGCTCTCTCTTTAAAATAGCACTTTTTATGCTATGAAACTTAATCACACATAGCTGAACAACTCTACAATTTGTATTGTGTGACAGTAAGTGCAGAATGCCTGACATTTAGAACACAGAGCTAACAGACATTTCTTTAATGGACCTGGATACTGCTGTTTGAAAACCTTATCACGTCTTGAACATGCATCCAAGCTTGCTATGAAACACTTTATTGAATCGCATGTAAATAAAAATGTACTATCCTTGAAGACTCAACATTTTAAGATATACTTTGCTAAATCTATATAGGTGCACCTAATGCTGTAAAGGACTTTCTCCTATGATATTTTAGAAACCCCATTGTGATGTTGCAATTTAAAGGAGTTGGTTTTTGGAACTGGGAACGTCTTGATGCCAACAGGAAAATGACCAATCAGAGGCTTCTTGTAGAGAAGTTTATGATTTTGAGCAACGGTAAGCTTTCCAGTTCCTACCCGTGCAAGCTCCATTGCATGTGTTTGCATGATCAGAGATCCGTGTGTGACTTTGGATGGCTCTCTGCTGGTTGTTGCCCAGTAGCCTACCATCGAGGAAAAAGCAAGTAGAGTCTAGCAAAGTGTGCATGCCACCTCTGATAGCTCTGTTGAGCAAACAAACAAAAGGTAACCTTCCCGACTGTCTAAAAGCCGTGGAGGCATTTCTGCAGTGTTGATTTCAAATAGAAATTGGCATGTTTATAAACTGCAATTAAAATGAGATGATTCTGACACAGAAAACACGTCCCCAAACTAAAGTGCTTTACGTGTGTGGAGTGTTCCTTTAAGCATAGTAGTAAAACCACAGTATTTACAGAGACTTTATGGGCAGTGCTTACTGCAAGCACATGCCTGGATCTATCCTTTCCCTGACATTCAGTTTCTATGGTGTGTGTGTGTGTGTGTGTGTGTGTGTGGTGTTATTTTGCTCCAATTCCCAATACTGTAGCAGGCAGTAATCTAGTGAATAGTGCTCACAGTATTTGGAAGGAGTGAAAGGAGCAGAATAATATGTGCCTGTTACATGGAATATAATGTGATGTATAGGGAAAAGTGCACATCTCTTACTTTGGCCCGTGGACCACTAGGGACGCAGGCCTCCCCACAGGGGAACATTAGCCAGGTAAACAGCCAGAGTGGATATCTGCAGTACTACATGAATAACTCCTTTAAAATATTTATTGGCAAAAAGTGTGCAAACATATTCTGCTGTGGGTTTGTTTTGGTTTTTTCTCAATCTTTATTTAAATTTTTATTTTTCCATTTTTCTCATAGTTTCATTTTCTTAATATTTGAACAAAAAGAAAATAATCGTCATGGAATATAAGGTTGCAGAGTGAACAGAGAATGTGAAGAAAGCATACAAAGTTTGGGTTAAATACATCAACATTCTGGGAGGTCTAACGTTTTGTACAATATAAACCTTTCTAAATGGTCAGTCGTGTATAGTGGGATTAAATATTGAGGTGGAGATACTGTGGGAAGCATTTGGGATGTCGATATGTTGGTTCTATGAACGTTCCGTGTGATGGTTGCAGAAGTGTAGTAACCGCGATGAGACAATATGTCATGTACAGGATTATCCTCCATGCTTAGTAGTAGTTTCTATGGCGAATATGATAGCAGGTGAGTGAATATATGAGGAAAAGTGTAGGGGAAGAGAGGGAGAAGAATAACAAAACAAAGCAAAAATATTATTCTTTGGATATAAGGTTCTACCAGTCCCCAGTGGCAATAGTCTAGGTACGGTCTTGTCTAAACATTGTTAGGAGGTGTGGGCTCTCAGGAGCCTCTGTGATGTAGATTAGCCAGGGTGTCCACTTTGGGCACATTTCACTGAGCATCCCCATAGGAATGCAGTCAATGATTCCATAGAGTAGATCTCCTCAACTTTTGCAATCCATTGCCAGAGGGTGTGTACACCAGCCTGTTTCCAAAGTATCAGGATCAGGGACTTTGTGTCGATTAGCAGATGGAGTGTCAGTGATTATTTTTTATATATTTTTTGTGGTAGTGAGCTGTGATGTAGGAGCATAGGTAAAGGTTGAAATTGTAGTGTGGTGTCTGTGATTTCTTGGATTTTGGAGTATATCATCTTCCAAAAAGGAGCAATCGCGGGGCACGACAACTAGATGTCGAGTACGGTACCCTCTTTGGCCTGCTGTGGATTTTATATGACCAGCATGACTGTGTGTCTGTCAGGTATATTTTGCACCTTGGCAAGAATGTAAATAGATCCCTGAATTCATATACACACTGGCACTCCACTCAAATACACCCCTGAATTCACATACACACTGCCACTCCACTCAAACATACTTCGCCTTCATATGAACTCACTATTCACACAAATACAACTCTGCCTTCATACATGCTGATTGTGCACGCAAATATACCCAAGTCTTTAAACATGTTGATTGTGCAGACAAGTACACCTTTATAAATGCTGTACCCTTTTTTTTTTTTTTTTTGGTGGCATCTAAAATTTACACATGCTTAGAAGCTTAGGACTGATCTTCTATACTTCTTGAATCATGGTGATTGATATCAGCATTTTTAATAAAGTCACTATTTTACCGTTTTATAAATGGCTTACAGAGACCTTCTGAATTTTGGCACAAAATTCATACTTTTTTCCTCATACAAACTGACAAGGTTGGCAAAGGCCTAGAACTCTATTAATGTAATTACAATACAGAGGTTTGGAACGGTCTTGTAAATAATTGAGGCCAACCCACTCTATTAGATGAAATTCAAAGATTAATTATCTTTATTCGCTTTGGTGTTAGAAGTAATTTATCTTAAGAATTGTGGTGAAATATGTGCTGGGACATGTTAATGCAGTATTCAAGCAATTATTTCATTATTTTACTATAATTTCTTAAAAGGACACGTATATTAATATTATGTATTCTCACAGGCTTACTACAAAGTGTCACTGTGGCATCACAACAAGGAATGTGCTGTGTATCTCAGGAATAAGCATGTCAATATTGTGATGTTCCTCTTGTATTTAATTTCTACTCCAACTTCTGACACCTCCATCCATACATTCTGCTGAAAGTATTTTTATTCTGATTACTATGAAAGCGTGAAAATATATACTTTAGCTTCAGTTGTAGTGATGCCTACATAATTTTTCATGGAACTGAATTACTTTGAAATTGTCAAAGACAGAGCTTGACTGTAATTGGGATAACCTAGGTTACTGCTTAGAGCTCTTGGGTTGGAAGCAATCCTGCAAAAGTTATCGACAACTCTCTAAGACATCCCTGCTGTTCCCTCGCCCATTCTCAATATGGATTTTGTGTGAAGAGAGGAGGTCCCTCTTTTTTAACTTGGGGCCTTTGCTATCATACTCCTCCTCTGTTTGGCACTTTTTGACCCACCTACAATTTTCATAACCAATCAAAAAATGGTTAAAGGGACACTATAGTCAACAGAACAACTACAGCTTATTGAATTTGTTCTGGTGAGTAGAATCATTACCTTCAGGCTTTTTGCTGTAAACACTGTCTTTTCAGAGAAAATGCAGTGTTTACATTAGTCTAGTGATAACTTCACTGGCCACTCCTCAGATGGCTGTTAGAGATCCTTCCTGGGTCATGACTGCCTATAATGCAGCCAAACATTCAGTATCTCCTCCCTCTGCATGCAGACTCTGAACTTTCCTCATAAAGATTCATTGATTCAGTTCATCTCAATGAGGAGATGCTTATTGGCCAGGGCTGTGTTTGAATCATGCTGGCTCTGCCCCTGATCTGCCTCCTTGTCAGTCTCAGCCAATCCTATGGGGAAGCACTGTGATTGGGTCAGGCTACCACTTCTGATGATGTCAGCAGACTGCTTGTTTTTCTGAGTCAAACAGCATGCAGAGTTACAGTTTCAGGCTTGAATACTGTAAGATTTTGCTATATTTATGGAGGCATGAGGGGCGCAGGGGGGCTAGATGGTGGTTTTAACACTATAGGGTAAGGAATACATGTTTGTGTCCCTGACCCTTTAATTCCATACAGTGACATGGCTGCGTACTCTCCCAAACAAATCTTCCTTTTGTCTGATTGTTAAGAACTAACAGTGCAGGTGATTCTTATGTAGGGATACCCGTTACATGTAATATAATGGGATGGATTATAAAGAGTTGAAAGAGTGTCAGTTCCTAGTGAGAATATGATTGTAATTGTCAGAATGAAGGAAGTTGTTTATTTGTATAAATCCCACCTTTATCAAGTCTTTAATGTATTTAAAACCTCTGTGTGAACTTATCATGTTCTATAACATTTGCATAATTAAGTGTTACTTGTGTTACAGATGACATTTTGCTTAGTACATACCAAAACATTGCTCCATCATCATAAAGTGCTTTTTTTTTTTTTTTAAACCTTAATAAATTAAACATAATACAACCTTTGATCTCCCTTGTGCTTTAGTCCTAAACATAATACAACCTTTGATCTCCCTTGTGCTTTAGATCATGTAAAAAAAATCAATTTTTTTTGCCCACTACAGGTAGGATATAATTGGTGGGCTTTCGTTTGTTTAAGGGGAATATGAATTTGCTATTTCTATGAGCAATACTACTAAATGTATGTGAATACAAACATACAAACAGAATAATGTATTCTTATTGTTAAGAATTTACCTGAAAGCACGAATAGTTTTAAATCGACGATTAATTCACCTTTACATATTTTTGGATGAAGAGTCCATTTGGATGCTCTCAATATTAAATTGCAGTTATGTGACTGATATTTACTTGTTTTTCTGTTTTCTTTCTTTCTTTTTTTTTTCTTTTCTAAAAACAGATTTCTCAAGGAATAGACTGACTGAAGTTCCAGTGGAAGTTTGTCAATTTGTCTCATTAGAAGCACTGAATTTATATCAAAATTGTATCAAATTTCTTCCGGATGCTTTGATAAATTTACAAATGCTTACATACTTAAACATAAGGTATGTTTCTTGCCTTTTCATCCATTGTCAAACTTACATTTTAATTTTGTAACAATGCAACAAATTTTATAAACCGCTATTGTTATATGTTTAGATATTAGTAATTTGCACGGAGTACAATGGACATTCATAGAACAATGGTTATAAGCTCCACTAGTTCCTCAGTATTACTACACTGAAATTATTTTATCGGAGTGAGCTATTGACAGGGCTTGGCAGGGAGAGAACTGAGAAGAATGAAATTTGAGTGAGCTACTTAATGGAATAAGGCATTAAAGAAACACTGTAGGGTCAGGAACACAAACTTGTATTCCTGACCCTATAGTGTTAAAACCACCATTTAGGTGGCATGCCCCCCTTAAAAGGTAATAAAACTTACCTTATTTCCAGCACCACCCCTGGTGACATAACCAGAATTTATTATTTCAGCCAATCCAATGTTTTTCCATAAGGAAAGCATTATATTGGCTGAAATCAGCAAGGATGCAGGATGGGTGTGAGGCCAAATGTCGGCTTAGCCAATCAACAGCTCCTCATAGAGATGCATTAAATCAATGCATCTCCATGAAAAAGTTCAGAGTCTCCATGCAGCACTACCCCAGGAAGCACCTTTAGTAGCCATCTGAGGAATGGCGACTGTAGCTGTCCCCAGGGGGCAATGTAAATACTGCCTTTTCTCTGAAAATGGAGCGCTTACATGAAAATGCCTGCAGAGTATATTCACCAGAACTACTACATTAAACTGTAGTTGTTCTGGTGACTATAATGTCCCTTTAATCAGACCCTCTGATCTAACCTTTATATTACTTTAATTTACTTTTATACTACTATTACTGCTACTGATACTACTGCTACTTTACCTTTATAACAGAAAAGAATGTATTGGAAGTCATAACCTAACCTTTGTGCTATTTTTTGATCATGTGGGAGATTCGCTTCTCCATTATCTATTTAAACCTGTCCAACCTTTGATGGTGGCATTATGAGAAAAAGAGCAGAGGTAGAGCCAACAATTAGGTACACTAAGAAAATGGGGGGTAACCCCAGGTAGAAATTATCAAAAAAGAAAAATAGTGTACCTACGCAGTCTGAAATAGAAATCCGAAATTATGATTGACTGTCAAATCTCAGAGATACTAGACTAGTTGCTACCAGAGATAGTATTAGATCCATAAAATCAATAAATTTTAATTATAACAAATCTTAACATGTGGTGAATATGCTTGTGTACAAACAGTGAACATATAAAAGGTATTCGAAATCCATACCCTGTTAAAAAAATGCCTACTAGTATTATGAATTAATATAGCAATGTAAACAATTAAGCAGGACTGATTGAGACTGCACAAGAAGATTGGTAAGAATGGAGTCCTCACAGTGGAGTCAATCAGTAGTAAAAATAAGTTGCTGAGTGGAGATGATAGCAAGATGGTACTTGATAGTATAGAGACACTGTCTAATCTGCCTAAAGATAACAATTCAGCAGGACTGATTGAGACGCAAAAGAAAAAAAAAAAGGAGTATATGTCTATTAGTGTTCCACTTGACACTCACAGAATACCATATACATATTAATCTGTAACAGAAGACATCTAGATCGTTTGGCTGGCAGAGAGAATTACCTCGGTGAATTCAATTAACCCCTTGCTGAATAACTGGAGATGGTCCACCTTCATGTACATATGGACCTAATATTCAACTAAACTACTTGCAAATTATGTAGATTGCAACAGACTCTGTTAAAGCAGTTTTAACAGAAAGTGTATTTATAAACTATTCACTAAAGGAAGGAGAATTCAATTTTACACGAGTAATTCTAACATGGAACTGTCATATTATTCAATGCAGGATGTAAAAATTATGCTTATAAAAACATTCATTGAGCCATGGAGGTTAAATCAGCAGCTAATTATGTGCCAGAGATACTGTGTGATGAAAAGAAGATTTTTAAGGAGGGTTATGTTGGTCTTAGCAATTATAAAATAAATAAATATATATATATAACCAAACAGATTACTTGATGGTAAATCAGAGTAGAGGTGTTGCTACAATTAAGGGTACTTTGTGTCAACTAAATGTTTCAGTTTAGATGTATATCCCTGCAATAATCGTTACTGTGGAAAGTAAGTATTCAAGCAGAAACTTTACTTTGTTTTAACTCATAGGGTCAGTGTTGTCACTGAAAAATATTTTGTTGTATTGAGGAGTCAAAACATCATAGGGGTATGCCCATTAAATATCATTATGTTAAATCATTTTTATATGTGCTTAAAGGAAACCATTATGTTGATATTTGTTAGAAGTTCAATAAAGTTGATTAAAAAACTTTGCTCTATTGACGAGTCAGATCATAGGGGTATATCCACTAAATGTCTAAACTTCAGATCGGTCATAATATACGTTTTTTTAAAAAAAAGAAAAAACTAGAAATTATGATTTATTGGACAGTCAGTGACGTTAGCGCCATTATTGATGTATGAATGGAGTGAAATTAAACTCTTTATTAAGACCATCTGGTGTGAATGTTTTTAGATGGTATTTGTAATTGAGCATATATGCTGTAAAATTCTGTGTTTTAATTGCTGATAAGTTTTTCCTACATACTGGATGCCGCAACTACAGGTCACTTACCTGAGTCCCCGCCGATGTCCATCGGCGGTGGTTTCGGGTTGGCATCGCTCCTCCCAGTAATCATGTCAGTCGGTTGGCGCACGCGCATTAGGTCTCCCCATAGGAAAGCATTGAAATTTTTTTTCAATGCTTTCCTATGGGGAATTGAGCGACGCTGGAGGTCCTCACACAGCGTGAGGACGTCCAGCGACGCTCTAGCAAAGAAAATCTTTGCTATGAATCAGGAAGTGCCGTCTAGTGGCCTCTGTTTGTGTGTGTGTGTGTGTGTGTGTGTGTGCATGACTGTCTGCCTGTGTTTGTGTGCATGACTACCTGCCTGTGTTTGTGTGCATGACTACCTGCCTGTGTTTGTGTGTGTGTGCATGACTGTCTGCCTGTGTGTGTGTGTTTGTGTAGCTGTCTGCCTGTGTGTGTTTGTGTGGCTGTCTGCCTGTGTGTGTTTGTGTGACTATCTGCCTGTGTGTGTTTGTGTGACTGTCTGCCTGTGTGTGTGTGTGTGGCTGTGTGTGTGTGGATGCCTGCCTCTGTGTGTGTGGATGTCTTCCTGTGTGTGTATGGCCGTCTGCCTCTGTGTGTGTATGTGTGTGGCTGTCTGTGTGTGTGTGTGTGTGTTGGACTGTCTGCCTGTGTGTTTTTGTGTGACTATATGCCTGTGTGTGTTTGTGTGACTGTCTGCCTGTGTGTGTGGATGTCTTCCTGTGTGTGTGTGGATGTCTTCCTGTGTGTGTGTGGATGTCTTCCTGTGTGTGTGTGTATGGCTGTCTGCCTGTGTGTGTGACTATTTGCATGTAAGTATGTGTGTGTAAGACTGTGTGCATGTAAGTATGTGTGGCTGTGTGTGTGTAAAACTGTGTGTGTGGCTGTCGGCCTGTAATTGTGTGTGAGTGTTACTGCCTGATCCTGTGTATGTGACTATCTGCCTGCGACTATGTGCATGTGGTGGATTTGACAGTGTATATGTATAACTGTGTGCATCTGACTGTGGGACTGTGTGCACGTAATGCTGCAAAAATATACACCTGCATTCCCACATAGGCCTTAATGCATGTTTTTATCTGAATTAAATAACCATCACACACAGCCAATAAACCCAGCACAAATATCACATACAACCAATACACTCCTATCACACACTGTTAATACACCCATTACAAATATCACACACAGCCAACACATAGCATACATATCACACACAGTCATCACACCTATCACATACACAGACAACACAAACATTACATCATACATGGATGATGGAGGGGAGGGGGGGCGCTGTGAAGATTTTCCGCACAGGATGCCTAAAGGCCTAAGGCCGGCCCTGCCCACTATAGCAGGGGTCGCAGCTGTGGCTGGCCCACTGGAGTGATGGGCCTGCTCCCATCTGCGACCCCTGCACTCATGATAGTTACGCCATTGCCTGTGCATATTGGGCATCTGTTAGCACGCATAGCATGCTGGCATCTGATAACCAATGGGGCAAACCCCACCTAAGTGCCTCCCTCAGCGAATGGGGAATTAAGTCAGCGCTGGCAGTTTGAGCTGCAGTGAGAAATTGGTCTTGGAATGGGATTGCAGGTAAATCTACCCTTTATTTTTGTATTTATTTATATTATTCCATTCTATTCTTTTGCTTTTACATAGGCCTTTACTTCCTCCCACACATTCATTTTTTTGTATACAGAGATCTGGCTGTGAAATGGGCTTTCTATCCATTCCTATCTTTCTCTTGGATATAATTAAACCACACTTCTGACAACACAAAAACACAAGGGAGTTAGCAACTCCTTTTTAAAGCCTCTGTGAATCACTTAAGAAAATTATAGTTCGGCTCTGAACACTATTGTTTTCTTCTCTCTTGCAGTCGGAATCAACTTTCTTCTCTCCCTGTCTGCCTATGTGGTCTTCCGCTAAAGGTTTTAATTGCAAGCAATAATAAGCTTGGTTCCTTGCCGGAGGAAATAGGTCAACTACAGCAGCTAATGGAACTGGTATGTCAATAGTTTCAATATATCTATCCCCCGCATTTATATTTGGGGGTGTTTGGGCCTCAGGCTGATGTGTGGGATTTAAGGTGTGCCAAATGTATAAATAATCTGGGAGAAATGAGAACTTTATCTAATGAATTGAAAACTGGTACTTTCTCGTGAAATAAAGCAGATCTCTGGCAGTGACTCATTTAAAAGACCTTTAGGAAAATCATTTAATATTACAGATTTGTGGGAAACAGATGAGTCTATAATTTGTTAAACTTTACTAGAATATTAAAGGGTCTACTTACTAAATGGTGTACTGTAGTGAATTAAAAAAAACACATTTAAAATAAAGTAGGCATTATACAAAACATTTGGTACCCACACAACATTCTTCCTATACTTACAGTGTATCCTCAAATTCAATTTTCCCATTATGTTGTTACAAATTAGGCATGGGGGTGGGGGGAAACGTTGACTGAGGTGCTCAGCCTACTTGTTGTGACCGGCAAGGGTTGGGGGGTGGGAGTGATGTGTTGCGGCGGTACAGTCCATGAAGTGATGGCAGCCCACATTTTTAAATCGATCACATCCTGTGCTCTGGCACATAGCAGGTCAGAGACATGGGCTACCAATTTTCATTAGCTAAAATGAGACCCGAGGCTCAAGTCAAGGTCAACACGAACACCAATACCCCTACAATGCAAATAAATTATTAAGACTGGGTGCCCCTAATCAATTTGCAAACCAGTTTAGTTATAATAATTATAGTCTAAAAGTTGGGTTACCGGAGAATTTTCACCTATATGCTTTGCAAATAAATCGTGTTATGTTGCTTAGAAAGGACCTTTAATTTTAGCTATAATTCCCGTTTAAATACATAGCACAATACTTTTTATGCTGGAGAGGTGAGTTTTGCAAAGTCCTGTTTTATCTCTGTGATCATGCAGCTGGAAACTTTTGGCTGCAAACTCCATTAACATTCCTACGAGTTGATGCTCTCTCCAAAGTCCTAATGATATGACTGCAGAGAATTTATACATGCTAGTAATTAAGATACTCCGTGATAATTAACCTTGTTATACTGTAAATGCATTACTAAGTAGATTAAAGACTATGCATAAAACCCATTTCTTTAAAACATGCTTTATTTATGATTCTCCTTATTTGGTTTCCTGCAGGACATCAGTTGCAATGAGATCACGTCTTTGCCTCAGCAAATAGGTCTTTTGAAATCTCTCCGAGATTTAAATGTAAGAAGAAATTATTTGAAGGTTCTACCTCAAGGTAAGCGTTTAATAAAAAAAAAAAATAAAAAAATAAAAAACTCTTTCAATATGGTTAACGTATTTTAAACAAAGGCAGAGCTATTTACCAATGTGAGAATTGTCATGAATTCAAAGTGAATTTTAAATTCAAGGCCACATTTGTCAAACAGTTGACTTAAAACATTTTTCCGGTATAGCTATTTTGAACTTAAATTTTAAATTCACTTTAAATTCTTGACACTCTTGGTTATACTTCTTATAATGTGAATACTGTGACTGTGCATTTGTTTCATGAAATGTTTTTGTGGTTTGTTAATTTGTGTAAAAGATGAATGATTATGTAGTAGGATATTAAAAAACATTTAAAAAACAAATTGCTTTATGGACCAAATTCTCTTTTGCAATTCCTTCATTAATTTTTTGTTATTTAATTACAAGAAGGGAACTCTGAACTTCCTCCGTATGTTTATTGCTAATTACTGCTAATTAGTTTTAATGTTAATTTTTACTGTTAATGTGTATGAGCTCTTGATTTAAGAAGTCATACTGTTGCGATCGTTATTGAGATGTGATCACAGACCAATGATAAGTAATTACATTAGCTGTGATTGTAGTATTTCCAGATTTAGCTTACATACAGATTTATTTTTTTGTTTTTTGTTTAACTAACTGAACTATATTGCAGTTCAAGGTGATTCATTAACGTTTGAATCGTCAGGAACTCAATATGAATTCCAATAATGTTAGATTGGCTTTTCCCAGTCTTGCTATTTTATCCTTAAATTTATTCACTTTAACTTCCTGACAATTCTAATTTTTGTCACATGTTTATTACAAATTGATGAAGCAGTGAGCATACATTACTTATCTTAGGGGAATCTCATGGAAGGAACGTGCAATTATGTCCCAAACCACAAGTCTCTCCCTAGTTTAGGTTGATTCCACCCAGTTCTAGCCAATCCTACTCCTCTTTGCAGTGGTTTCACCAATGTTCCAGGTACCGTAGCAAGTGAATAGGGTAGATGGTTCCGAAGTACGTAATGTTCTTGCTGCTTTGTGAAAACTCCAAACCTTGACTGTTTTGTGTCACCTGCTGGGCAATATAAAATGCATAAAGAAACACTATAGTCACCCAGACCTCTTCTTCTCCATGAAGTGGTCTGGTTGCAGTCACCCTGTCCATTAAACCCTGCAATGTATCTTCTCTATGAGGAGCACTGAATTGGACATCAGCAGAGGCCATGCTTTCTCCATGATGTTGTGGGAGGCGGAGAGGTAAGCAGCCCTGACGGAGTCTCGGCACTCCAAAAAGGTGACTAAAACTGTACAGCTTTGTATTTCTAATGCTATTATGTATCTTTAACACTCATCTAGAGGACATGCAATTGTTGTAATTAAGCTGTTGGCTTTCTTTCTGAAAACAGAGTAACGTTATATAATCTTCACTATGATAGAAGAGTTAGCGTGTTAGTCATTCGGCACTAACTCTTCACTTTTCTTTATTTATTTTAGAAATCGTAGATCTTCCCTTGGTGAGATTTGACTTTTCCTGCAATAAAGTATTGGTTCTGCCGCTTTGTTTTAGAAAAATGGTGCAATTACAAGCATTGATACTCGAGAACAACCCCCTTCAATCACCTCCAGCACAGGTAAGTCTTACATTTTCTTTTAAATAGTCTTTTGTGCACTGTCCACAAAATTTATGATGTGACTATTGATCATCTGCCTGGACTGCACACTTCCAATGTTTCAGGTGCTGTGTTGATGGAGTTACACATTACTGTCCAGTCAAATCTTAGATCAGCAAGACAGTCTTACTATAAGGCATGTCCCCACTAGACACTTCCTCATCTGTCAAGTCTGTACTGTTCTGACATTTCAGAGTACAGAGATATCTGCTAGCACTTAGTACTGTCTTCTTCAGAATGGTGAAGAATTCAAAGACACGGCTGGATCAAATCGGAAATTTACCTTCCCGTTAAACCGAACTGTTGTTTTGTCCATTTGTTCTAGCTATACTTCACATTCCAAGTTTTAAATGAACAGTATTCAGTAGTGAATAGGATAAAATAAACAAATTGCCAAGTGGATGAGTGGTTTGGTTGACCAGAGGTCTACTTTAGCTGAGGTTGTTCTTATAACAAATATTTTAAGGAGGTCTAATTATCCCAGTAATAGTGCAATTCTTTTCATTTTAATCTTTTTTTAGTTTTTTTATTGTATTTATCTTTTTATTTTTTTTTAATCGATATGAAGCTTATTCAAACATTAGTGACGTGTTTTAGAAACTCAATAGAATTTTAGTCTTTGTGAAGGTATTTCATGGTTTCAAAGATCCATTTTCTGATTAGAGGCATTTTTCTAGTTTTCATTGTGAGAAAAGTAAAAATTGCTGCACACATGTTGATTTGTATAATTAGCGTCGAGATCTCCTGTAGTGTAAATGTCAGGCGTGACTAGTATTTAATGTCCCATTGCAGATCAGTGATTTGAAGTCAGGAAAAATCTATGTGTGTTGTTGTACAAGTACCTTTAATAATAGACCTGCTCTATTCACAGTCAGAGCTCCGTAGAATACTAGATTTTTCCTATTTGCAGTAGAACAAAATGTGTTTAAAAATGTTTTTTTTTTTAAATGTTCTGCTCCTATTTTTATGACACTCTACTATTCAAAAGCACTTCTGGTTTTCATCAACCGTTTCGCTATATTAAGGTGTCCAAAATGCATCGCAGGACATATATGGAAAAGACAGGAAGAGAAGGGGAAGATTATATTAGGACATATTTATCATGACAAAAACAACTGTTGTTTTGGGGTAAAATGCTGAATAAGAAGTAATCATCATGGAAAGTAGTATAATGTCTAATCTAGAATAACAGCTCCTTTGCCTTGATAAATAAGACTTTGTTCATTGTGATGGATGGCAGTGCCATACTTAATGGGACAGTGTCTTAATTAATGGAATTCTTACAAAGGTAATAGAATTACCTTGAGGATATCACAGTAAAAGTTCCAATACCTAATCTGCCTTATAATTTAAAAAGGGTAGTATTCTGGTTAGGTACGTTTTCTGGTATATGATACACACTCCTGTAATATTGAAGGGACATCAGGAAGGCAACATGGTGCCTATATTTCAATACAATTAAATGCAAAACAATCAATTTAGGAGATGAAAATAATTAATTGCAGGCTACACTGCACATTGCAAAATAACTTACAATTGATCTCCTCTTGTTTTTAATGTGAACAGACACTGTTGCAAGACATATGCCATACAATGATTTTTTCATACACCTAGTCAACACCAGCAGAAAAAAGATATTCGTAGCAGAGTTTATCGATAACTGGAGGTCTCATTGTGAATATGGTTTCTCCGTAGTGTCCCTGTCCAGAGACCATAATAATATAGACAAAAAATGGTAAAAGCTTTGAAGCCCCATTCCAGCTCCACAACTTACATCCCTTCTGGAAAGAGAATGTCAAACATAATATTTGCAATTCCTTTCATTTATGTACTTAGACCGTGATTATATTATGTAATATGCTTTCTAAATGATTCCATAATGTTGGAAAAATGCCCAAGTGATTTATCTACAGAAGTCTCAATTATGGGAAGTTTGTAGATAAAACATTTGGAATGTATTAAATGATTTAAAACTTAGAATCCTCACCGTTGAGTGGTTCCATTTTGAGTGTCTACTCACTTGGCATTCTTTTTTATGTAGCTGGAGTGTTTTATTGTCATTATTCTTTGTGGGCTCCTGGCACAATGAATCTCCTCATTAGTGTATGGAGATATGGGACATGTATTGCTCTTAATACATACACACCTATATTTCACTACAAGGTGTTCCTCCTTTCTAAATGATTTGGTTTATATTTTTTGCCACATTGCTATCCATTCTTTTATTACATGTTTATAGTATGTACATCATGTTTCTCAAATTTCAGCCTTCAGCACGATTGATATATTAAAGAGTAAATCAGTTAAACTTCTTATTATTTAATTTCTGAAGTACTAATACATTTCTTTTCCATAGAGCTCAATAAAGGTGAATTAACATTATTTGGTGATATGTTTTAAAACAATAAATAAAGTAAATAAAAATAGTTTAAAACCCACAAAAACATGGGTGCGCTATAATGTGTATGTGATAAAATTCCTATTTCACATCTCATTTCTCTCTTTAGAGCATTGTAAGATTGTAAGAGTGGTAGCATGCTTTATTTAGGTCCCTGTAGAGTCTCTTAAAATAAATAATTCCTGATTAAAATATAGACTAAGCACTGCATTTTTAAAAGTGTCCACCATTTAATCAGCAGTGTTATAACCCTGCTCCTTTGGGATTCATGTACTTACTGGTGTTTAAGTTTAAAGTTTACGTCTCAGTGATGCATAATGTTAATTTTTGATAATATGCTAATTACAAAATCCTAAAAATCTGTTATGTAGATATAGAGTAAATGTATAATGAAAATTTGTTTTGAACGAAAATAATAATTTCTTCGTAACATCATTCATTATTTGCAATGAAAGGTCAGAACTAGAACAAACGTTCATATCTAATGAGATGCCAAAATAATAAATGACAGATGGGGTATATACAAATATCCAATTAAACTTCGTTCTGGGTAAATTACAACTTGTATTTTATTATTAGGGTCTGTAATCTGTGTGCATTAATATTTCAGAATTAAAAATTAGAATATCACTTCTCCTGCAGTAATAGTTCCTCATTTTCCTAATTCTGCAATGTTTACTGAGGTAAACAGTAATGTGGATGTTAAGTTAAAAAGTAACATGTCTTAGTCTGTATTTCTCTATGATACCGGTTCTACCAAAATCAGTAGTTATACAAAAAAAAAAATTATCTGGCACAAACCCTCAGATTTAGGGGGAAAAGGAATAAAAATAAGAAGGTGGCATGAGAAAAATGAACGCAAGCAATCATTTAATAGATTGTCCATTAGTACCTGCTCAGGTCTCAGAGTGAGTTTTTGCTAATGCACCTTTACAGAGAAAACCAGGGCAAGATGCATATGAGATCCCACCCAGAAAGGTGAGCTGGATCCAAAATGCCAGCACGTTACCCTAAATGCCTTATTATGGGCCACACCGTTACTAGTTCTGTTTGGACTCCTTGTTAAGGAACATCAAACAATGAATATGGCAAGCTACATTAAAACTAAACCTTTATTACTCATAAATAAAACACGACACGAATGTCCTGCCAGCAACCAATCAATAAAGGTGTTTTTTTTTTTTTTTTTAAACAAAATTTATATAATAACCAGCTGCTAAAAAGTGAGGCAGATTTTGTACAATGTAGCAATAGCATCAGAAGGCACAGATATATATGGTGGTAATTCAGACCGTATAGCCCCCAAAGAAAATATAGGCTTGTGTCCACCCGGGAGGGTTATTAAATCCTCCCTTAGACATGCCTTTGTGGCCACCTGAACTGAACTTTAATACTGTATGAATCTGTGCTATACTAAACTACAGTTTCCCTTAATGAAATAACTATTCTATAGAAAATAGTAACAGGCATAAAAATATTGAGAATGCTGCTCAGGCAATATGTAGCAATATTATATAAATACGGTAAGTAAGACTAGATATTACAATGAAGTGGCTGGACTGGCTAAAATAGGGCCCTGACAAGCTTATCGTTGGTCAGGCGGATCATCAAGGGTGAAAGACGATGGAACACACTGGATTTTAAATAAGACAGCACCACGTGCCATAGGTGAGTTTGTTAACCAAAATATAATGAAAATCAGGTGTGTCATCGAAGATGACTACTCAGATAGAGGGCATAGATTGAATGAAAATGAATGGCATGGGGCTGGAGAAGAAGAGTTTACCAACATAAGAAATGCTTTATGGATGGGGATTACCACAAATGTACCCCCTTGAAATGCACCAAAACTACTGAAAACCAATAAAAGATATTGAGGACACCATAACAATGGTGCAGAAACGAGTGCTCTTTTCAAAGAGTGTTCAAACAATTTAAACAATGTATTAAATCAATAAACACATTTACAACAAAACAACGTTTAGGCCTGTACATAGAAAGTTGCATTAAATGCTTACTCAAGTTGCAGTAGTCATTTATTTTATGTTTCTTCTTATAGGTTTAACATATTTATATCTTTAGGTCCCCCCTGTTTTTCACACAAATAATCTGTAAACTTGAATCTTGAAACTGGAATCAAGTTCTGGAATCCCCAATTTTTTTCCACACCTCCCTTCTAATCAACACTATGTTAACATTTTCCTGGTTTTAGTCGAATTAAATGGGAGAAGCATTGATAGACAGCTTGCACATGGATGGAAAGTGCTGTATATGCATCAATCAGAGGGGAAGCAGGAATGACTGGAGAGTGTAAAAGGTGGGTGGACATACTAAGATTATAAGGGGTAGAGAGGTGGGGAGTCCTTAAAAAGCTGGCAAGAGGGAAGAATGGATGTAAATTTATGCCTGCAGGCAGTAAGTAGAGCACATGGATGACAGACATTTTTTTGGCAAAGAATTGACATTAGGCAGCTGATGTCACGTGCTGGGGTTGTAACCAACCCCTAGCACAATGTGCAAATATCTAATTTAAAGCAAAATCGCTGCCCATAGAGATTCCTTCCTCCTTGATCACTTCTAAAAGCAGAAGTGGTTATTTAAGTTGGAGCAACCCCTTAAACAAATAAGACTAGCAGTTACACATAATACATATAATGATATTTAAAAAGATGCCTTGCAGATACCAGATTTAATGTTACATAGATCGAACAGGTCTCCTTTCCTACATTCTTCCTTCTTGATTCTCTCATCTCCTATTAAACTGTCTACATGGCTATAGTCGATCTTATGCCACATGTGCCAATGCAGTAGCGGGCCTAATGTAAAGAGGGCCCAGGTGCAAAAAAAATTATTTTGAGTCCCCTCTAATGCAAGAGTGGCCAAAAGGTAGATCAACAACTGTTGTAGAACTCGATGTTGATTTGTCATCTGGTGATCTACCATTTGCCTTTCCTTACATGATTATAGTTATGATAGTGTCTGTGTTTGAATGTCTGTATTTAAATGCAGGGGTGTATTTCTGTATATTGTTGGCACTTAAATGCAAGGCTGCATTTATGTGTAGTGCTGGGCATTGAATTCAGGGGGTATGTTTGTGTTTACTGCTGGCATTTGAGTGAAGGGGTATGTTTGTGTGTAGTGCTGGCTTGTGCATGCAACAGTGTTTTTTGTTTAGTTTTGGTGTTTGAATGCAGGGATATATGCATTCACTGCCTCATACACACACATGCTGATACATACATACATGTACACAAACACTCACACACATATACAGATACACACACATATATACACAGCAATAGTGTTAGCCTTCAACACGGTGCACCTGCGGCAGCAAGAACCTCTATCAAGGTCTGGCACGGCCTAGAGGGCCAACTAAATTGGTAGCACCGTCCGAGTGGTGGAAGATGCTAGATATGTCTGCTCACTGTACAGTGCAATGACAAGGCCACCAAACCCTGTAGAGCCATGCTCCAGTCACACCAGCTGCTCCACCGGTAGATCTGTCTCTGATCATATGCACATACAGGGCGAGGCACAAGGTTTGTTTGCTACACAGG